ATTGCAAATTGATGGTCGTAAAACTAAAAATAACTTTTAATACCTGAAATTTCTTTGAATTCCGCTCATCTCCTAACAATGAGTTGCAACAGCTGTACTTAACTTTTTTTTTACCTGGCCATGCAGTAATTTCTGTAAACCGGTACTTATTTTGTTACTTCTTGAAATGAAAGGTTTTTAAATATTAAAGGATTTTAAAGGAAAATAAGGCGTCCGCTTGAAAAGAGAACGGTTAAAAGGTTCGGTGAATTTTTTACCAATGGTCTACAAGTTTAATTGAATATTCAGGCGGGAGTTTCTGGAGTAGCGTCTGAAAATATCGGGATGCGTCAAGAATTTTAGCATAAAACATTTATTGAAAATGTTTGAAAATATCAAAAACTGTTATTATGAAAAGTTCGTTTTTTTTAATCACCCTAATTTATATATGACAAAAAAAGCTGTCTGAAATCTTCTATTCAATCACGAAACGGCAAAAAAAACCTCGAAAGAAATTAAAGTAAAAACGAAATAAACGGCAAAACAAAAATCCTGGTAGTAGACGTCGTCGGCAAATGACCTCGACGCCGACTCGGGCGTCCGAAAAGCGTCGGAGACGCCGCCTACCCCGACAGGGGTGGCGCAGCCTCGAAATCCCGCCGTCGCCGCCCCTCACCCCCCCCAAACGCACACACAGCGGTTGGTTCAACGAACAAACCCTTCCCTGTGGAAGCGGAATTCAAGGTCGTCGCGTTTTTTCGCGCGCGGCCTGTCTGCGTCGCAAATACAAATAATTTCGTTTTGCGAAGGGTATGGAGGTCATGTTTATGTTTCGCATAGACCCAGACTCCTTTGTAATCGATTTGCGAAGCTTCTTCCCCAAATTTACTGCCATGGCGGCGGACTAGAAGACTCATGTCTCGTGAGGGCATTTATACAAGTTTACCACTAACACAGTGGTGAGATGTGCTTTGAGATTCCTCGTGATAGGTGCGTCACCATTTATTAATCATTTTAAGGCCCTGTCGATGTTTTACATAATACTACAGGTGTCGGAGGAAGTTCATTAAACATTCTTGAAGAGTCCATTGATTTATTATGCCTTATTTGGTCGTGACGGATGTATTATTATTAAAAAGGGTAGATGCGACAAGAGGAAGAGGATTGTTCTCCAATAGGTTCAGCTTCCTCCCACATAGACAAATTTCATCATTTGTGTCTATACGCAAAATGTAGGTGGTATGTATATAAACATAGATTTGGCAATTGCTCTCGTCTATTTAAAAACCAGAAACAATCAAAGTTTCAATAACGTCTGTCATTTTCTCTCTAATTTTTTCTCCAAGAGTCAACGTACGGAAAACGTTGATTTTAAAAATAAGTTAAATCATTAGCGTTTCATAAATAAACGTGCTCGGCAGGGGACATGAAAAAGTCATTTTGGCTTTGTCTAGCCGCGCGGCCCCTGATAGATAACCCAACAAGAATTATTTCCTATGTTTAATTTTAGAAATAGAAACTATGTAGCCATTAACCGTGTATATATTTTTATACGAAGACGAAATTTCGGGTTATTTTAAACGACCATGAATATAAAGTGTATTTTTACTCAATACATAAAACACACTAATATATTGGATTTTAATTGTGCCCGTCTACTTTTGAGGGGTTAGGACTTTAATGGAGTTTTCCGTCTGAAATGTGGCGCCTAAATGGATTCTGAATATGGGCGTTTAACGCTTAAATAAGGTTGAAATCCCATAAAATTTATATATTACGCAATACATGAGTACACGTCAAAAATACGACACGTTAAGAAATTCAACACATTAATAAGGTGTAAAGTGCAAATTGAGTACCTTACTCTTATTACATTTCTTTACATTGTCCATGAAACCGGTTCCGATTATCGAGCAATAGAAAAAGAGATTAGCAAAATATATCGAAGAATCGGTTTTATACCTGCCAACTAATAGGCGTCCTTCCTAGAAACCGAAAGATCTACAAGCGGCGGCCTTTTTCCAAACACTGAACGATTCTCGACCTGACAAATATTTTCGTAGGATTTGTTGTTGGACTTGCACTCGCAATTTCCGAAAATTAAGCTATAGCTGATAAGGTCAAATTGGCCCGAAAGTAGTCTCACATTTGAAGAATGCCGCTCAAAAACTGGATCCGCCGACGACTTGCCTTTCACATTCCTAACCGGGTAACGTATTTTCGACAGATAAAAGACCACAGTGGCGTATGTACCGCCGCGGCGTACCGTTATTTAATAGTTAGCAATTCATGCTAAATGCATCTCATTGCCAACAAAATAACAAAAAACATTCAATTCCATCCAGTAGATACTAAGAAAACGGGAAGAAAGCTCAAAATCAACGAATATGATTTTTGGACTCAAACTCCATTCCCTAACGAATCCAGTGGTATATAATACCATTTACCGCCCCCTTAATTAAAATAATGAATACAAATTTCATTGCGGTCTAAAATCAGTGCACGTCTAGGTTTATGAATGATTTGGACGCCTCTGCATCTTTCAATGGTCTAGTTAAGCGGTCGCGGCAGACGAATAATTATTCGTTCCTCATTATCGGGCAATCACGGGATTGATTCGGTGATCTCGTTGTAGGTACCTGAAATGACGGAGGTGGTTCGGTATTCTTGTTTTTGGACCGCGCCCGAAACTGACTTGGTAAAAAAAACCGTGAAGTCAATAAACTCGTGTGTTGTGACGCAAACCGCTTCAAGTTGTGCATTTATTAATGATAGCAATGTTCTGCTTCTTAATACATCGCGAATTAGCGTATTAATCATGCGGGGTCATGCCAATTTATTCGAAATGAATCATACGGTTATTTTAGCAAGACGCTATTCTCATTATTCATACCATCAAATTAGTTTCAAGGAATTCTTAAATAAAAAATTATTTCGGGAACCATTGATCCTATAAATCGTAGGGTAAATGTTTGATCAACTTTAATTAAACAAACGTTACGTAACCGAAAAAATAAATCCTGCATTTCTTATCTAAAAACCTATAAGAGTGTTTCCTTGTACTCGGCTTATCTTGATTATTCAAATAAATTGGGCGCCGTCACAAAAGACGAAAAAAAATGCCCAAAGGCTCAGCCATCTGTGTATGTAATTCGGAGAAATTGAAGTCGTAGGTTTTTGAAAGGTAGGACGGCGAATTTAAATAGAAACTAGTAGTGCCAGCCCACAGTACTTAAAAGTGCACCGGTAAATTATGTTTGTGCAAATCCAATCCGCCGACAATGGCAGTCGGTACCTGCCCTTCTGATGAAATACACCCACCGTTATAAAATCTGAGAAAGCTGGGTCTATTTATAAGTTGTAATATAATTTGATTATATTGATTGAGAACACGGAGAAAGTACTTTGCAAGTCATTTGGCAATCAAAGATAGACCAAAACAAAATACAATGCTTAAAGTACTTTTCAACGATGTTGGCATCTTTAGAAGATATTTATACTAATGCGAGGTTGACTAAACCGTGAACGGACAGTTTACTAAACCGTGGACCGTAACCGCTTCAGTGAAAACGTAAAGAGAACAAACAAACTAATTTATACAAACTAGAGTTGGGTACCAGTTAGAGATGCGACTTGAAAAATGGTTTTTTTTCACATTTTTTTTTTTCAATATTAGTCCCACTTGCCTAATTTTTTGTTTCCAGTCCAGTTCATGGACTAAAATTAGTCACTAAATGACAAATAGTAAATGTAAATACAGTCTCGCGCTATGCACGCGCTACCACCACCGAATTGACCAATAAGGGCCGCACTTGATTTTTCAAAAAGCTACCAAAAGCACTTTTTTCATGATTTTCCAAATTCATGTAGAGTATGGATTTTTTTAAACAATAGCAAATTCTTGTAAAACATGTATTCATTGGTGGTTAAGTCAGAACATTCCGTGGACCAGAAGGCCAAAAAAAAATGATTTTTTTATTACGGTATTCGTTAGGGTTGAGCGTTGCACGTTTTTCATCTAAAAATCTTAAAACTAGAAACTTCAAGCTTCATATTGCTTTTTTTACGGCCATTTTTAACAAAGATCTCAAGAATCGCAAAACATTTTTTTATCCTTGTATTAGAATAGAAGTTTTACATTGCTATTGGTTTCTAATGTGGAAACTACCAAATAATAAGAAATCAGATTTTTTAGTCTCGGTCAAAATTTTCAATAATGAAAAATGTAATATATTATACATTTCACTTTATTATTAATATACATTTTAATTAAAATTTCATTTTGAAAAAAAAACAAAAAAACCGTTTTTTTTTCTAGGTATTTTTTTTCACATTTGAAAAAAAACCGTTTTTTACATCTCTAGTACCAGTCCGTTATCGCTATTTAAAGATTTGTTTTTATTCTTATAGGTGCATAAACTTTCGTAACTATCTAGCAGACTTGGTTCTCTAACTTCCTTAAAAACTTTAAGGTTGTTAAATCCTATTCTATGACCATCATCAAGTGTAGTTTGTCCAACATATTTCTAGTCACAATCTTGACAGTTTATTTCGTACATCCCTGACTTCAGTTTTAGGAATCTTATCTTTGGGGGTCAAGATTGTGACAAGAAATAAATGTAACAATGGTCAGGACATAGAGGCAGAATCGTGAAACACCCGAAACGCACACTTTTCGACTTATAAAATCGTTATCCTATATGCTAAACTGTACAACTAAAAACGTAGAGAATTAAGTGCTAAAATGTTATTTCAAAATATATAAAAATATAGACTTTGGTTAAACAAATGTAACAACCGAAAAGATGGAATTACCCAAGTTCAACATAAGGTGGCTGAAGCTCATTTACTGATTGTTGCGAATTGGAAGGAGTAGCCTGAGTTTGGAGGTACTCCATCAATATTTTTCTCAATTTCTTCGTCTATTTCCATTTTATACTCAAAATGTTTTTGATATTATCTAAAATTTGTTTGGATTATAATACGTAGTAGCAAATCTAACGTGAATTTCCTTGTTGCAGAAGAGGAAGAGATCGACGTCGTGTCGGTGGAGAAATCCTTCAGCAGGATGGCGAGCTCCTTGCCCACCAACCCGTCCACCAGAGACAGGCAACAGTTGCAGAGACGGATGGCGACCGCCATATCCAGAAAACGGATACCAACGAACAGCGGCACCATCAAGACCTTGATGCCGCTGAACAAAAAAGCGCAAGCGAGCGAATCGGGCAGCTCTAGCTCGAGCTCCACCACGACGGCCAAAAGACGCGTGCAAGAGAATAGAGGCGTGAAAAGAACGAAGCAGTACAGGATGCCAGCGAGCACTTCGCCGTACAAGAAGCGGCAGGTTTACGGCAGCAGCGATAGCGAGCCTGAGCCCTCCGAGAAGAGGAGCCTGCACAACAACATGGAAAGGCAGCGCAGGATAGACCTGCGCAACGCGTTCGAGGACTTGAGGATGCTGGTGCCAGAGGTGAGCAAGAAGGAGCGCGCCGCCAAGGTGGTGATCCTGCGGGAGGCCGCGCAGTACTGCGACGGGCTCGGCAGGGTGTCGCAGAACTACAGCAGGCAGTGCGACGAGCTCAAGAGGCAGCAGGAGTGGCTCAGGCAGAGGGTGTCGCAGCTGCGGCGCAACCTGGCCGCCAAGCGGTAAACTCTTAGTCATTTTTCGATTTTTGGTCCTTCCGACGCGGATTTCATTTCGCGTTCAATCGAATTTGTTCATAACATTAACTGTGATTTATTATTGAGTTAGATTTAGAATATTATTTTCTTTTGTGTTATATATTTGTTTTTTAGTGATTAAGGTTTATTTCAAATTGGAATTTCTTTATAATTTAACGTCAAATACTTTAAATGGTTCGAGTTTTGTGATTACCAGCGAAAGGATTCCTCGCAACGTGAATTTTTTTTAGTAAAGTACTCAACACTCTCAATATAAATGGTGTTTAAGTGATCCGTTCGAGGAATTTTTACTCGCTACTATTATGTGATAAGATTTTAAATTTCGTTTTCATTTTAATTTGTTTCGTTTTCTTTTCTAAAAGCCTAAGCATGTAAAGTATTTGATCCCGAGCAATAACTTTAATGGTTTTGTTTCATTATGTACATACTGTTACGTTTTAAATTTGCAACCCGTTCAGTACCGAACAAGATTTCTAAATTCATCTGCAAAGATTTTTTTCCTTTTTTTTTTAATCATTTTTGTTTGGTTACGTTTAGGAAATGCAATGACACAATTAAAATTTAGAAATCCAACAATAATTGAGCGATCCCCGAGGTGTTTTTAGTTAATATTCCATTAAATTTTATCTTTATATTTTGTACAAAATTATACATTTTTTTAAGAAGTTTGGTTTGATTTTTTAAAGTCTTGGATGAACAAGAAATAACGTTACGTTGTCTACTTTTGGGGGTTTAGATTTTTTAAATATTTTCATGATTAAAAAAATATAGGTATTGCCAAAATTTAAAAAATTGACGAACGTTCGTATACTGGTATACCAACCACTATACAGGGTGTCCAAAGTTATCTGGTTTGTTAGTATTGGTGCTACAAAGCCAGATAAATTAGCTTATTGGTGGTATTTTTTCTTCTGATTAAAATTCCACCAATTTTAAATATTTTTTTTACTTTCAAAACTGAAAAATTGGTTCTTAGACATCTCTAGAAAGTGCTCACCAAATTTGAGCTCTTTCACAGTTTTACACTTTTTCTTTAATCCCTTATAAAAAAGACCATATTTTAGAATTAATCGATCGTTTAATCAAATCTATAAATATTTTGGTAAGAAATTAAGTGCTCTACAAAAAAGGAATGATGTGTTTACGAGATTAATGTAACCATTTAAAAGATATTCAAGATCAAAGTTTAAAGAATTTATTAAAAATAATTGTTTAAAATAATTTTTTAACTCATTGAAAAATAATTATTGTCAAATAAGTATGACATATTTTTGTAGGAATCCCAATGATATGAATATCTTTTCAACGGTTAGAGTAATCAATTAAACTCTTCAGACCTTGTAGAGCGTTAAATTTACAAAAAAAAAATTATACTTATTTAACAATAATTATTTTTTAATGAGTTACAGAATTATTTAATTTTTTCCTTAAACACATCAATCCTTTTTTGTAGAGCATTCAATTTTCTACAAAAATATGTATAAAGATTTGATTAAACAATTGATTAATAATAAACTATGGTGTTTTTTATAAGGGACTAAAGAAAAAATGTAAAACTGATGATTAATATTAAGAGCTCAAATTTGGTGAGCAGTATCGGAGGTAAAAAAAATCGATTTTTGTTTAATCACCCTAGTGTGTATCTATCTCGACTATAAATATCTAATTGAGAAATTACAATGCTAATATATTTTATAAAGCATATATTTTAAGAGCTTCTTACTTTTAAGTATTTTATTTTTTACAAACTAATAATTAATTGTAGGTGTGTCAATCAAACTTAATTTTGTTAGATTGTTGTGTTACACTTTGTTTTTTTGGATTTAATACTTATTATTACTATTATTTAATAATTTACAAGTCAAAAATTGAGTTTTGTGATATATATAGATTGATAACTTAAATCTGACCCTTTATAGCATTCTACTTGTGCCATACTTGGCTTACCTTAAAAAAATCACGTTTGTTGTTTCGAGACCCGTTTTTTCTTCATTTAACGCATTCATAGTGAAATTTCAATGCGAAAAATTTTTGTCACCACATTGGCGTATGATTAGACTTAAAAAGGTGCCAACCTACTTTAAAATTGAATGCTCAATGTGTCCGATACACTTTGTTATTTTTAGTGTTTTTTTCTTCTATATATTATGTAATGTTAATACGTTCGAAATGCGTTGTACAAATTGTACGATTTTAGTCTTCCTCTGCCTAAACAGCACTGTTTCTATCTATATTTACAGTCGTGAGATAAAGAGAATTGTTGTGTTCAATATTTTACAGTATTTTATACTTTTGATAAAATAAAAATACAAAACACAAAAAAATACGAAAAAATATATATATAAATGATAAAAAAACGAAAAATATAATCTTGGTAAACTACCAGTTAATAGGCCTACTATTAGAAAAAATAAAAAGCCTCATCGTTAAGCATGCAATTTTTATTGAAAAAAAGAGTGTTAAAAAAATGCATGTCTATCGATGAGGACTCGTCCCGATATAAATGTACCTGTGATTTAACCTTGCTGTCGACCAAATATATAGAAATAGATTTTATTACGAATATTAAAAAAAATTGAACGAAAATGACAGATGGCTTGTTTACTCGATTTACCGATCACTTGTTACAAATATCTAACAGGGCAATTCTCTATGCTTAGCGACCAGCCGGGGAACCACCGTTGTTATAAAAAAAAATGTGGGATTAATCGTAAGCCCTTTATCAATATAACATTGTACTTATATTATAATTTACACAATTTAACAAGTTATGGTTATTTTAATAGGTATATATATTCAATTATTGGTTTTTAGTTCCTGATAAGTTTTAAAATAAAATAAACAGTTGCTTCATATCTATGATTTTTTGTTCGCACCTTATCACACTTCCTAACCCTGAAAAATTTTTACTCAGAAAAAAAGGTGAGTGTTCCAATTTCAAAAAGGTAACGTATTTCAAAACCTAAAATCATATTATTTTAACTAACCAATTAAAAGTTTTTTAGTGCTTTTTTAAATACTTATAATTTATATTTTGCGTTTGATGGTGCAAATCCTATAGTGGGCCAACTTCATTAGTAAAAATAAAAAGTTAAAGAATTGACGACGTCACTTAGGATTAAACTTGGATTGCACTGACCTTTTAATTTTGACCGCAGTAAACTAGATCTAACTTAATTTCGGGTGGAGTGCCCATAAAACATTTTCTTTACTTTCACTGTGAAAAACTGTCGTTAGTTCATTTTCAAGGGATACATTTCGATTTACACATAAACATTTGTCGCGCCGGTAATACAGATTTCCATGAATGGTTACTCTATTGTTTTTTAGATGTCGCAATATTAATATATTTAATTTAAATCATTTTTAGGTAATAATAAGTATAGTATGTAACGCGTTTATAAACTTTTCTAGACATTCATTTAATTAAACACTCGGCGTTTATCAAACTCGATACATAATATACTATTAAAACAAAAAGATCTCGATGAGTCAGTTTTTTAAAAATCACTATTTAATAACTTTTTTGGTTGGGTAAAAAACATTACAATAATTCACAAAAAGGTATAACATAAAAATAAATTTACAAACATAGCAATATTATTATTTAAAATAGTTTATTATGTATCAAGTTTGATAAACGCCATTTTCGTCACTATACCTTTTCTACGACAAATACTTAATATTTTCTTAAAAATGATTTAAATTAAATAGTTGTATAAAGCGACATCTATATAACCATCCCAATGCACATTTTTGACGTAATTTTCACCATTAACATTGCCTGTTAATATTTTATTTAAACTTTTCAATTATTAATACTTTAAAATATTAAAATAACTTCAAAATATGATAATGTTAAAAAAAATGTTATCCTTTGATTTTTTAGGTATTATAATTGCAAATTGCAAAATATTATCACAAAGGATTAAACATTCTTAAACGGGAAATGTTAAATGTACCTACAAAACTAGGAAATCTACCGGGGTTAATATCTCAAATTTTTCTGTGTAAACCAAAATTTATCCCTTAAAAATAGACTAACAATCGATTTAGAGGCTGTTTTTCACAGTAAAAGAGAATATGTTTTAAGGACCCAACATTTTTAACGCTTTATCAGTTAAATCTAGTTAAGTGCACTACTACGGCGAAATCAAAAGGTCAGTACGAACATTCATATAATCTTTTAAAATATTGGCGTAAGAAACTATTTAATACTATTGTATTGAGATAATAAAATAATTTTCACATTTAGTGCTATTTTAGAAGAAAGGCACATTATTTTAATGGTTGTTTGACATTTGACAACTGTCAACTAACTAAAAATAACTTCAGCCCGTGACTATATCCAACTTGAAACCAAAACACGCTTTAACATCCCGTTATAAATTATATAACTTATAATTATTATCTCACAATTTATTACTTTTTGGCAAATTCGGCCTCGACAAACAGCCTGTTTCGGTATCTTGAACCTCATTAGTACCGGACAGCCATGTGGTGTGGATCACACTTCGAAACAAACAGCCCCGCATAGTTGCTGATAATGGATAACCACGTTTTTGATAGTAGTAGTTCACACGGGAAACTTATAAATACGAAATAACTAATCAGAAACAATGTTTTTTGATAATGGTGGTTTTCGTATCGCCACTAAATAATTTAGTAAATTAAACTAATTGTGTGGTTGTCTTATATGTTAATTTATTCAAATTCTGGCTTGCTTTGTCGATAATTCTTTAAACAAACACTTGCCACAGACTTTATCTTAGCTTTTAACACCACATCCCCTTCCTATCCTAAAAATGAATGGATAAAACTTTAGGGTCACAAGATCTTGAGAGAAGTGTACATTTCTTATCTAAGGTTTATCTGGTCGATTTTTTGTGAGAGGGAATATTTGGTAAACATTTCATGGGTTCAACATTACTGATTAAAACCTTAGGGGCTTATAATTTATGGAATAAGGCGATTTTTCATTTTATTTTTAGCTTATCTGAAAGATAGCATAATTTAAATTGAACAAGGTACACGTAACATGGACTTAATAATTATGATACAAAATTGTAGATGAAACTATGAACAGTTTGGCAACATTGTCAAGTTATTAATACTATATATATTTTTTGACGTGCCCCACCCATCAAATCACGTCTGTATTTAAACTTTTGCACCAAGGTACTACTAATAAGTGAATTACAATAAATAATAAATTTGCATAAATATCATTAACTGGAAAATATCTAAACGGTTGCGTCATTTGAAAATACCTACTAATACAGAAATGTATAAAATATATTCTGAAATAAATTAAGTAAACAGGAAAAAATGGTGGGCCTATTTAAATAATTTTTTAATTTAGGTACATTTTATTTATGACGCGTCCTTGAAACAGCCTCCTGAATATGAAATAGCACCGGGTTATTTAAATAAATAACGAAACAAAGATTCTCTTGTTACACCCTGTGTTATGACGACAACCTTATCAGCGATATAAATTAAAATGTGTTATATAAAAATTGTTTAAATCTCAAAATATTAAACAATTTGATGTCCCCAAAAGTCGATAAAGCCATTAAAAAGGTCAAATAAATAATAACGTCTTTGGCGTATGACCTGAGATAAAAGTGTTACTTACAAGGACTGGATTATTTTTAGTTTGGTTTATCGGTACATTCATATACTTTAAAATTGATAAGTCGTTTGAAACTTTTTTAACAAAACAAATTGCCTTTAAAATAATTTAATTTGTTTCAATATTGAAAACGGTAAAATTCGAGTATTAAAATTAATGCCTTGCAAAACCGAGCGTTTTTTCAATTTCAATTATAAAAATAAAAAATTTAACCGGTTAAATAATTATTTAAGTGACATAATTAGACAAATTATTATTAGTACATACATAAATTAATTAACTTGATTAATTAAAAAATAATTACACTCTAAAAATAGACGGTTGAACAACATTTTATGTTTTTTTGGACCCCCTTAAAGTTTTTGGAAGAATAGGATCTTATCTTGTTTGGTGAAACTTTATTTTATAACATTTTTGTGTAAAAACATAAACAAGGATCCTTAAGTAAAACACATCTAAATGGAAATGGATTTAACCGATGTACTAATCAAATAATAATTATATTTTTAGTTTCATTGTATGACAAAACGTTGTGCAATGTTTGCAAATAAATCTTTGAAAAGCATGGCGTAAAATATTAGGTACCTTATCTTTTGTATATTATAAGATATTACAAAACTAAAAAAATAACGAGGAAAAAGTAAAATTCGACGATAGTGGTATAAACCGACCACTGTTTATATTAAAACATTTTTAAAAACTTTTTTTGCGCATAAAATATATCTTCGTACCTAAATGTGTAGTAACCAAAAAATGTAAGCGATGTGGAATTAATTAATAAGCCATACGTGTTAAACAATAGACAGAAAAAACTATATGTTATACCTACTCTGTTTTCATATGAAAATTTTTATGTGACCCCTTCGGCCAATTGTGATACGTACACACTGGTGCATGTAAACAATTCCATTGGGGTTTCGGGTTCTCAAAAGAGAACAATAATTGTTATGTTATAAATTAATATTAAATATAATTTTTAATTTAAATGGCTGAGTTTAATTTACTTTATAATTATAATAACTTCGGTTTTTTTTTTCAAGGTTTGTTTTATTAATTTAGAGAAGAAATAAACCTTACCTCAATGTAATCGTAGAATTATGGGAAATAAAAAAGCATTCAAGAGATTTCAAAATACATTTTTTAAATATAATTTAAATTTACCTAACGTTTTTTTAAACGTTAAAATCGAGGTTAAAATATATAAAAACAACGATTTTATTCTAAAATAAAAAGCTTTTTTAATACTTGTTAAAAAGCTTTTTTATATTTTTAAATATCGATTTTCTTTGTATATTAGTTTTGTAAGCGTTAATCGATATAAAAACGCATATTTTAATTTTTTTTCATTTAAAATATCGATTTTGTTTGCATTTAACATTAGAATAAAAAAGTTAAAATAAAGATTAATTAAAAGACGTTAAAAGATTAATTTAAACATCTCAAAATAACTTGGATTAAAATATTTTAACGTTTTTTTATATTTTTAAATGATTTCCTTTGCATTTCACGTTTTTTAAACGTTAAAATATGAAGTAAAAAAACCTTTGAATAAAAAAACATTGTAGGTATTGTATTTCATTTCTTCCTTCCTCCCGTAGAAGATGAACAATACAAAAACCGATGTGCTGTTTTAAAATTCCCGTACGGGAATCTATAAATGGCACTACGATTTTTGTATTGTTCATCTTCTATGGGAGGAAGGAAGGAAAGCAATCTATAAATCAGGCTTAAGGAGAAAAGAATATTTTTTTATTTTATTTTAATTAAATTTGTGTCAAAAAAAGTATTGTCACAAAAATAATTCATAACAAATACTTATACAGTGGGTTAATTAGTAAGGAAAACAAAAATGCTAGGTATAGGTACAATTATTTTATTTTTGTTCATAATTTATAAAAAAAAATGTTAAAAAATGGGTTTACCCCAAAAACAATCAGATATACAGGGTTTTTTTGACAATATGTTTAAAGCAATTTTATGTTTTCCTAATTTATTAACACCCTGTATATTTGATATGATTTTTTAATGGTAAACAATTTTTTTACAATATTTTTAATAAAATTTGTTAAAAAGATTTTTCGAGGCATTTTTATTTTTCCCAATTTATTAACGCCCTGTAGGTATATCTGATACGAATTTTTTTGTAAAAAAATAGGTACATATTTTAAAGTTTTTTATTTTAAAATATCGATTTTTCTAAAAAAAACGATACATTTTTTTCCCAACAAAAAATATGAATTTAAATAAGTACCCTATCTTAAAATAATTTGCATTAAAATATTTAAAATTTTAATTTCAAACATTGTAAAAAAATTAAATATCGATTTTTTTTAATTGTTTCTAAAAAATACACACTAATATGCTTTTTTATTCGTATTTAACGTTTTTTGTAAGATTTTTTAAATTCTTAAATATGAATAAAACAGCAATTTGCAGAGAAAAATTACACTATAAAAATTTATCGAAAAATGCAAAATTTAATCATGAGGGGTTGGTAAGGGTACAAAACAGCCCCAATTTTTTCTTTGGGTTAATGATTTATTTGTTTTTCTTAAATTATGGAAATTTAAAATTTTTCACTAAAAAACGTAGGTACTCTGGATTTTAATAGTTATTACTAGGGATGGGATATTTAGGTACTAAAAACTGAAAAATAGGTAACTAAAAAGGTACTAAAAAAAAGCATTTTAGGTTAAAAAAACAGCATTTTAGGTAAAAAAAAACATTAAAAGTTTAAGTTTCGTTTATTATTTTGTTTAGCCGCATACCCAAACACAGAACATACCCACAATAAACTATTTCCATGCAATAAACTGTGTTTTACTGAGTGACACTCACTACACAGAAGTTCTATGACAGAACATAAGCTCACTAGTAGTGAGTCACTACAAAGAAGGTAACTGTAAAGAAAGTTACTGTTACAGTCTGTAACCATAAGAAAAAATTCTATACCGTTGAGTTGCACGCCCTGGATAAAATATTGGCGCAAATTTTAAAAAGAACAAAAAAAATAAAATAAGTAAAAATACGTAAAAATAGGTAACAAATATGTGAAAATAAACTGACAAATTAAAAAATATGTAACAAAAGTATAAAAAGGTAGTTTAAAGCAAAAACCTCCAAAAAAGGTAAAAAAGGTGAAAAAAAGTTAAAAAAATAGGTAACAAAAGTATAAAAAAGGTAGTTAAAAGCAAAAACCTCCAAAAAAGGTAAAAAAGGTGAAAACAAGTTAGGTTCATATAAAAGAAAATCTTTTAAAACACATTTTGGCATTATTGGTTTTCAAATAGTTACATCGGTTAAAAAAAGGTAAAATATCTAAAATCCCATCCCTAGTTATTACGTATCAAGTTTGATAAGTGCCGTTTTGGTCACGAATTTCATTCAAATGGGTGTCTAGAAAAGTTTATAAACGACAAATACTTATTATTATCTAACAATGACTTAAATTAAATATTTTTATAGAGCGACATCTATAAAACAATAGAGTAAACATTTTAACTTCAAGTTAGTAACTTGGGAATCAAAATGAATTCCTTAAAAATGAACTAACCACCGGTTAAATCCGATATAGAAGCAGTTTTTCGCAGTGAAAGTTAAGAAAATGTTTTATGGGCACTGCACGAGTCCACAACCGAAATTAAGTTAAATCTAGTTTGCTTACTATTTAATACTTTTGTATTGAGACAATAAAATAATTTTTACATTTAGTAGTATTATTCTTTGCAGGTTCTTTTATACGTTAAAATATGTAAAAAACGTTGTTTTTCATTCTAAAAATATCGATTTTCTTAAAAAAATAATTTGCATTAAAAACGAAATATTAAAAAAACCTCGAAAAAAACTATTAAGAATGGTAATTTATAAAATGTGTTTTGAAATCTCCTCAACAATTTGAGGGTATATGCATTGAAAGAAATAAGTAAATAAATAATTTTGGTGTTTTTTTATTAAAAAAAAGTACAGGCTTTAATATTAATTTGTAACACTTCTGAATGTTAATCTACCTCTACTTTGTGTGTATATTATACGTTACTAAAAAATACATACATATCCTTCATCCTTTATCCTGCTCCTTTTGCTTTTTCCTCCCCTCCAGCCTTTTCCTGTGATTGTTGGACTTTCTGTGCACTTCCCACTGAAACTTTCCCACAAAAACTCGGTCGCACACTTCACAATTAAAAGTTTCGTCTTCGGCGTTCGGTTTAGAGCTGCACGACATTTTTTGCAACGGCCTAACCTCACACTCTTTGCACCACATAAAACTTTGCACTACATCCATTGCGGGCACTGTCGCGTTCGAGGTCCAGCAGGCCACGTCGCTGGTGTCCAGCGCGTAGATTGGCGGCACCTGAAACAAAAGAAGAAGAAATTACAAGAATATGTTTTTCTCGAACAAATGAAACAAAAACGAAAATTAAATATTGAAATCCTGGTCATGGCACCAATTTGTAATGAAGCTGTATACCATGTACCTATTTTTTCAGTTTATATATATATATATATATAGTCTTCAAAATCTGTACTCAAGTGAACTGGCTGAATGACCATTGGGCCTCTTATTATTGGAAATATAAAGAAATAAAAACTGTCAATCTGTCAACCGTTTTGCCACCTTGTTATTAATAGTATATTATGTATCAAGTTTGATAAACGCCATTTTATACACGAATTATAGAATTAACAGAAAAGTTTTATAAACAAGATGCATACTATACTTTTTCTACGACAAATACTTATTATTATCTTAAAATAATTTAAATCAAAAATTTGTATAGAGCGCCATCTATGAAACAACAGGGGAAACTGTAAAATGTCACATTTTTTCATTTTATAAACACAATGATAAAGGTTATAAATCGAAATGTATCTTGAAAATTGACAGTTTTTCACAGTGAAAGTAAAGGAAATGTTTTATGAGGACTTTACAGTAGAGTCCGTTATAGTTATAGTTTACTGCCGGCGAAATTAAAAGGTCAGTACAATGTTCATATACACTTTTCAAATATTGGCGTTGAGAAACTATTTAATATTTTTGTATTTTTGTATTGAGATAATTTTTTCATTAAATTTATGTTTATTTGTTACCTACTCATTTTGTAGTACTTAGAGACTAATAAAACACCGATTTTGTCCATATAAAGTGTTTAATTTTTGTACTGGTGACACCCAAAACAGAACCATGGTAGTAACACTCAAAACAAAGTAAAATTAAAAAAAAAATAGTAAAACGTTGTTTGTGACAGTGATTATGTGGTAGATGGTTAGTAAAATTATACTTTTGGAGGCCTGTAATGTTTAGGAATGTTTCCCTAAGAAAATTTGCCTTTCACGGCAAAACGGTTCAACCTACAGTTAAAAACTAAAAGGGATTTTTATAGAAAATGTTATTAAATTTAATTTAATAATTTAAAAAAGAAAACTAAAAATAAATAAAAAACGTTTCTGCATGACCTAAATAAAAAAAAATCTATAAATATAAAAGCATAACTTTTTATTTTTGAGTGTTTTATTAAGGATATACTTTAATATTCCCACGCATTTAGTGTAGATTGATCAAATTATATAAATTACAAATGTTGTACACTTTGCCAACGAAAATCGTCCAATTTCACATAATTTTGTTTTTTATTTGAACTCAAAAATTTAGTAAGGAAGTACATGCAACATTTCAGTGCAATAATTTAAACCAAAAAATAAATGTTCATGAATCTTATGGCAGCATTTTAAAAATATATATATTTTATTGATTTATTATTTGCTCACATTGCGCAACATGAACTAAATAAAATTACTAGTTTAATAGTGGTTTTATTAGGTATTTAGTAAAATATATAAGCAAAATTAAGTATAACCATTAAAATGTCCGTTTTTTTGTACTTGGGTGTCATCTAAATTAATTAGTTTAAAAACAATTTTGAAAAAAATATATTTTTTCCGATATCGTTTAACCCTGCCTAAATGATAATATTTAAACTTTTTATTTTCTTTAGCATAATAAAAACTTGCTTGTCTATTTATGCATTTTTCTTATGTCACTAAAATGTCATTTAGGAAGGCTTAAACATAAAAAAAGAATTTCAAAATTGTTTTTAAACTGTAAACAAATAATTTAGATAATACTCAAGTAAAAAAAACTCAAATCAAATTCGGAAAATGGCAGTTATTTGAATGTAGATAGGCAACCAAGTAGTCAGTAATATATATAATAAAAGTGTGGATAAAAAGTTAATGAAAATAGGCCTCAATAAGTTCCATTTGTTACGGTGTGTTGGGCGCCTTCCCGGTCCGGCAACCTTAGGCCGAGAAAAAACTAAAAAAAATCCTAGTCGACGCAACAAAAGATTCTTTATTAGTTTACTCAAGTACCTTGCATTTTTTATGAAAAAATTAACAATTAACATAATTGTTGTTGCCATAATTAGATTCTTAATTAAAAAACTACAATAATGTAATGTACAAACATTAGAGCAAAATTATGAATATATTATTTGGAAATAATTGTTTTAACACGATTTTTTACACTATAACGTAATAAATTGTAATTGTGGAAAAGTAATTAAGATAAAAAAATATTTTATTTTGATATTTTATGTTTTATCGCACACGTGGTAACAAACTTCATTTGTTTTATGTGTGAAACATTTTATTGCACAAAAAATATTTAATATTAAAGCCATTAGTTACTGTACTATGTATTATATTTATCAATTGGACCTTAAAAAATAAATATATAAACATTTAATAATTATACGACAAAATGGAATTTTTCCACAGGGCCAATAACTTTCCCAGTAAAAATCACATTTTAAACTAAATAAAATTGTTTTTTGGCCAAAATTGGATAATTTTCAAAATTCAAAGTGCTGTAACTTAAACAATATTTTTTTTGATGGAATTTTTTAGGGGAATATGTTGATGAACATGTTTTTAACTTTAATTAGGACCCATAGTTACATTTTCAATGATCCTTGGTTAAAGTATTTGATTAACAAAATTTAACGTTTGCTGTCGACCAGTTTTATTGGTTATGCAACCCAGAATACGCACTTGGCACTTGAAGTGATTCTACAAATTCAAATTATAATTTTGTAGTTTCTTTAATTTTTATTACAGTTTAATTTACGTAGCATTAAAAAATAATTTTATCAAATTAGTTTTCTTAGATTTAAATTTCAAACAAATTTACAGATTTAAAGGTTTAATAAAAATAGAATTTTGACGATAATTGAAAAAAAAAATGTTTTTTTACCTTTCTGTCATTTCTTCCCAAAAACCTATTCATTGTCCACTTATTTTGTTTCCTAGCATATCTTCTGGTAACCAATTTAAGAAGCTCAATTCCTTCATTTAGTTTTTTAATTCCCATTCCACTTTTCCTTTCTTCTTCATTCAAAACCAAATAGGAATGAAACTCCTTGAATCCGATCGATTGAAAAACACCTCTTGTATAGTCAGGTTCACTAAAAATAATAATTATTTGTTAAAAAAAACCTGCACATTTACAAAAAATTTCATCATACCTGTCTAAATTAAAGGCGCTGTGAAAACTTGTCAGTTCTTTTACCAGGCCCTCTTCAACCATTTTATCCACTCTATCGTCAAGTCTTTTGTCCAAAGTTTCTTGTTCACATTTTAGCCAGAAAATTAAGGCATTTTCGTATCTTAACCCTCCACCATAGAGAGAACCCCCTTTGGAGGAGCGCTGCTCATCAAAAATTTCGCTCAGTTTTTTACCTTTTTGGTAGAGGACTTCCAAAGATCTGAAGAAAAAATTATATTATATACAAGGTGTTTCAGAAATGTGTTCCATGACAATAAGTGACCTTTCAAATACATACATTGACAAGCTGTGGCTTTATGGCGCTTTAGTCACGGGCTGAAGTTAGCAACAGGTTTTTAGTCACAGGCTGAAGTTATTTACTGTGAAAAACTGCTTCTATATCGATTGTTAGTCTATTTTCAAGGCATAAATTAAATTACTACAACTGTCACTCTCAGTTTAGTAAATTCACTCAATTTTTTTTAAATTGTTTTTTCTAAGAAAGGCAAAAAAATTAGATCAAAATTTTGACTTTTGGTAAAAGTCAAATGGAAAAAATATGAAGTAAAAAAAATGCGGCAATTTCAACTTCAACCTTAATTTTTTTTGCCTATTTTAGAAAAAACAATTAAAAAAAATTTAGCGAATTTACTTAATTCTTTAGGTATGTAGTAAATATATACCTACAATTTAAAAAAAATTTAACGATCGAAATATTTTTGTTCAAGTTATCGCATTTTCAAGAAAAAATGTTTGTCCATTTTTCAAAAATTTCCTACGGGTGAACAAAATAAATTTAAGCAAAAAGAAAAACTGCATTTTTTGTTAATATAATAAAGGGATATACAAAAAAATATATGACAGTTGTTTATAAAGTAGTGCCAATTATTATAGTAAAGTTATTTTTAGTACACTTTATTAAAAAAAAGCTTTTAGTTTAAAAAAAAATCAAAAAAATAATTTTGTGTTGATTTTTTTTAACCCTGCTTAGGGTTATGATACAATAATGGGCGTTTTAAAGGTGGGTGAAGAAAAAAACTATAAGAGGTTATTTAACTTTTTAGTAAATATAAATTTATTTTCTTTTATTTCTGGATAAAAGGTTAATATTGGATTTCTTACAAAAATAATGAAAAAATCATTTTCCTGTGTTATGTATCAAAAGGATTTTTACTGAATTTTTATTTTGGCACTACCTACTCTAAACAATTTTCATGTTTTCTACCTTTATTTTTAATTTTAGCCTTTTTGTACAATTTTTTTTTCCTTGCTGTTAATAGTATATTAAAGTACAAGTTGCAGAAGGCCACATATTCTCGCACGAATTCGAAATTTGGCCTCGAGCGACGAAGGAGCGAGTGGACGAACGAATGAGTGCGAGAATAGCCTTCTGCAACGTGTGATTTATACTATTTTCTCGATTTTAACTTTTATTTAGGTTTTTTTAATTGTTTTGTGGTCGTTGTTAGTTGGGGGATTTTTCTCGCAAAATGTCAGTTGGCAACACAAAATGACAGTTGTATGGACAGGTAGATTTATTTTTATTTACTATTTATTAATAATCTGTCTGTATTTGTCAACTGGATAATAAGGTTTTGTGTAAGTATTGTATTATTTTTTAATGTTTTCTGATATTTTTGAACAATTGTTTTTACTTTTAGCAGTGATAAGTCACAGGAGGTTTTACAAGGAACACCAAACATTACAATAAAAGTTTATAACAATTGTGCTAGTGATTAATTTATAGTAGTTTTGTGTTTTGTGTACTGTGGGTATATAATATTTCCAATAAAATATAGTTTGATTGACCTGTTTGGCTCATTTATTTGTCAATATTTGTTATCCTGCACAAGTACAACCTGAACTGCACTTTTTCACATTAAACTTAAAATTTTGCATTAAAATGCATTGTTGGAGCAAACTTAATATAACAAAACAATAATAAAGGCTTCATTTTCAATAAAAGTGTAGTTCAGGTTGCACTAGTGCAGGATAACAAACAAAGCTATTATAAATAATCCTAAAAGTAATGAATTTGAGGTTATTAAACAGTTTGACATTTTGGGGGTACCAATACTTAAAAACTAAATGTTACCAAAAATCGTTTAAGAATGAGCTTCATTCTTCAACGATTTTGCGTGCGAGAATATGACATTCTTACATAAAAATCGAGAAAAATTATTTTGAACATTATATCTTTTGAAAACTAGATTTGTCATATTTCATATTGGAGAAAAATTACAAAAATCTTTAGTTAGGTGTAATTGTTAAATAAAATCGTGATAAGGCTAAAACCTTTAAAATATAAAATCCTTAATCCATTAAAAAAAACTATAAGAATCATATTTTTAAATTTGATTTAACGATAAGTAAGTAAAGTTGCACACATTGCATTTTTCTTATCTATACCTATTCTTTTAAACAAACATTTACCTGTTACACAATAAAGCAATATTTTTATATCATATAAAAAATCTAACCTTAATATTTTCCTCTTATTTTGAGGATGTAATCGATTCGCCATTGCTGGATCCAGCAACTTTAATTTTTTATGTAACTCTTCGCTGGGCAATTCTTGTTCATTATTAGGCAATATGCCAGGTTTAGATAGCAATTTATTTGTGTGTTCAACCAATATTTTCCATAAAAGCGACTCAATGTAGTAGTTTGTGCCTCCCACTACTATGGGCATTTTATTTTTGGAAAATAAGTCATCAATCTTTATATAAGTTAAGAAAAATTTGATTTCGATTTTTTTGACGAAAAGCGTGATACACTTAGAGTAAATAAAATATGGATAAACCTTAGAGCATAGAATACAGGGATTTCAATTTAATTGTAGCACCGTAAATGTTACTTAAAATTATAGATTTATTGAAATATAAAGGATACAATTGAGACAGCTTTATTTCTGTACTCTAATACAGTACAAGTTTCATTTGGTTCCAAAATATCTATTAAATGATGTGGAGCTACTGACTGCTCTTCTTTAGTGGCTTTGGCAGTTATAATGTCTAAACTTTTATAGACCTACAAGATTTTAAGTCATTTTTAAAGCTATTATTTGTTAATGAACAGTTAAAATATTTAAAATAATTATATACTGTAATAATACAGAAATACCAATTTCAGTATTAAAGTATTTTTATTTTATTTTAACAATTTAAATATTTAACTTAACTTAAAAAATTGAATTACCCAATTATTGTGACATGTTTTTAGAAAAATATCAATAAACCTACCTAGAAAAAACAAAAGGCAATTGCCAAATATGTATTATCTACTCCTACATTTAGTTACTTAAGCATTAAATTTGGAAAAAGTGAGGTTAAAACCATTTGACAGATGTCAGATTGGGAAAAAGTGAGGTTAAACCTGTCTGACAGATGTAAGATTGGTAAAAAGTGAGGTTAAAATCGCTTTAGTTTTCATATAAAATTGACTTTAAATTCTGCAAAAACATTACTTCTCATTTATTAAAAACTCGCTCCGCAAGTGTATTTAATGACGTTTATAAAAGAAGTTGCATAATAAACTATAAAAAGACTGATTTAGCCCTGGTAAAACACCCTGTAGGTATATTAAAATATTGAATTTTTTGTCCTTAAAACATGCTATTATTGATTTTATTTTTGCACACCTATATGCACATACATTTTCTTTAAAAAATTCAAACACTCGATTTAACATTAAAATAGGTAAATAAAATGTAATTAATATTTAAACAAAAAGATAATTGCAATTAGAAAATTGAAAGTCAATAATGCATATGGCTGATGCAATTCCATTGTCTCCGCTGAAACGTGGCCGAACAAATCACATAAAAAACCCGAATAACCCCTCAAAAAACAGGGACTCAAATTTAAAAATCGATTAATTAAAATTAATTACCTGCATTGAATCGGCTCCAATAATTTCTCCTCCGAATTTCTGGGCCAATTCCAGCGATAATTTCGTTTTTCCTGTCCCGGTGGACCCCAAAATCACCACTAAAGGCAACCTGCTGCCCATCCTGTCGATTTTCTTGCTATTTAGCACTAAAAAATCTCGATTTTCTCGAGTTTCTTTGTTCTTGTAACCTATGATGAGGGCCACATGGTTCCTATCACATGCTCACTGACATTCAAAAAACTCTGCACTACTTTCTTTTCGTTAACTACACTTTCCTTAATCTAAGTAATAAAAAAAAAGTAAAAAAAAATCATTAAATTGCTAATAATTAACAAAAATACTTACTACGTGCCTATCCATGAGGTTTTTGAAAGAAGGATGGGGAATTATTTGTTACCAACATAAAAATACTAAAATTTTAGAACGGATCGCCCCGTAAGATATAGTGCACATTGTGCACATAGGATAATTTGAATATTTTATAGAATATTCATTGTTTGTTGATAAATGTTTTTAATAAATTTGTATGTATTTATACTTAATACTTTTATTTAATTTAAAATTTGACATGTTGAAACAAATAAATAAAAGAATCTGTTAGTTTAAGAATCCAGGATTTAAAGGAAAATTGGACCAAACACTAAAATATTTATTTAGTATTATATTATTATAACAAATTTATTAATGATTTTAAAATTTATTGAAAATAAAAGTATTTATTAAAATATATGTACTCTACTTTGGTTAGTGGAGGTAAAGTATAAACCTAAAATTTGTAATGTTGGCGTTCCGTAACAGCTGATTTTGACGTTCACGCAATATATTTGTTATTTGACGCAAACATAACCAAACTTTTTTTAATTTTTGAAATGGTTTCCGTAAATAATTAATAATGGACAACTTTTTAGCGGAAAATAATGTGTGCGGGCAAAACATATTGCATTTAGTGTCCAGGGGAAATGCTATCATAGCCGAATTATTGCGGTTAAAGGATTATATTCCGAATATTTACAAGTAGGAATATATTACAATGCATTGTTTTTGGTGTTGAAATTATTTTTTAGGCTTGAAACCAAGCAAGATGTACAAAAATATGGTGATATTATATTGGATTATAATTATTTTAAGAATGCCGAAGCACAGGAAAACAAAATAGAGTCTTCAGAGGTAAAACATAGGCATAAAAAAGTTTACCATTTTTTTTAATAAAATCTTCATTTCTTAATGTATTTTATTACATTTTTCGGTATTGTGTACACTACTCTTTCTTTTGTAAACTTTGGAATGCAAAATTTATATTAAAGAATATGTTTTAAGGCCTTAAGGGAACTGGATGAAGAATTTAGAGATAATCATATAGATATTATTAGTAGATTTTACTTGGCTTTTGAGAGTGTACATACTTATGTAACAGACTTGAATCATTTTTTGGAGGAATTAAATGATGGTATCTATATACACCAAACATTGGATAATGTTTTTCTTGATATGGAAGGAAAACAACTTCTGGTAATTAATTTATTACTTATCTAAAAAAAGATATTTACTATGTGTTTTTAGTGTGAAAGTCTATTTTTATATGGCCTTATGCTCTTAATAGTGGATTATTACATTGAAGGCATCATTCGGGAGAGATTATTGGTTTCTTATTATAGATATACACCACAAAGGCGGGACACACAAAGTTGTATAGATGAGGTTTGCAAATTATTAAGAGATACTGGGTTTAACACCTCTAAAAAACCTACCAACTATCCAGAGGACTATTTTAAGTAATTAAACAATTTTAACCATGTCTGAAGCTATTACTAAAGAAATTTATTTGAGATTTTTTCTTCTTTATTAATACACCCTGTTAATATGGCTCTGGATTAATTTTTCAAGATTATTTACAAAATATAAGGTGTCAGTTTTAGTTTTTTTTTAATTAATAGCAACTTTGACAGTCTTGTTATTTTTAACACAATTTCAAAAATAATCAAATGTTAGATAATTTTATTGACTTTTGGAAAATGCAAATAACTTAACATGTTCCAGTACTAATTTTTCCACAAAATATAAAGTGTCAATTTTAGTTCTCTTAAAATTAATACCAAATTTGATAGTCTGTAGTTTTGATATTTGTGACCCAATTCAAAAATAATTTTATCAAATTTTAAATAATTTTATCCACTTTTTGAAAATATACATAAATGTTCCAGTACTAATTTTTCGAAATTATCCACAAAATATAGTGTCAATTTTAGTTCTCTTAAAAGTTATACCAACTTTGATAGTCTGTAGTTTTGATATTTTGAACCCAATTTTAAAAATAATTTTATCCACTTTTTAAAAATATAAATGTCCCAGTACTAATTTTTCGAAATTATCCACAAAATATAAAATGTCAATTTTAGTTCTCTTAAAATTTATACCAACTTTGATAGTCTGTAGTTTTGATATTTTTAACCCAATTTTAAAAATAATTTTATCAAGTTTTAAATAATTGTATCCACTTTTTGAAAATATAAATGTCCCAGTACTAATTTTTCGAAATTATCCACAAAATATAAAATGTCAATTTTAGTTCTCTTAAAATTTATACCAACTTTGATAGTCTGTAGTTTTGATATTTTTAACCCAATTTTAAAAATAATTTTATCAAGTTTTAAATAATTGTATCCACTTTTTGAAAATATAAATGTCCCAGTACTAATTTTTCGAAATTATCCACAAAATATAAAATGTCAATTTTAGTTCTCTTAAAATTTATACCAACTTTGATAGTCTGTAGTTTTGATATTTTTAACCCAATTTTAAAAATAATTTTATCAAATTTTAAATAATTTTATCCACTTTTTGAAAATATAAATGTCCCAGTACTAATTTTTCGAAATTATCCACAAAATATAAAATGTCAATTTTAGTTCTCTTAAAATTGATACCAACTTTGATAGTCTGTAGTTTTGATATTTTTAACCCAATTTGAAAAATAATTTTATCAAATTTTAAATAATTATATCCACTTTTTGAAAATATAAATGTCTCAGAACTAATTTTTCGAAATTATCCCCAAAATATAAAATGTCAATTTTAGTTCTCTTAAAATTTATACCAACTTTGATAGTCTCTAGTTTTGATATTTTTAACCCAATTTTAAAAATAATTTTATCAACTTTTTGAAAATATAAATGTCCCAGTACTAATTTTTCGAAATTATTCACAAAATATAAAATGTCAATTTTAGTTCTCTTCAAATTTATACCAACTTTGATAGTCTGTAGTTTTGATATTTTTTACCCAATTTTAAAAATAATTTTATCAAATTTTATATAATTTTATCTACTTTTTGAAAATATAAATGTCCCAGTACTGATTTTTCGAAATTATCCACAAAATATAAAGTGTCAATTTTAGTTCTCTTAAAATTTATACCAACTTTGATAGTCTCTAGTTTTGATATTTTTAACCCAATTTTAAAAATAATTTTATCAAGTTTTAAATAATTGTATCCACTTTTTGAAAATATAAATGTCCCAGTACTAATTTTTCGAAATTATCCACAAAATATAAAATGTCAATTTTAGTTCTCTTAAAATTTATACCAACTTTGATAGTCTGTAGTTTTGATATTTTTAACCCAATTTTAAAAATAATTTTTTCAAATTTTAAATAATTTTATCCACTTTTTGAAAATATAAATGTCCCAGTACTAATTTCGAAATTATCCACAAAATATAAAGTGTCAATTTTAGTTCTCTTAAAATTTATACCAACTTTGATAGTCTGTACTTTTGATATTTTTATCCCAATTTTAAAAATAATTTTATCAAATTTTAAATAATTGTATCCACTTTTTGAAAATATAAATGTCCCATTACTAATTTTTTGAAATTATCCACAAAATATAAAATGTCAATTTTAGTTCTCTTAAAATTGATACCAACTTTGATAGTCTGTAGTTTTGATATGTTTAACCCAATTTTAAAAATAATTTTATCAAATTTTAAATAATTTTATCCACTTTTTGAAAATATAAATGTCCCAGTACTAATTTTTCGAAATTATCCACAAAATATAAAATGTCAATTTTAGTTCTCTTAAAATTTATACCAACTTTGATAGTCTGTACTTTTGATATTTTTAACCCAATTTTAAAAATAATTTTATCAAATTTTAAATAATTGTATCCACTTTTTGAAAATATAAATGTCCCATTACTAATTTTTTGAAATTATCCACAAAATATAAAATGTCAATTTTAGTTCTCTTAAAATTTATACCAACTTTGATAGTCTGTAGTTTTGATATTTTTAACACAATTTTAAAAATAATTTTATCAAATTTTAAATAATTTTATCCACTTTTAGAAAATATAAATGTCCCATTACTAAATTTTGAAAGTATCCACAAAATATAAAGTATTGTCAATTTGAGTCCTCTTAAAATTAAGAGCAATTTTGACAGTCTGTAGTTTTCTTATTTTTAACCCAATTTTAAAAATAATTTAGTGTATTTTTTTTTAAATTAAGACATTTTGTTTTTATTTTTTTCCTAAATTTTAAAAATAATTATATTAAATAGTAGAGTAAAGTAAAATTAAGTGGAACCACCATAAAATTATACATATTTCTATAACGTTATAATATTCATTATACATGTCCTGTTTAAATGGATTCTTTAAAAAATCTGAAAGTATAAAATTTAATAATAGCTTCAGATTTGGGGGCTCAGATAAAACACCCGTTATACAAGAATATGGTAACGTGTCATATTTCAGACGGATCCCGATAAACTCGACGTTCATAGAAATGGCGATAGGCCGCCTTAGATCGGACGATCTCTACGGTCAGATATCCGTTTACCCGCTACCCAAACACCGCAGCACCGCCCTAAGCACGCAAGCGTCCATGCTGTACGTCTGCTTGTTTTTCTCCGCAAACGTCCTCCACGCGCAAACGGCGATAATGCGCGAAATAGTCGACAAGTTTTTCCCCGACAACTGGGTGACATCGGTGTACATGGGCATGATCGTGAATCTGGCCGAGGTGTGGGAGCCCTTCAAAGCCGCCAGGATGGCCTTGAACAACACCTTGGAGATCGTCAACGTGAAAGACTACGCGCAAGGTTTCGGCAGTAACATCGTCAACTTACACCAAACCACGAACATGCTGCTGAAAGAGGGGAACATCACCAAGGAAACCTTGCTGAAAGACATAAATAATATCATAAACACGCTGAGGGATTGCAATGTCACCGTGCGTTGGTTGATGCTGCACACTTTCGGCAAGCAAGACAAAAATAAGAAACTAAAGCAACTTAAAGATCTTATTGTAAACGAATCCAAATGCGAGTCGGCGCAGATATTTAAGTTGCTGTTGAACACAGCCCAGTTGGAGTTAACTTGCAGGGAAATGTTTAAAAATCTCCTGCACGAAAAGGAGAAACAATGGGAGGATTTAAAACAGCAGAGCTACAAAAGCCTGTGCGAGCTGTCTGAAGTTTTCGGCGGAAGCGTGCCGCTATCCAGAATCCAGAAAAACGAGAACTTGGAGAAGTGGTTTTTGGAAATATCGAAGCAAGTCGAGACGTTGCACCAGCACGAGAACAACTCGTCGAGAAAGTTGGTGCAACTGATACAGGCGTTGGAGGAGGTGCAGGAGTTCCACCAGCTGGAATCCAACATGCAGGTGGTGCAATTCCTGAGCGAAACCAGGAAGGATCTGCACCGGATGGTGAGGAACATGAACATCAAGGAAGACGTGCTGATAAACCTGCAAATAATCGGCGATGTGAGCTACGCGTGGGAGCTAATCGACTCCTACACGCCCATAATGCAGCTCGGCATCAAAAAGGAACCGACCCTGGTGATAAAACTTCGCGCTGTCTTCCTGAAGCTCGCCTCCGCCTTGGAATCGCCTTTACTGAGGATCAACCAGGCGCACAGCGAGGATCTGATCTCCGTATCTCAGTACTACAGCAGCGAGCTGGAGATTTACGTCAGGAAGGTCTTGCAGATCATCCCGCGCATGATGTTCCAGAAGTTGGCCAGGATAATCGAGATGCAGACCTCGGTTTTAAAGGAAATCCCCACCAGGTTGGACAAGGATAAGGTCAAGGATTACGCGCAGCTGGAAGAGAGGTTCGAGTTTGCCGAGTTGACGCACTCTATCTCGGTTTTTAGTCAAGGTAAACCTTGGGTTTTACGGGGTGGTTAAGTGTGGGATTTCGGGCGAAGACACGCAAAGAAATTTGTTGTCAAAATCAATATAAATATATGAATTTTCCTTACAAATTGTGTTGAAAATACGGATAATAACAAATAGTAATTCACCTTCAAACAAAATTGAAACAAATTTATTACTATAACTTACAACCACAGACCACCAAAACAAATGGACGGCGCATTGCCATTCAATAACAATGCTTTGTTTGCGGTCAACAAACGGTCACAGTCTAAGCGTCAAATTGGAGATAGAATTTTATGTTTTCTTCCAATGACGTCAACAAACGGTCATCTATGAGTCTAAGCGTTAAATTGGCGATAGAATTTTATGTTTTCTTCCAGTGACGTATTGGGATTAAAAAAATTATAAGTAGGTAGGTACTTACAAACGATATTTCCATGTATTGTTATTTTTAGTAAAAAATAATGTATTTAAACTCCATAATTAACTTAAACACGATAGAAATACAGAAACGAAAACACAAAACAACAAGCTGTCAACCTTTTTCTATGCTGTCAAATATGACAAATTTACCAACGTTGTTAAAATTTAATTTTAATAATTATAAAATGATTTACTTTCTTTAAATAGAGAAAAATATCTAAAGAAAATGATGAACAAATCCTTTTTACAATTTTTTTTATTATTCAAACGAATTACTGGTAATTATTAATGTTCATTATGTTATGATGAACGTCCAAAAAGGCGTGTAATCTATACTTCTGACCGTGTTTCTTTCGACGGTGTTTAGAATGTGAAACTAGCTTTACTCGCTTTTTAAACGTAAACAAACCCGTCCATTTGTTTTGGTGGTCTGTGCTTACAACACCTAAGTATAACAGCAATTTGTGGTTGCTAATAAGGCTGGGAATTTTTTAGTTTTAGAAATTCGAATACTCGTTTAAAAATTATTTCGAATATTCTTGTATTCGAATATTCGTGTACCTACTCGTAAATTCGAATATCGAGTACATATTCGAATTCGAAAATAAAAATATTCAAATATTTACCAGGTCAAGTGAAGTTTCACTAGTTTTAGCGATTTTTGGATAGAGTTAATTAATGTATGCATTATTATTATTATTATATTATTTATTATTAATTTGAGTCTCCTATGAAATAATATTAGTTTATCATGATTTAAGAGCTCTCTTCAAAAATCAGCTCAATTGATTAAAAAAAAATAATGGTCGCACAATAATTTTGAAAATTCAATATGTGATTAAAATTTTTGATTCAAAATTCGAACAATTTTTTGGTCAAAATTCGAAAAAATGTTTGCTTGCCACGGTAAATTTTTGTAATAAGTTTCTTAAAGTTTCAGCTCTGCATCTAATCTCTAAAAATGAATTAGTCAAAAATTACTAATTACTACAGTTATTAGTGGCTGCTTTTTCCCCTATACCATGAGATAGCATGGTATCCCCGATATAATAGCGAATTCTTATGTAAAATTGTCCCCTGAATCAGAAAATACTGTCAAAAATTATAAAAGTAGAGCAGTTTTTGAGATATAGTCAATTCCATATTATATATACATTTTTTGATTATGCGGACAATTTTACATAAAAACTGGCTATTATATCGGGGATATCATGGATCACACGGTATACCATGGTATAAGTGAAAAAGCAGCCACTAATAACTGTAGTAATTATTAATTTTTGACTAATTCATTTTTAGAGAGTAGATTTTGATGCAGAGCTGAAACTTTAAGAAACTTATTACAAAAATTTACCGTGGCAAGCAAACATTTTTTCGATTTTTGACCAAAAAATTGTTTGAATTTTGAGTCAAAATTTTTAATCACTTAAGATATTAGATAATAGCTTTCTCCGCCCGGTCTATAATGCACTATTTCTTACATTACTTAAGGAATGAGGATGATGAAAAGTACCTTAGTGGGAGTGGTGTGCTTGGATCCGAAACAATTGCTGGAAGACGGAATACGTAAAGAGTTAGTTCAACACATTTCTAAAGCTTTACATTCCGAACTAATATTCAGCAGCAAACCAAAAGCTGAGGAACTGGAACAAAAACTAAAGTCCCTAGGAGCGATTATGGATGGGTACAAGAGATCGTTCGAATACATTCAAGTACTACCTATTGTAGTTTTTTATATTATTTAACATTTCTTACCTTCTTTTTATCAGGATTATATAAATTTGAATGGTTTAAAGATATGGCAGGAAGAGGTGACTAGGATAGTAAATTTTAACGTGGAACAAGAATGCAATGGTTTTCTGCGTAATAAGGTTCACAACTGGCAAAGTGTGTACCAAAACAGACATGTCCCAATACCATATTTTGCCCGTACAGATAGTATAAGTGAAAATTTTATAGGCAGGCTTGCCAGGGAGGTTATAAGGATCACAGACCCAAGGTAACAAATATTTCATCACATCACAAATATTTAAGTCGTCCTGGTCACGGCACCAAACCGTTCCAGATATCCATTTATCTACTACCATAAAACAACACTATTATTAACATGCAAACTTAAAAAAATAAATAAAATGTTTCCGTGTTACCAATATGTTGTTTACTTTTTAAGAAATTCCATATATTTATTGCAAACATCGACCTGGTACGATATTAAAACTCACAAGCCCGTATTTAACAAAGAAGGCATCGGTTTGATTGCGTCAGCGATAGAAATTGCTGGATTAGCAGGCCTTGACCGGTTGTTTTCCTTTATGATTGTTACCAACTTACAGAAAATAACAGGTGAATAGCTCGATAAATATCCTCAAGTATTACTTAATTAATATTTCCAGCTATATTTGAGAACAAAAACATAAAGCACAACAACTGGAACAGCGTTATGACAATGATTTACAACGACTTTAAAAAAACTGAAGAACTTTCAAATCCCCTCAAGTTCTACCAAAATCAAGTCAGTAGAACCTCGAAAATTTGGAACGAATTTCTAGAGTACACCTTACTTGTTGGCCAACTGCAACTATTAAGGCACCTAATCGCCTTCCACTTGAACAAATCCTGCAAGTTTAACGCCAAAAATATGGAATCTTCGCTGAGGACCTTAAACAAGTAAGTAGGTTAAGGCCCCCACAGAACAAGAAGTTAAAAATGTATAACTGGATAAAAAACGAACACTGCTTTTGAGTTTCACGAATTTATTTAAATTTTATTGGACAATTGTTTCGCTTACACTGAAGCTTCTTCAGAAATGATTACAAACTTTATCTAATAATCATTTCTGAAGCTAGTGTTAGCGAAACAATTGTCCAATAAAATTTAAATAAATTCGTGAAACTCAAAAACAGTGTTTGTTTTTTATTGGTGACATGGAGTTAAAAAAAAAAGAAGTTAAAACATCCAAATTAACACGCCGTGTTTTGTTATCAGAGCACTTTTACTGGACATAAAAAACGAACATTACGAACCAAAAGAGGAGCTACTTTTCGCCCTGTCCAGTTATTTTGATTACGCCGGGTTAAACAATCCATTTAGAAAAGTTTACGTAACGTCCAAAAATAATATGGACTACTCGGTGGCCATTTTCGTGTTTGCTATAGCGCATCTGCCAAAAATATTTCTTCCTAAAAATACAGGTAAGTTTGTGATTTGTTATTGCATGTTTTGTATTGTTGTTTTTTAAGGTAATTTTAATAGACGAGGACAAGACCAAATAGACGGAACTGCTTTCGCCGTTGCTATACAAACTGTTTTAAAGCAGTTTCATAACAATATCAACCATAATTTTATAGAGTTATTCTCGAATTTTATTATGCAACTCACCAAGCATCACATAAGGTAAGATTTTATGTTGTTTTTATTTTATTTTACGTGTCAACTTTGTAGTACTAAAAACTCCGAATTGCCGTTGGAAGTGATTTTATCCATGAATTTTATGGATGTTTATACAGATTTTTCCAACGAATCCAGAATTTCTTACAGAGAGTGTTTACCGCCAGAAATATTACACATACAAGAATCTTTAGCAATGCCTACATAATATTCTAAAACTAAGTAAAACATTGAGACTGCAGGACATTCCTAATGATACAAAATATATATTTTAATAAAGTTGTTATATATGTACATCAAATAAATGCTTACTTCGTTTTCTTACTTGATTTATTTCTGGTCCTGGTCACGGCACCAATCGGTTCTTCCTTACTACCAAATAAAACGACACTATTATTAAAATGCAAACTTTATTGGCGCTTAAAACTAATTAATCTGTAATCTGAGTCAACAAAGCGGTTCCCTTAAGTATCCAGTAAGCTGGAAGAAAGTTTGAGGGCAGCAAAACGGCAATCACGAAATTTGTGCTGTGTCCAGTGGTGGAAAGCACTCCGGCCCTTACGGAGGTTTTGTACAGGGGGGCCGGGTATCTGTCTTTTTCCGCTAGATGGGTGGAGGGGACCAAGGTTAAGGCAACGAGAGGTGGACTGATCTCGCCTAAAAAGATGCACATTTTGACAAAAATCAAGACTTGTCCACTTATTTTACCTGGTTTGGCATCTACAAGTTTCATTAGGTCGATATCCCAACGTCCCGCATCCACAAACAACCCATGTATTATCACACCATCGTTGGGTCTTATTAAAGGTTTGTAAAGGTCAAAATTCTAAAAGTAAACCATTTATCATGATATTCTAATATATTAAAGGCAGTTTTTACTTCTTTTCCTTCCTCTACATGAAACTTGTAAACTTCTTCCTGGTCCAAATAAACCTTTCTGGGGATAAAATCAAATTTGAGTTCATCTATAGGTAAATTGTATTTTCTTGCGTGAGTTTGCAGAGTTCCGGTTAAAAATCCTTGTGGAAAGTAAAAGCCCGATATCCAATATGATATCGGGTGCCCATATCTAACCCACATCTAAACGAAAACGTAAATAAAAAAGTTAAATTCAAAAAAGTACTTACAGATATAAAATCGAGCCTCAAAGCCAAATCGTGCACCCAACTGCCCAGGCTCTTCAGCGAATTGTAACACTTTGCAGACCACATTTTGGGCACTTGGTTGTTCATAAAAGCCTTGAAAACTTCTTCCAGAGCGTCGGACATGACAACGAAACCCTTGATGGCCTTTTTGAGTTCGCCCATCGACGAATGAATCAATTTCAGCAAAATATTGTATCTGTCGATTTCTTGGGTTAAAACCGTGGTGAGAGAGGGTAGTCTACCCTTGTCGTCTTTCTGCAAGATTTTTATTTAATAAGTTGTAAAATGTTGTTACATGTTGCGTACAATAAACATTTTCACATTTATGTCGTCGGTTAGAATTTTGGGTAAAATCGTCGCAATTACATTTTCGGCCAGTTCGTACACTATTTCGTCGCTTGAAGCGCCTTCAGCGCCCCCTGACGTCTGCGGCTGACTTTCCATTATAGTGCCGATCAAATTTTGAGTTTCTTTAATCTAAAATTACATTGCAATCAATATACAACGTTATTTATTTGCATGCGTGTTACTTGGTAAGCGATATTGGCATTCTCGTGCATTCCAAATATTTCAGGTTCTTCCATTATCGGCAGCCCCTCGATAAAATCCCGATATTCTTGTAGTGTTTCGAGTTGCGGGCAAAAGTACGTTCCGGATTTCGAGTAAACGTAACCTGGCGCCAAAATTTGAGGCGAAAAAAATATTTTCAATATAGTCTTCAAACATCGCAAGTCCCAGTAGTCAGTCACTCTGCCACCGTAAGTTATTTCGCCTAAGGAAGATTGCAGTTACTATATGCATGTCATGATCCCTTAGGGGAATGATTAGTGCTACTGTTTTTGAATAAAAAACTCTTATTACTACACATAAATAAATAGTATTGCAAGTACCTGTGAGGTATTCCAAAGCATCCCACGGTATAGTTTTATTTTCGCAAAACATTTTTAACGTGTTAAAACCGAATTCCCTATCACTATCGTTAAACTCGTATGTGATGTTCCAACCAAGAGGCCCAAACTTTTTTCGTTCCTGAATTATAGCGTGAAACATGCATAGACCAAACAGCATGGCGTGCCAGTCTTGCTTTAAGTCTTAAAAAATATCAATTAAAACACAAACTAATCGTAATATTAATAATAAAAACCGTTTTTAAAGAAGTCCTCGGTCATATCAGTGAACGCTCTCTTGACATTCGCTCTCAAGCCCTTGGGAGGTTCATTCGTGACTTTTACAGAATTCTGCAATACCGACACAGGAAAAGACTTGCTGGGCATCGAGCTCATGTAAAGCCTAAACGATTCGTGCACATTTTTGGCATTTTCGGAAATTTTCAGAACTATTCTTTCCAAAGACAACATCCAAGAGGTGGCCAAATGACAATTCTGAAATATATGTATATGAAGATGTAATTAAAGGTGGGTATTTCCATCTCAAATTGACCAGGAACAAAGAGGTAGGTAGTTATTTTTCAACGAATTTTTTGTTACAGTTTCTCTACCGAAATCAATGGGACCCGTATTTTTTCTTTTTGCTTAAATTTGTTTTGTTTACCCCTAGGAAATTTTTGAAAAATGAACAGAAACATCTATTTTTTTTACGAGTGACATTTTTTATTGAAAAAAACGATAAACCAAATTTTTGCTATGAACCACGAATTTACTAGAATTTAGACTTTCATTAAAAAAATAATAGTTCCGAAACGACGAATTTAGTTAACTCTGGACTTTTGGTGAAAGCCGTTCATATTATCAACTTCAAACGAAAAAAATATGAAGTAAAAAAATTTGGCAATATCAAAATTTGACCTTTTTTAGAAAACATTTTAGATGAAAAGGCCCAGGTGCAAGTTTTTAGTACCTGTAGGAAGACCCATTCTCCTGAGATCAGGGCATCGTTAATCAGTTTTTCGGCGACGGGACCTTGTCCTTGACCCAGGGAAATGGATTTAATTTTGTCCTTGTAATTCATTTCAATAGCGAATCTTTGAAATGCCCCAAAGGGATCTGACCCTGTACTGAGCACAAATATTAGAGGTACAGCGTTTGAGGTGTCCAAGTATCTAGTAAAAATGTTCCTGTGTAATTGATTTGGTACAATATTGCTACTTACAGAAGGTTCAATGATACCAGCGGACTTTCTATGAAAACTTGTCCAAGTTTCATCCTTACATACTCTGTGATGCCAAAGACAACCTTCTCTTCCTTCAAAGTTTTTAAAAGCAATAACTTTTCGAAGTCGTCCAATTCTGCGTTCCAGTTTAAGGCGCTTGCGGGGCAGCCAGGGACCAACTGTATGTACTAAAATGGAACCATCAAACAAAACCTTTGTTTGAGATTAAAAAACCTTACCAATGAATAATCTCCGATGCCAATCTTAATACCTTTGACGACCTCAGCGGGCAGTTCCTTAAACTTGGGAAAAGTGATGCTCAAAAAGTTGACCGCCATCCACATTTGCTCGGTTATCAACGGATAATCGGGTTTCTTGGGGACGGGACCTTTAAAACCTATGGGACCTCTAAGCAGGTAGTTTAATTGTACCTCGTTGATGATCTTCTTTTCCTGGTAAATCGCTATGTTCAACATGAAGCTGTAGACGAGCTTGTGCCGCTCGAATAAACCTCTAGACACGTTCGTGTACACAGCCAGGGTTATTTCTTGGTAGAGGGTTTGAAGCCTTAAATTCAGGTCTTTGTTTTTCGCGCTGGTGACTATAACGTTGTTGAAAATCTGGCTGAAGTATTTCAGAGAGTACTGATACATGGGATCGATTTCGCTCAACCCGGCAACCACAAAGTACAACACGGAACCTCTCGTAGCCACCGAGCGGTACTTTTCGCGAGCAATCGAAATTTTCTCCTCCGTTGCCTCAGTTTCCACCAACCTCGCTTCGATAATTGCCGAAGTTTCCTTGGATTCGTTCAGCGTTTCAATCAACTCCTCGTCGTCCAGGATGTTTCCTTTGGAGTTGTACAAGAGGAACAATATTTTATCCTCTATCCCCTTCAATTGATTCTTGTCGGTGTTGATTCTCACCACCAAATCGTTACGTTGCTCCTCCAAATCGGGTCTCTCCAAACGTACAACGTCACTGAAATACATTGCCAATTATTTTTTATTAACTTAATTACAACTTACGCCAAAAGTTGGTCCTCTAGACCGCTTGGCGTCACGGTGAAGTTAACTATTGTGACTTGAATGCATATTTCCGGTAGGTAGTGGGGATTCGACAATTTTGTGGTGATGTAGAACTTGAAATTCTGATCGTATTCCACGTCAGAGTCTCCCAGATGGATCAACAGTCTTCCGCCCTAAAACGTTGTTGTTGAATTAAATTTAAAATCACTAAACACATTCTTCTCACTTGAACAAAAGTTTGTCTCAGCAGAATCGGCCCCAACGTGGGATCGAGAGTCTCGCCCACCTCCTCGAGCAAAACGGGCATTCCTATTCTGACGGCGCTCTCCAAAATCCTCATGAAATTCCCGTCGGTCAGTTTTATAACTTGCAGCGTGTTTCCAGCCTCCATATTTTTTATCCATCGGCAAGCCTGCTCCTGCGGATCTATCATCAAGGGCCATCGAGAAGCTTTCGTCACCAAAATAGCGTTTTCCGTGGAAACCAGGTCTCTCGGCAGGCCGTAAGTGTTCCACATGCGGATTTCGTATTGGTCCGCCAAAATGTTGATCAAACTGAAAAAAATGTTCTATAGTTTCCATAAGTTACGGGTGGTGGTTATACCTACCTAAAATTTGATGACGCAGGTATACCATGTTTTTTGCATTTCCTCTCCCACGAGTTCACCAACTGAACTCTGTAAAAGTTGGTGAAAGCACCAAGATATGCTACGCAACCAGCTGCCATCATTGCATCGCCAATTGCGTTGTTTAACTCCACTGCAAATTGCTAAAAAGAGATGCTCTCAAATAAAACCATTTGCATTTATTTTCTTTCAAACAGAGTCGTTCTTGTGAGAACTGTCCAAATACCTCGTCACCGTGCTTTGGTTTCGAGCGTGCTATACAAACAGGCACCCAAGAGACTTGATCTTATTAGACCTCATCAGTGTCGGATAGCCTAGACACACACAGTCAAGAACCTTACTTCTCACCGCTGTCGCTGTACTTGTTTGCCCATAAAATTCTCTTGGCAATGTATGTCAAGTGTGCTAATACCCACGGCTATCCGGCACTGATGAGGTCTCATTTGTGCACTAAATCATTTTTTGACATTCCAAGTCGTTCTTATTGTAAAGTTTTTTCTACGACCACTATGTAAAAGTCAAATTTCGTATCGGCATCGTTGCTTGGAAAATGCATCTTTTCATTGGCAAGGCAAAACACGAATGTAAAGTGACATTTCTGTGTGAAAAGTGACAGGTCTGTTTGAAAAGAAATTGACAACATCGTTTGACATTTGTATTGTTTTTGTATATGTATGTCTAATCAACACAATTAATTGTGTTTGTATAATAAATTCCAATTTTAGTGCCTTTATTTAAAGTGAGAAGGTAAGTTTATTGATGTTAAGTAACTTATAACTTAAAAATTAGAGATTTTAACAGCTGTCAAACAAGATTATTTTGTTTTGTATTTGATTACTCTACGTTAACAGCTATTACAAGTTGATTTGTAGTTTCAATTTAATAAATAAATAAATAAATAATAAATAAATAATAATAATACAAAATAAAAGAGTTGTAGAAAAATCATTGTTTCACTTGTGAGAAAAGCTTTCTTCAAGCTCGTGTTAACGCACACTCTGCCTGACGGCCTCGTGAGCAACTTAAACAATCGCATGAAAAAGTCGCTCTTCAACACTTTTAAAACAAACAACTATTTCCCAACCGATTCCAAAATCAAAACTAACGGAAAACGGCAACTTGATACTTGCCTTGACGCTTTCCTCCCATCTAGTCTGTTCATCGCCCAAGGCGACATTTAATCTTCCGGCCCTGTTTAATCTGTTCGCTGTGAGTTCCATGTTGTCTTCTAAAGCTTGTTTTTCATCGATTGTCTTCGCAAAGGTAGCTTCCAAACCAGCAATCATAGCTTCAACATCGGCCAGTTGCTTTTGCTTATCACGTAGCAATGCCATCGTTTGGTTGAGTTCTTTTTCAGCTTCGGCAAGTCTAGGTAAAAAAAGTTATTGATGGTTTTAAAATATCACGTAAAAATCACGTACTTTTTTCGTTTAGGTTCCACAACTTTAAACACTTTGGCATACATGTCCATGGCTCTCACCCACATACACAAGCTTTTGCAAGCTTTCGATACATTTGCAATTTTTTCCGGAACAAAATCAGGATTCACTATATAGGAGTGTAGTTTTTTCAACACTACATCGCTTATGTTATTCTTATCGTACTCTTGCAATTTCTTTAGGAAGTTCGTGTCACCCAAAACCTTCTTGGCAGAATCCCAAGTTATCCTACAAAGATGCCATTAAAGTTCGAAAATATTTTACTTAATTATTTACTTAGAATTGAGCAAAATGCATACAGACTCCATAACATACTGCACCAATTTGGGCGGATTATTAAACGCCTTAACTTCATTAATATCGTTCTTGTTCAAACTTGAAAGTGCTTGCACCGCAGCCTCCAGCGCTGGCATGGCCGTGTCCAGATCTTTTTGGGCATCATCCGCTATCGCCTGGGTAACTGTAGCTTTCTCCTTGGCATTCTCCTCATCGCCTTTAACCACGTTTCGAACCTTATCGGCTGCCTTCTGCTCTTTCGCCAAGTACACCATCAGTTCCGCTGCTGCTTGCGATTTTTTGGCCAGCTCCGGCTCCAAAGCGATCAAAGTTTCCTTCATCGAGTCGATAACTTCGTTGGTCTCGTAGATCTTCTTCAGCCCATTGTCTATTTTGTCTCTAGTTTTGTTTATCGTGTCCTTGCGTCTAGTCAAGAGGGATTTAAACAGTTTGATCAACTCCAAGTAACTGCTGGGTGTTATGTAGTAGTGGCGCTTCATTTCTTTGTAGAATCTGTCGGTCATCTTTTCCATACTCTTGTGCATCGTCACGCATATATTGCCAAGACTGGCAACCATCGCTTCGTCGCCAACGTTTTTCAAGCTGTTTAATGCCACCGAAACCAAAGCTTCTTCGGGCCATTTGTCAAACCAATCTATGGTACAACAGTTTACTAGAGAGGGGAACATCCTACATCTCCTCCTAAATATTATGAAGATTTTACTTGCATAAAGTGGGAAAAAGCGACCAAATATGAAATAGCAGCATTTCTCTGATAGACCCAAAACAAAGTTGTCTCACTTCATTTGTGGGAGAAATGTTTTTCTTTTTATCAGAGAAACAATTGGTATTCCATATTTGGCCTCTCTCATCTATGTTTTACCTAAATGCATCACCCACAGGGCTCATACACAAGACCAAATGTAGATTGGCTCGAACTCTATTGATAAAGAATTCAAAAATTCCATCTCTATTCGATTCGCTAACACCTGCATGTTTAGCTGGATCTCTGCAAGCAATTATACATCTTTCCAGCTCGTCAGATTCAAATAGGTTTGGTACTTCACCTAAAGTGTTAATACGTCGATAATTTAATGCCAAATTAAAAGAAGTACCTACACATTGCTTAAGAAGAACATCTGATACACTGCTTGTAGATAAAGGGGCCAACGTTAATTTAATGTGACAATTGTTTCGCTGACACAGTAGCTTCTTCAAAAGAAAGTAGTAGAAGCTACTGTCAGCGAAACGATTGTCAAATTAAATTAAAATAAATTCGTGAAATTAAAAAAAAATGTGTTTGTTTTTTATCTAGTTATACATTAGAATGCAATTTTGCTAAAAATGGGGCTTTTATTTACTTAATTTAAAAACACTTTTTGTATTATCTTTGAGCGGCAGTAATAGTATATTAAAGTACAAGTTGCAGAAGGCCACATATTCTCGCACGAATTCGAAATTTGGCCTCGAGCGACGAAGGAGCGAGTGGACGAACGAATGAGTGCGAGAATAGCCTTCTGCAACGTGTGATTTATACTATTTTCTCGATTTTAACTTTTATTTAGGTTTTTTTAATTGTTTTGTGGTCGTTGTTAGTTAGGGGATTTTTCTCGCAAAATGTCAGTTGGCAACACAAAATGACAATATTTGTTATCCTGCACAAGTACAACCTGAACTGCACTTTTACACATTAAACTTAAAATTTTGCATTAAAATGCATTGTTGGAGCAAACTTTATATTACAAAACAATAATAAAGGCTTCATTTTCAATAAAAGTAATGAATTTGAGGTTATTAATCAGTTTGACATTTTGGGGGTACCAATACTTAAAAACTAAATGTTACCAAAAATCGTTTAAGAATGAGCTTCATTCTTCAACGATTTTGCGTGCGATAATATGACATTCTTACATAAAAATCGAGAAAAGTACTTCTACTGACGCTCGTTAGCGTAATGTGCATGTCAAGCAAGAAGTGCCCTTACCAGAGTTAAGAATGTTGTTTATGTCCTCTAGGAACTCTTCTTGTACTATTTGGGTATCGGTGAACAGGAAGACTGTGTTTTCGTTCAAACCACCTGCAGTAAAGTACATTTTTCTTAGATCCTCGAAAAAGGATGCATGGTCGTAGTTCCTAGTCAGCTCTATTTGATAACATCTACAAGTAAAAATGATTAATAAACTATAACTATTGTATTGTTTCTTTTACTTGTAACCATTAACATGGGAGGATAATTTGGTCAAACTTTGTTTTCCCATGCCGCCTACGCCAACCAATAGTGCGTTACCTCGTTCAGACCTCAAAATTCTCGCCAATCTGACGCAGTGTTCCACCGCATCCAAAAAGAATATCAAGTCCATCTCTTTGGCGGTGCTTAGATTAAAATCGTCCAAGTAATCTTGCAGAACGTGCTTCACTTTATCCAAATTACTGATCTCCTCGTAAAGCCTGTCCTCTCGTGGCGCTCCAAACGTCATAAAATCGCCAAAAAGCAAAACCGGCGGTTCAGTTATCAACTCTTCCTCGGGCAACATCAAAACCGGCGTGCCGAAGTTCCTGTTGCAAATTTCCTTCATGAGAAAGTAAAAGTAGGATTTATCCTCGACGTTTATCAATCTGTCGTGGAACACACGAAGGCACTCGTGATAAAACAATCTAGTAATCGCCCTCTCTTCTCTCATCGTCCCCGGATCGGCCTGCGTGATTCCTTGTATGCATTTGGAGAGATCTCTGAGATTGAAAACGTAGTGAGATTTCGCGGGGGTCGGCAGAAGATCGGTTGCGATTCTATCGTAAATGTCCACTGCGGCGTTCACCATGGAATCGCCCATATCGCGCACCTGGTTGGAGAACTCCTTGAAGAAGCCCTTGAGAATCGCTCTGAATATTCCCTTGAGAGAATACTCGTTGGGCGGCGGAATCAACAAAATGCCAAAATGCCGGATAAATCTTGGAGTTAGTGGGTTTCTGCCTCCCCCAGGTGGAGCGCAGGCGGAAGTAATGATAACATCCTGGATTTTCTTCCAGAACAACTTCTCTCTATCGTACAAACCGCCGTAGTCCAAAAACTGCCTCAACAGTTCAATGGGAGGTTGCGCTCCATACGTTTCCAACTTGGGCATGTTGACATCGTCGACAAATATAACAACTTTTTTGCCCACCGGAGCTCCCAGTAGGGTTTTCTTTTTTCTATCGAGCTTGAGCTCGATGATTTCCTGCGTCCTAAAGCTGCTCGTTTGTGCAGAGAAGTTCATAGAAACCGGCACAAACAAGTTGGTTTCTTGAAGGGCGTTCAAAACGGCTTTCGCCACCACCGATTTGCCAACGCCGGTGTCTCCAGTAAGCAAAACTGGGTGGTCTATGTATATCAGTCGTTCCATCACATGCCCATAACGCACTGTATCTATGGTAGGGACTAGCATTTCAAAGAACGGTATATCGCCATTGTACCTAAACTTTGGAATTATTTTTTGCCATATTTCCAGTTTGTGAGTAACCACATCGACGTAAACACCCCACAGTTCAGTGGCAGTTGGCAACCTCGCATCGGGATGTTCATCAAATTGATCTCTCACGCAACTTTCAAATTTATCTTTGCTATCCTGCGTTAAATTTCCACCAAGACCCCACAGGTACGCGATTACGAACGTCTGGCACAAAAATTTACGAACTTTCCTTTTCTCGCCGATTTTATCCATCGCTCCTGGCATTTGCAAGTAGCTCTCGAAAATGTTGCACAGCATCTTTACTTTGCTCACCTCAACCTTAAAGGAATCATCAATTTAGTCTAATAGGTCGTAAATTGCGAGAGGACATACTTGGTTGATTGAAAAAACGCAATTCTTCTTGATAAATACGAAACCATTCTCCACAGCGTGCTCGAAAAGAGTCAAAACGAAATCCTTCATCTCTTGATTGACCAAGTTTTCGTTCAACTTTTGCAACCACGATTTCGCGAAGGGCATCCACTTGATTTCGTCGGGATCCACGTAAACCATGCCGCAACTAAAACTCCAAACTTAAAAGGGTGTTCAAAATTTTGGCGCAAACGCTTACCGGCTCACCGTGGCGGGGGATGCTTGGGCCAAATCTTGCACCTCGAAAACCATGTGAACGTATGGGGTCAACTTAATTCGCTCAGAGTTCGCGAGACAAAGCATCTTATTGTCGTCCAGCACAGTATTTAAATTTTCTATCCAAACTGCGTCTACCGGCCCGTCACAAACGATCCATTGGTGATCTTCGGATGTATCCTAAAATAGAAGAATAGTGGCCTCGATTTTGCAGGATACGTTGTCGAAGGTTTACCACAACGGCAGTCCTCATCATGAGGCCCATCAAGCCGTCCCTCCATTCCAAAGTAAAAGGGTTAACTTCTCCGTATAATTCGCCAGCTGTGACGGCTTTGGGGTTCATGAAATAAGTGTGTACGGGGTGGTAGTAAGGCCCGGGGATTTCGTCGGTATACATTTTCGTCAAAGCCATGTTCAAAGTCTGAAAAAGCATCTTTAAAAGAATTAAAAAAAAAACATTTCTTACATTTAGTATGGCAGATTTTCCCGAGCCTGTAGGTCCAACCAACATGACCCCCCAACGAACAATCATGGTTTCGTACAACTGTATGACTTTATGGATCATTGGCAGTTCAGGTTGCAATATTTGCTCCAGCATAACTTCCACAATAGCTTCCTGGAACAGGCCGTAATCTTCCACGGGCAACTCCACGCCAGGAAACAGATCTCCGAGAATTCCCTGGACAAAATAAATAAACTAACCTACAGGTAGTCGATCTCTTACTTACTTGAAAGAGTATGGCATCGTCGGTCAAAAATTTGGGCAGGTTGCTGTCGCGCAATGCGCAGATCAAGACGACGTCCTCGTTTCTCGTAGGATTGGCCCTTTTCAGGGCGCCAGCCATCACCAACACGCTTTTAACGGCGCGCATGCCGAAATCGTAGTGGTCTTGCTGCGACAGCTGCTCGCTGCAAAGTTTGTACATGTTCACCATCTTTCTCGACAACACTTTCGACGACTCAAACCCTTCCGAGTACAAGATAACCTCGGCTATGAGAGCTACAAACAATCAGTCAGATAATGCACAAGGAAACTTGCAAGTTTACCGTAATCCGGCACCATCATGGATATGGGTCTGAAAAGGGATTTCAAATTGTCCGGCAATTCTGTTCTGCCAGCGTAGCCGGGATTCATGGTTATAAAAGCTGCGCACTTTTGAACCAACTTAATTTCTCTTCCTTCGAAATAAAACCTAACAAAGGATGAAACAACAAATTTAAACAGAGTACACTTCGCTTCTGAAGATGCCACATCGTTGGCGAAAAGTACTTTAAGCACTTTGTGTTTTGTTTTGGTGTTGGGGGATATTTCTAATATTTGTTTAAAATATCACCCAAGTTGTATTTATTACCTAGACACTTTAGCGGCTTTGGCATTCCTTATGGTGATCAATTGCTGGGCAATGACCGACAACACTTCTATGTCGATCCTGTTGAACTCGTCAAAGCAGCACCAGGCTCCCGACTGCGCCAAACCGGAGAAAAACCGGCCCATCATCTTGAAATCCAGGCCCTCGGAGCAATTGAACACCACGCACTGAATCGCCAACGCCTTGGCCAGATCCTTCGTCGTCTCAGTTTTACCCGTGCCGGCTGGACCGGCTGGGGCGCCACCTAAACAAAACGTTAAAAAATAAATAAATGTTGTGCGACAGTACAAGAAAATTCCTGCCTAAATCTAATTGGAGGGCTCCCATGAGGCAAAGATAACACCTATCAGTTAAAGGTGTGATGACAAGTACGCCTCCAGCCCCCAGATATTCGTAACCGTATACATATTTGCCGCTGGACATTCTCGCCAGGCAGTCATCTATGGCTTCGTCCCAGTAGTATCGAAGAACCTTTAGCCATTCAAAACTCGAACTAAATGTAAAATAGGTTGATTGAATGAAGCAGGTTTGTAATACTATTTCGCATACCTATCGCTGACCCCACTAGCCACCATGTTGTGTATGGTATCTCTCGCATGAACATCAATGGTAATCAAAGCAATCAAAATCTTCCTGGTCACTGAAGAAAGATCGCTTCTGACCAAAACAGCCAAATTATTTAAGTCCTGTTTAGTGAAAAAACATAAACATATAAAGTTTCAATAATTAATTAATAAAATACCGTAATGCATTTTGCCTCGTAAGCCTCCAACTTCTTGGACACCTGCGCTGGTGGATTGTTGTTGAAAATTTGGTGCACTCCTTGCGCCCATTTTATCTGCGAAACGGTGAGTATCACTTGATTGGGGTGGCAAACCACCCAGTCGTTTCGAGCTCGAGACGCGTAATCAATCAGGGAAGCCTTCATTATTCTCCTCAGAGAAAAGAACATCGACTCCTCCACTTTGCCGAGCCAATCCTCCACGTTGCCTCTGGCCTTGAGGCCCTTCCCCAGAGGCACTCGCTCCCCTTCGGGGCTCAACATCGCGATTATGTCGGTGGTGAGAACCATTTCGGGCGCTTTTTCCTTCTTCTTCGAGTCGACATCTTCCACATTGTCGTCCACCGCCTTCAAGCCAAACTCCAGTTTCGCAATCGCGTCAAAGCATTTGCGCAAATGCGGCTGGACAGCGTGCGGGTTCCTGGTTTGCGCCAGGATATCCAGAAGTTCGTCGTTCGATAGGAAATAAAAGCGCGGGAAAGCCACCCGTTTGGTTTCCAGATAGGATTCCAGACATTTCATTATGTTGTCCAGGTTCTCGTTGTTTTTCTTAAAGGTCTCCAGAAGGTTTGGAAACATGGCAGCTTCCATTGCCAAAGGCATCTATAGTTAATAAATAACAATTTATTAAAACAAATTTCTCTTGTGAATAAACTTTACAATAAATTAGAATTTAGGAAGAAATAATAGGTTTTTGTTAATTTATTAATCAGTGTTTCCACCTTTAGCCTCAATGCAAGCACGAATTCGATGAGGCATGCTTTTTATTAAGTTTATTTATTCCAACCCCTTAAAAAAACTTCTACTAGTTGCTCTGCAATGTCGTGTTTTTTAACGGGCATTATCCGGCATAAATAAAAAAAATTGCAAAACACAGTTAAGGGTAAAAAAATAAGTGCAAAATAGAGTTAGCCATTTAAATTGGTATTTGGAGCATTAAAAGTAGAGAAATGTCTTATTTTCGGATAAACCCAGAATCGGCCTGCGATCAGACGACAAGCTAGACTCTTAGCTGAACGAGCGATCCCTCAATTCAAAGGAAGAAGTGTAATGTTTTGGGGTGGCTTTATGATTGGTGAAAACATTTCTTTGGTTTCCTTTAAATAATCCCTAAGAGGTCCAAGGTATGTAGATTTAGTTCTACAACCCTTAGTAGGGGTACAGGATAATGCGCCTCCATTTACCAGCAGAGTTGCCAAAAATTGTGTGGAAATGAAAGGTGTGACTGTTTTAGAGTGGACTTCTTGTTTACCAGATTCTGATCGAATTGAAAACTTGTGGAATAAGGTTAAAAGGATTATAGCTCGTCAAAATAGCCCTGGCAATGCAGATAAACTAATAAAAGCAGTTTTAGAGGGGTAAGGAAATGTTTCCCAAGAAGAAATTCATATCTTTGATTCATTGATGATAGAGGTGTCAATACTGATTATTTAATTACCAAAAACCTATTATTTCTTTTTAAATTCTAATTTACCGCAAAGTTTCTTATCAGAGAAATTTACATTTTTTGTTATTTGTTCGATATAAAATTTGTTTTAATATTTTTTGTGTTTCTTTTTTTTATATATTTTATATAAAATTGGTTAGGATACGGTGCTTTTTATTTTCAATTCACTTTTGTAGTAAATTTACCTTGGCAGTTCTTCTCATTATTTCCTTCCATGATTTATCCACAACCAAAAACATTTTCGATTCATTGGGAAGCTGTCTTTGAATATCAGGGGCAGAAAATATTATCTCCAGGTAAATCCAACTTTGTTGGCACGAGTACCACTCATCCTTAAAAACAACATAATGGTATTTGTCCAAATACAAATTTGCATTATTGTTATTTATTTATGATTACCAGAATTTTGGAAAAAAGATCCAACTTGATGGCCCACTCATCCACCCTGTTCTTTATGGGTCCAACGTGCCTCGAACTGGCAATGGTATTAATGTTTATATTGCTTTCATCCAAGACTGCCTGTACTTCCTCCAGTGACCCAAGTATGTAAACGTCTTTGGCATCCTTATGAGGAATAACTGGGAATTCCAGTACCTCCCAAGCCTCTTCAACCTAAAATTTGCAAGTTAAAGGAACAATAAATGTCGATAAAAAAGTTAAATGCCTTCTTGAGCAGCGCCTCCAATCCTGCTTCACTACTAGCTTGCCCAGATACCTCCATCAAATCATCAGGATAGTTAAAAACGTTCAAACTCTCCAACATTTCCAACGTCATTATATCTTCAGGCTTAAACTTGTAATTCAAAATGTTCTCTATCCTGATCCAATGTCTCCCCTTCAACGTCGGGTTTCTCAAATACGTAATGACCGGCATTTTGTTTTTCATTATTTCAACCTCGTCTCTCAGCTTCGGGACGATCAGGTTCTTCGGCAGGCCCTTTTCAAGTTGGTTGATGTTTTTAATGTTCTTCGCCACGAACGTGTTCATATCTTCAACGTTCAAATCGTTGAAGTCGGCGTGGTACCACTCGTCGATCGTAGCCGCCCACGTCTCAACGCTCTCCCAAAGCAGCTCCCGGAGTTTCACGTCGCCCATCACTTCGTCCAGAACGTCGAACCGTGTGACTTCAAGCTAAAATATTTCGTTTGCAATGAAAATCGATCAATGCTGGTAAGTAAGTACCCTAAATTGTTTCTGGTAGTTTTTAATCTCCACGGATTTTTCCAGGCAGCTTTGCAACCTGTCGTGAAGATCGGAGAGAAATTCCTTAACTTCTTCAATGTTCGAATCGATATCGTACAACCAAGGTTGCATGCACAGGTCTTTAATATCGCCCAGCTCCTTCAAAATGGCATTCGAATCCTTATTCAACTGTTCAGTAAACTTCTTGATAATCTTGGGGATTTCGTCGAGCTTCTTGTCCACGAAGTTCCTCAAGTTACCCAACGATACGCTGATGCTCAGGTAATTGTTGATTTCCTCGACCGCAGTTTGAATCTCAAACTCTTCCAGAATGTCGTACAGATCCTTGCAATAATCGAAAACCACTTCCATGTCGTCAACGAGGGCCGTGGCCTTTTCCAAGTACTCCAGATAGTGCACAAACTCGATAGTCTCCACCGGTTCCACCTCCAAGTACTCCAACGCCTCGTTCACCTCGTCCACCAGCTTGTCGATTTTTATTTTACCAATCCTAAGTTGAAAAGAAATCAGTAAGTCACGTTCCAACACTCGACGTATAGTATCGAGTCCGCTTAAAACATCCAAGCCAAAACCCACAAATAATTACTCATAAAGTGCAAATAAACTATAGTGTAACAACTACAGTGATTCAAGACAGCTTACCGGGCGGTCTAACCACTGTCAATTGGATGCTATTTACGAGACAAACAAAAGAGGCTAACCAAGGGAGGAAAAGCCCATCTGCAAAATCTGATAAGTAATCTTTGTTAACTGCATGCCCTAATACATAATTTGCAACACTAAACTCGACAGTTACCTTTAAAAACACTTTTTACTTAAACACTGGTAAAAAAAATAAACAACAAAGTGCAACATCAACATTAGTAAGAAAAAAGTAACAAAAAACAAACAAAGCCGCCCAAATTCTTACCGCGGTAAGGAAAGCTGATTAGGACAATAAATCTATTAAACTTGTAAGTTACTAAACCCATTAATTCAAGAGGACGGCCCCAACAAAATAAACTAAACGAGACTAAAAATAAACAATTGACACCTCTAAACGATCATACAGTTATACTACTCTTATACTCAAACTTAATTTTGAAAGAAATCAGTTGAATAATCCTATGTATAAATTTGATGATTACCATGGCAAAACTTTTTCCACGACAGCTCTTAGTCTTCTGGGTTCCGGCAACGAGTTTTTCTTCATAATTTCAAACTGCAGATATAAAATACCAAAAGGTTGTTTATTCAGCAAGTTTTCTATTGTTTCCTCTTCTTTACGGTATCTGATGCACCAACTTCTAAACACCTCCAAATCTACAAACAAAAACTGTATTTCATGTTAATTTTTTTACAGCCAAATCGTCATACTTATTTCATTTTGGATAACTTCCTCATTAGTATTTAAATCCTCAGCAAAGAAGTCTCTAATGTAACCCAAACGTTCCAAATACACATTGGCCAAATTGTAGTTAATAGTAAAAAAATCCACGGTGTTTTGCCTGTATTGCTTTAAATTCTCATCTATAGCCAGATAGAAGGCCAAACCGGGACCAAAACCGCAAATTCTGGGAGACACCACCAAGTTTATAACGGGTCTAAAATTAGCCTAATTAGTATGTTTCTTTATACTATGGTAACAGGTACTTTGTAAAGTCCAAGTAGACATCATCACCAACAAGAGTGGGCATCCTGGTAGTGTGATGAATCCACAAATCAATAACTTGATCAATTATTTCAATAACTATATCTAATGGGGGATCCATAAAAATTTCTTCAGGGGATAACATTATAGACACCAAAACCAATGGCAACTAAATAAATATATAATTATATAAAGTTGAAAAACATAATTTCTCATACCATTGGATGCGTTTCTCGTGGTATCTCTACTGTGTCGCTAAACTCGATCGTGTCCACACGTTCTGTGGATGGTAGAAATTGAAAATGGAGGTCCAAAGCTTCGTTTAAAGCTTTCACCGAGTTTAAGATCATGTCATGCATCATGTCAACCATTAGGTAGTCGCAAAGTGTTATGAAACTAAAATGATAATTTTAGTTAAGCAGTACAGCCACACAAAGTATTATACCAGGACAATCTCATGCAAAACTTCTTTTTGTTGGCTTGGTCAATATGCGAGATTTCCTTCTTTTTTCCTTTTTTACCTATGCACAATATGGTTAACTACTAACAAATACAATTATTTGTGTTGCTTACTTTTTGTATACTCCTCCAATTTTCTCTCATCAACGACAAAACCTTTGGCCAAAAGCGCACCATAACAAGCACTTAAAATAACGTCTCTGGCAACTTCTCTGAACTCCTCCAACTTTTTCTGTATCGTTTCCATTTTGCGCATCTAAAATACCACCAAATATAATCTAAAATGTTAGAAGATACAAATAAAGTACTTGATCTTCGACGAAATAAAATATGTAGCGCTCTTGTATCGATGAAACGTCGGTGAATATAATGGGCGTCATCTTGACGCACATTTGCCTTATGTTGAGCAAACCATCTCTCATGATCGGGTTCAGAATGAATAAGTTGTTGTTGATGTACCTTTGGGCTTTGCTGTACTTCTTGAAAATTATGGCTAAATGAGAAAACACCTTCTTAAACAAATATTAGAAATATTCCCCAATACCAAAAAAAAAAAACACAAAGTACTTTTAGCTTATAAAAATATTGCGGTTGTTACCTTTTCTCCACACATAGAATCCTTTCCACATTCTAAACCGGAAAAAGGACTTAATCCTCATCAATCTGCAATACATGTTGTACTCAGCTTCCCAAACTTCCAGGGATGTGAATATAGCTTCATTGCCGATGTGTTGCAAGACACCTTTAGCGCTCATTGTGAAAAAATTTTTCTTGTCAACTTCTGAATAAGGAACTTCCCTACAAATAAAGTATGTTGGGTGTTTCTTGTAGTACAAAAACATGCTTAGCGGTTTACCTTACTGCGTAAGGGGTGTAATGCTCAGACGAGCTATCAACAATAAAAGTAAAGTAAACGAAACCGCCGTCAGTTCTTTGGCGCATATTTTGTATCCACTCAGATTGGTCAGCGACACCTTTAAGCTTGTGATGAGGCAAAACAACGCCCTCCTCTTCCTCATGTTCTTCTTTAAAGCCCTCTTCATGCTCGTCATCGTCATCGGCAAATTTAATCTAACAAACAAAAATAAAGTGAGTTCTTGTTTTGTCAAGTATTTCAAAGTACCTTTGGAGCATCAATCGATGGTAGATTAATGCGGTAATCCGAGCTTTTCTCCTGACGGGCCAAAAAACCACTCTGAAACGTAAGAATTGGTTACGAATGTTGCAAATGGTGATTGCTTATTTTTTACTAAGGGTTCATGCTCTTTCTTCTTATATTCTACTTTCTCAATCTGCGACTTGTGCGGAATGTGGAATGGTATCATGTCGGCGTCCCTGAAAAAGAAAACATTGGTTTAATTGGTTATAATTTTTAGGTTGTCGCCAAAAAATTAAAATCTGAATGAACCCAATGATGCCTCCTATTTCAGAGTTTTTGGAAGACGTAGATGAAATTATCCCTGACGTCTTCATTTCTATTTTTTTTAAACTTTTTTAGTTTTCTTCCCGCTGTAGTTTTAAGGCAAGAAACTCAATGCTTATACAGGGTGTTATGTAATTAATGTAATATATTAAAATGGGTAGTTTTTTAGGGTCCATAACGAAGCACCTGAAACTATTTTTCTTCTAAATTCTAAAGACTACGCCACTGATAGACTAGGAACTTTAGGTTAATCTGGTTGCCTAATTTAATTTATTATGTTATGGTTGGTAACAACCAGGGCTGGATGCTCCCGTGTACGAGTTTTGGTTCGTGCCGCGCATGACGTCACTTGATGAGTAGTTGCCGTGCGAATACACGAATAATAGTAATATTATCAAAGAAAATAGAGAAATATCAGGACAGTGCATTTTTCTTAAACTTAATATTAAAGAAAGTGTTATAATATGGATAATAGATGCTTTCAGTCCTTGATAACATTTAGGGCTGTAGTTTAGGCGTTGGTGTTTTAAATTAAACTTATAGTCACTGTCCAGAAAATGTTTATAGGAAACGAAAGCGGTCTTAACGTTAATATTGTCTATTCTTTTTGTGGCATTTAACCACTGTTTTTGGGAATCGATGAAATTTAATGTTTTAATTTAAAGGGTTTTTATTGGACTGGTTGTCCGAATTGCATAAAAATATGTCACACCGCATTTTAATAAATGCAAACTAAAACACAAACAAAACAAGTTAACGCAACACAAAAACAACAACAAACAAACAGAACAGGTTAACACAACGCAATAACGATAATTTGAACACAGAAAAGTAATTCGAACCTTACCGAACGCAAAAACAACAAGTTAAACAAAAAAATAGAGCAAGTAAACATCCAAGAGCATCGCAAAAACAAGAATTTTAGCAGCAGATAATTAGAAAGCACGTTAAAGATTTAAAAACACTCATCAAGTGACGTATTTTATTATTGCGCACCATCCTATCTTAAGGTGTATGTATCTTGGGTAACAACCAGCGCATAGATTAGATAGACTCCCTTGTCTCTGCTTTTGAGAGTAATTGGTAAAATCAATTGGCAACACTGTACATAATACAGTAGTGACTTGTAAACAAATAAAACTTAAAAACCATAGATACCAAATTATTTATTTAAGTTCAGAAATTATTGGGCATGAATGTTTGGAATCAAAATGTGAGTAATTTTAGAAAAAATTATATTTACCATGCTTATTTAATTATTATTATTTACTAATTTTGTTTATTTGTGTAACTTCTAATAAATTTATATATTTATTTTAAATTTCAAGTTTTAAATTTTGTTAAATTTTTTATTAATATGTTGCTTTTTTGGATAAATTTAAATATAAATGTCATATTAAAGTGTCAAACAAAATTTGAATCTTCCTGCTTTCGAGGCTTGCCTGAGCAATGTTTTCGCAAACTTTTGCGTTTTAAGTTTCAGTAAGGGACTCACCTGTCGAATTTGATGGGCGGCAGCCTTAGAAGCCGGCCAGAGGCGTCTTTGATCTGGCTCGGCCGCCTCTTCCTGCCGCATTTGTTGGTGATTTGGGGCTCCATCGCGGGTCTCCTCCACGCCCCCCTTCGCCAATCAAACCTCTCGACAACTCCCGACACTCACCGCCGTCAAGATGAAGTTTGTTTGTTTATTTTGTACGTTGCTTGGCGACCGCCAAACGCATAGGCGTGCGTTTTGCCGGTTGTTAATCATTTATTATGTATTTGACAAATATATTTTTTATAATAATAATTAAATTGTATTTTATAAATTATCCCCGCGCATTCGCCATTTTTGCAATTTTCATTTTATTGATTTTACAAAAAATAGTAAAAGTTTGCACCTTTATGGGGCGCCGTTTTATTTTTAATTGTTAAAATTCTTATAGTAGACAGTTATCGGACACTTTATAGTTATTGGACAATTGAGGAGCATCTGTGCAAAACCGGCTATATCCACTTTAATAAAATGTTGGGAAAATGGCAAAAACTCTCGGTTTCCTGGCCTTTACAGATAAAAGAAAAAGCAAACTTGAACTTTGTGGGCTTTGTAGTACTTGGGTGCGTTCATGACGTTTACTCGATTCACTCGGAGTTAACTCAAAACGTTCATTACAACAGCGGTATCTACACTTTAACTTGACTAAATCGTTCGTGACTACCAGGATATTTAACACCGAGTTTACATTTTTAACCCACCTCTTGTAGGTGCGTTAAAATAACTCCGCACGCGCATTGTAGTATGTTATTGTCAAATTTGAATTTGAATTGTCAAAGTTGAATTTGAATTGTCAAATTTGAATTTGAATTGAGGTTATTTGTGTTTGTGTTTATATAGAAATCGTTGTTGCTATTTGTGATATAGTTGCTAAATTAATTAAATAATGGATAATTATACTGTAGCGAGTACCGCTCTGGATATCGGAGTGATGACTCATCGCCGGTGAGTCATCGCCGGTGACTCAGCGCTCGAATAATCGAGAGTGTGGAGCTCGCTGGAATGTTCCAGAAGACCTTGGCGCTGAATATATAAGAAACGGAGCAGCACACGGAAGTCAGTTAAGTTTTAGTACTCGCGTCGAAATAAATAAATATAAGTGCAAATAAATAGACTCTTGAACAGTAGTGATATATAAATAATTAGTAGTTAAGTGTTTAGTTAGTTTTATAGTGTTTTAAGTGTAGTTAAGTAATTAAATAAATAGTTTAGTTCGTTAATTAACCAGTGCGTGTTTTAATTCACACTACGAACAAGTTAAAAACGTTTACATTGGTGTCAGGAGTGCGGTTAGTGTGAAATTTCGCGAAAATGGTTTCGTTAATGGACTTAAAAGTGGCGGACCTTAAGCGGGAGCTGGAAGAAAGGGAATGTGAAACAACTGGAAAAAAGAATGTGTTGCAGCAGCGGCTTCGAGAAGCGTTGGAGCAGGAAGGTGAAAATCCAGATACGTATTTATTTGAAGGCCCGTGTGATATGCAGTTAATGTTGCAAAATTTAAACGAAAAAATGTTGGAGAATTCTAACGATTTAAAACAGAAAATGGTAGAAAATTCTAGCGACTTACAACAGAAAATGGTAGAAAATTCTAGCGACTTACAACAGAAAATGTTAGAAAATGTCAACGATTTAAAGGACGATTTGCAACAGAAAATGCTGGAAAATTCTAGCAATTTACAACAGAAAATGCTGGAAAATTCTAGCGAACTGCAGCAGAAAATTCTAGAAAATTCTAAAAACCTAAAAGAATATTTGGAAGGAAAGATTCTAGATAATGTCAATGAATTAGAAGAGAAAGTAGGACAGAAAGTTGACGATGTAAGGATGGAATTAAATAACGTAAGGATGGAATTGAATGAAGTAAGGATGGAATTGGATGATAAATTGGAGGTCAAAATTAGAGAAATAAATAGTAAACTGAAAGCTGTAAATTTACCTATGATGCTGACGGAACCAGGAGTATTGCAGGAGGGAAGCCGAGTACGGATGAAACCACCTCAGTTCGATGGAAAAACTTCTTGGACCAACTACATCCGTCAGTTTGAGGCAGCAGCAAAAGCAAATGGCTGGCTACCGGAAGAAAAAGCTACAGCATTGACTCTGGCTTTACGCGGAGATGCAACGGACATCTTGCAGACGCTTTCTCCCAACGAACAAGAAGATTACGAAGCGTTGGTGAAACATCTGGAACTTCGATATGGCCAGACACATTTGGAACATGTCTACCATTCCCAACTTAAGAACCGCTGCCAGAAATCAAACGAGACTTTGCAAGAATTCGAGGCTGATATTGCACGCTTGGTTCGGCTAGCATATCCAGCTACTCCAACGACCGTTATGGAACGATTAGCGGTTCAAGCCTTTTTGGATGGACTTCGAGACAACGAAACAAGACAGGCACTGACGTTGGCTCGTCCGAGCCAACTGGTTGATGCATTAGCTCGAGCTTTGGAATTCGAGGCGGCAAAGCAGAGCTGCAGGAGCCAGCCTAGAATAAGGAGAGTCGAGGAAGAGAAAGAGGAGGAACCCAGAATAATCGAAGAAATCAGGCGACTTCTTAAAGAGAATCTACCAGAAAAGAAGGAAATCCGGTGTTGGAGATGTGGAAAGCTGGGACATATACAAAGTTGTTGCAGAGGAAGCCAGGTGGCGCCGACTTTATTTAGAAAAATAAATAGGACTGAAGAAAAAGATGTATGTATTCGTAGGACTACAATCGTGGATGATCATTGGCAATCCACTGAGATTAAACAAGACCAGGAAAGGGATCCGGATTTGAAGCTTATCATCGATTGGAAGAAGAACGACCGTAAACCAACGTGGCAGGAAGTCGCCCAATATTCGCCGAATGTGAAATCGTACTGGGCCCAATGGAATTCCATCATCTTAAGTGACGGGCTTCTAAAGCGCGTTCTGGAGATGCCAGAAGGGGGGGAAGACCGGAAGCAGATAATAATCCCCAGAAACAGGATACCAGAAGTGCTGCAGGAAATCCATGATGGAACTACTGGAGGACATCTTGGGGTGACCAGGACGCTCGGAAGACTTAGGGAACGGTTTTATTGGGTCAACAGCCAACGGGATGTGAAGGAATGGTGCAAGAAGTGCGCCGTTTGCGCGGCAAGCAATGGACCCCAGAAGCGCCCAAAAGCCCCAATGCGACAGTACAATGTGGGTAGCCCATTTGAGAGAATTGCAATCGACGTGGCGGGTCCATTTCCGGAAACAGAATCTGGAAATAAATACATCATCGTTGTAATGGACTACTTTAGCAAGTGGGCGGAAGCGTACGCCTTGCCGAACCAGGAAGCTGCCACAGTGGCCGATGCCCTTATTAAGGAGTGGATTTGTCGTTTTGGTGTCCCAATGGAGATGCATTCAGACCAAGGCAGGAACTTTGAATCTATACTGTTCCAGAATGTCTGTAAAATTCTTAACATTCGGAAGACGAGGACGACTGCATTACATCCGCAGTCTGATGGAATGGTGGAACGCATGAATCGAACGATAAACCGGTACTTGTCCAAGGTAGTCTCTGATCATCAAAGAGACTGGGACCGCTTCCTCCATCTCTTCCTATTGGCGTACCGTTCTTCTATCCACGATACAACCGGCCAGACACCCGCTAGCATTGTTATGGGACGTGAACTTCGTCTACCTTGTGACCTGAGGTTTGGTTGCCTGCCAGGGGAAGATATTGCTGGAGAAGATTATGTCAGCAATTTACGTAGGAAAATGAGCGACATTCATAACCGAGTTCGTTTAAACATCCAAAGTGCCAGTGATAGAATGAAAGAGGCATACGACATCAAGGCGGAAAATGGAGGATTTCAACCTGGAGACCTAGTTTGGTTATACAACCCTCAGCGCCGTCGTGGTTATTCACCGAAGCTGCAGACTTCTTGGGAAGGACCATACGAAGTAATGGATCGCATAAATGACATCATCTACAGGATCAGAAAACAACCAAGAGGAAAGCCGAAAGTGATCCATTTTAACCGATTGGCTCCTTACGCTGGAAATAATGATGACCAAATAAACCATGCCAGAGTAAGACGAGTTAATCCTCCGGAAGACGAGTTGCTTTTTGAAGACTTCATGTATTTATATTCGAGCGGTAAAAAAGCTCGCTTTGGTGTCACTCGAGAAGAACAACAAGATCTGTTCACGGTTTCGGCCGATTACTCCTTAGCTCACTGTGTTGCAGAAGACCTAAGGATGTCCAGGGGAATAGCGGTTGTTTTTAAAAACAAGTTTGGACGGATCGACGAGCTACGAAGGCAGAATCCCAAAGTTGGAGAGGTGCTTGAAATTGTGAATAATGAGCAGACAGGCAATAGAAGTATATTCTATCTGGTAACGAAGCAACTCTCCCATCAGAAGCCAAACTACCGTGACGTATGGAATGCCTTAAATAAATTGAGGGATGCCCTTTTATCCAAGGACATCATGAACCTGGCGATACCGAAGATTGCTTGTGGACTTGACGGTTTAGACTGGAGAATAATTAGAAGTATGGTGGAAGTTATCTTCAGATTTAGTGGCATACACATTCTTGTCTGTTGCCACAACCCTAAAAGAACAACCGGAAGGAAGACCGTAGACTGCTACTTCTATAGGACGTCACAATGCAAGTTTGGATCTCTATGCAAATATCGCCATGGAGCTGAGGACCATTTTCGGGACGAAAATGTTTTAAGACGGGGGCAATGTAGCGAGTACCGCTCTGGATATCGGAGTGATGACTCATCGCCGGTGAGTCATCGCCGGTGACTCAGCGCTCGAATAATCGAGAGTGTGGAGCTCGCTGGAATGTTCCAGAAGACCTTGGCGCTGAATATATAAGAAACGGAGCAGCACACGGAAGTCAGTTAAGTTTTAGTACTCGCGTCGAAATAAATAAATATAAGTGCAAATAAATAGACTCTTGAACAGTAGTGATATATAAATAATTAGTAGTTAAGTGTTTAGTTAGTTTTATAGTGTTTTAAGTGTAGTTAAGTAATTAAATAAATAGTTTAGTTCGTTAATTAACCAGTGCGTGTTTTAATTCACACTACGAACAAGTTAAAAACGTTTACAATACCATTGTGACTGACCCTGAGGGTAATATCATCTATAACGAAGACGGATTGTTACTGGTTCAAGATAATATGCGTATGTATTTCCCATAATTACTTTTATTTTATAAGTAATAACATAAACATTTTAGTTAAACAACTTCAATGGACAATTAAAGTGAACGCTGAAAGTTTTTTAACTCTATCCATATTAAATATAATAAAATATAATTTAAGTTTACATGTTATTTATGCATAAATTAAATTTAAAATGTCAGAAAATAAGGTTAAGTTGTTTTTACTCAGAGTCGTTCATGACGGCATAAAATAAATCAAGCACTATGAGTTTACACGACGCCATATTAACTCTACTCGGGTAAAGCTTCATGAACGCACCCCTTGATTTATAAGACATACTTTTGTTTTCAAAAACCTTATATTAAGGCCAAAATTTAAAAAAATGTTTTGTATATAGCCGGTTTTGCTCAAAAACCGAATAAAATGTGAAAAAAACCTTTATTATTCAAAAATATTAACAAAATAAATTTAGTGCACACATGAAAAACCAGATCAAATTTTAGTAGTAGTATCGACATATCCAAGCCACATATTATTATTTATTGGATATAGCCGGGTTTGCTATAAAAACGTAGATTTGGACGGTTTTGCTCCTAAAGCTATCTTTTAAATGTGATTTTAACATGGATATAGTCGGATTTAAACAGAATTATCTTGGTAGAAATGAAGCCAAAGATGCGAAATCAGAAAAAAAAACCAAAAATTGAATAAAATGGATTTAGCCGGTTTTGCACGGATGCTCCATTTATACATTTATACATTTATACTGTAAAAACAAGAGTTCTATAAATAGTTACCTTAAAGTTAAAGTGGCCTGTGTAAATTAACCTTAATTACAAAAATGACACAATCAACAATAATTCGGTAACGTCAAATTTTCACAATGCGCAAAATTAACATCTAAAATTAAGGGAATTTGCTAAAAGATTGTCCATTTTTCTTAACCTGACAAACAATATTAATTATATTAAATTAATATTTTGTACAACCATTACAATAATATTTATATAACCTTAACATCACTGGCAAATCTTCAAACTTTTTGCTTCTGACATAAAACATCCGCGCACATGCGCAAAGCCGCTTTCCAATTATAATTAGTGATAAAAGTTAGAAGTTTGCAAACTTTTTCCACTAATTGAAAAGTACTACCACTAATTTTTTGGTTGTGAACAACACTGTGTGTATTCATAAGACAAACTTTTACGTTAATTGAAACCACTAATTACGAGGTTCTGAATGAGGCTTTAAGCAGTTTTTGAGATATAGGTAGTAAATTCCATATTATATGTAAAATTGATTATATTTCAAAAACTCTCCTACTTTTATAACTTTTGACGACATTTTCGGATTCAGCAAATAATATTTCATAGGAATTGAGTGCTAAATGTCCTGGATACAAATTGCTGTTGACGAGAATTATTAGTGGCTGCTTTTTCGCTATGACATTTTTGACTAATTCATTTTTATAAAGTAGGTAAGTAATATAGTGATTTCTTCGTCACAGGACATCTTGCAGAATAACAGTAATTTAAATACAGTACATGATAGAGAACATAAAAAACTAATGGCAACAAAATTAATAAATTCAGAAAATACTTTTAACATACCACCCGAAAAAATATTAGATATATATAAATCATCCTGTTCCGGCCTAAACATTATAAATGCTTCACAAACTAGAGATACCACATTTAATGATATTTGCAACAAACTATTTCAGAAGTCATACAAAGGAATTAGTAGTTACTTTCAGAATCCAGAAAAGGAGATGAGGAATCCGAGAAAGAACTATATGAATTAAATATTTACAAAACGAAATAAAAAAAAATTATAATAATATGTATAATATACAGTGTGTATATATGTGTATACAAAAAAAAAAATTTCTACAAAACATCGTAGCTAAAGAGCCAACCTACAATTTCAACAAAATTCATCAAAATTAATTAAAAATGTTAAGGTTAATGCATATTTTAAATTGTTTTCTCTCCAGAAAAAGACATACTCTACATCTAATATTTTAATTAAAAACTTCTCTTAACATACTAGGTATACTATTCTGTTCCGAGCATTGGTATAAAAGTTAACTAATATTTTTGCTATGGCTTTTTTAATAATTCAGTATCTTTTATTTTTAGTTATAATTTAAATTACATTTTTTTTATTAAGAACTGAATTTTTTCCTGCCGAAATTATAGATTATAATACTAATACAATATTTATACATTGTATTTAATATAAATTATCCCCGCGCATTCGCCATTTTTGCAACTTTAATTTTATCGATTTTACAAAAAATATTCAAAGTTTGCACCTTTAAAATTATATGGGGCGCTGTTTTATTTTTAATTCAGGAATTAATTTTATGTGTTAAAAATTCTTATATGATATTTTTTATCTAAATGATAATATCACTTTAGTTTTAGCACATAAGAATAATTCCTTGTATAATATACAGTGTGTGCTCAAATTTAATTAAACAAGTTCTCCAAAAGCATCGTAGCTAAAGAGCCAACCTACATTTCAACAAAAATCATCAAAATCAATTAAAAATGTTAAGGATGGGAAATAAACAAAAGTAGATATTAATGTTCAGGATTTATTCTATATTTTCTAAATATGGGTAAGGATATTTAATTACCATAGTCATTTCCGTTAACATTGCTAAATTCGTCATAAATTTATCAGGTATAACAATTATTATTATATTAATCAGGCTGCATATTTTAAATTGTTTTCTCTCCAGAAAAAGTCAAAACATCTACATCTAATATTTTAAGTAAAAAACTTCTTTTAACATTGAAAAATACTATTCTGTTCCGACCATTGGTATAAAAGTTAACTAATATTTTTGATATTGCTTTTTTAATTTTTCCTGCCGAAATTATAGATTATAGTATACTAATACAATATTTATACATTTTACATTCCACTAATAATTGACAATTACCGATCTAGCAGAAGAAAGAAGTTTGATAACTTCTTTCCATAATGGTTTTATTAACTTTAAAAATATGTAAAGGGTGTCCAATATGTTCTTCGGGATTTGGCTTCAAAATATCATCTATATTTTTTAAAACATCCATTCTTTACCTATTCATCATTCTTTTGTATTATCGAACTTGTATACATAATTTAAATTATATTATTTAAGCTTAGGCTGGTACAGGAGCGGTGGTAGCTTCAGTAGCAGTCGATCTGGTATCCCCACCATCTGATTCTTTTATTGCCAACCATGGCAAGCGTTTTTGCAACTCAATTCTACAAAAAACATTCGGTGGTATGTAAGTTTCATGCATGTTTTTTAAACGTGATCATACGGAAAACTTTATCTTACCGATATCTCGGGTGGCTGATAGCATAGATGTAGGGATCTATCACTGCAACGAACTTGCAAGCCAGTGCCGGAATCATGGAAACTCCTGGCGTGAGGAGGGCCTTGTTTCCAAACGCGCCAATCAGAGCCAAAACGGCGTAAGGCGTCCAAGAACAAACGAACATGAAGCACACTGTGATCGCGGCCTTGGCGATGCGCAACTCGGCCGATTCGCTCTGAGCGTTCTGATTGCTTCTAAGGGAGTCGACGTTCATTTTTTTAGCCTGAAAGTAGTTTTTAATAGTTTTAACATTTAATGAATGGTGTTACCCTGATAGCAAAATTTGATTCTAAGAATCTTCTAAGAAGATATGACCCGGAATAATGGAATATTCTTAGAATCTTTCCTTATTGCTAAGAATGTTCTTAGGGACTTTTAAAACATTCAATAGATACCCTTTTAATGATGCAATTAGATTCTTAGAAGCTTCTTAAAACCTTCCTAAAAAGCATTCTAAGAACATTTTAAGAATACGTTTTTGGAATGTTCTTAGAAGGTTTCTTATGGAGCTTCTAGGAAGCTTTTGAGAATATTTTCAAATATGTCAGATACCCACGTTCTAATATGTTGGATTCTACATTCGTAAAATTCTTCAGGAGGCGACAAATACACTCATAATATGACAGTGAAATGTATTTGTCGTCCCCTTAAAAAATTTTGCGACATATTAATATATATTTATTTAAAAATTTTAAATAAACAATTTAACCTCTAAACCATAAGTTGTATGACATTATTTCATAAAAAGTAAAATTGGAAAATTTTGTGGGATAAGTCAGATTAGGTTGAAGTTGAAGATAGTTAGGATTATTATACATAAAAATGTTAATTCAGAAATAAAAAATCTGTATACAAATTAATAAATATTGATTTTTAACATAAAATAAAATATAAGAAACAAAATATTTCCTTAAAAAATAATTCTTCATAAAAAAAAACCAAATACCTAGTTCTTCATAAAAAAACATTTTTCATTGTATTTAAGTTGGATAGAAGATTTTTTGTAAAAGCCGGATAATTTAGATACCTATAGTAAAAGTATTTTTCTTATCGAATATTGTTTTAATTTGACAAATAACTATAAAAAAATATTTTGGGTTGTGTTTTTTACTTAGTATTTAATACTAAGTATAGGTATCTTTATACGTAGATTATGGTATATTTTACTATTATATATGTAGGTACGTAACTGAACTAAATGTTCCAGGAATATTCCTAATTGAACTTTCTATAGCAATTACTTTCTCAACATTCTAAGCATATGTTTAGAGTGGATTAATTTTTACCACTAAACTTTGCACCTTCTAAGAACCTGCCTATAGGCCAGTGAGAATATTCTTAGGATTATGCTATATTTCTTTTAAGCATGTTCTTTAGAAGAAATATAGCATGATCCTAAGAATATTCTCACTGGAAGGTTTAAAAAACATTCTTAGAACATAACTAGAAGAAATATAGCATGATCCTAGGAATATTCCCACTGAAAGGTTTAAAAAACATTCTTAGAATAAACTGTGCTATCAGGGTATTACCTGTTCCCTCAGTGCTTTCTCGTGGCTGAAGACTTTCCCGACAATCCTGCTATAAAAATATATGATCGCGCTCATTGGGAACACGTATGAACACGTAAAAATACAACCGACGAACAAGTGGTTGTCGAAAGTGTCTGTAAGGTAGTCAAATGTGCATGTCGTCAGGTATCCCTCTGTAAGTAACAAAAATTACATTTTCGAAGATCGTTTGCAATAATCTTTACCTGGGACAAACCTCCCCCATATCTCCAACAACGGCAACACAGTCCACGGCGTCGCATAAATCCAAACCAACAAAATCATCACGAAGGCCTTGGTTCTCGACACTTTTCCATCCAATGGACTCGTAATGGCCGTGAATCGGTCGTAGGCGATGCAAGCGTTGGTCATGGAAGCTCCGATGCCGGATATAGACCCCAGCACCCCAAATATTTGGCAACCGAAATGACCCAAGGCGTAACCATGGTGCATGGAGTTGTAGATGTTGATTGGCGTCTTCACCATCATGATGAAATCGCAGAGGGCCAGGTTCACGACGAACATGTTCGAAGCTGTACGCAGGCTTTTGGCTCTGGGAAGAAATGTTACAGTTAGTCCAGGGTCTATCGACAAGAGCTGATGACTTACGATGAGAACACCCAGAGCACCAAACCATTGCCGATGGTCGATGCGAAAAACAACAGTATATAAACAATCGCCAGGAGCATGTGGAGGGAGTGGTCGGGTTCGGGAAACTGAAGCCAGTGCTCGGGTATGTGAACAAGATCTTCAGGAGGAACATCCCAGCCGAGATGATGTTGAAATGCAGATCCTCTCATATCCATAACCCTTAAAACATTTATTTAGTAGATGAGCAACTTGTTAGCCAGTCCAAATTCGTGGTAACCGAAGATACCATCAAAACTGTGCGTAGATTTATCAAGGATCAGCCACAACCTCAATTCATGAAATTTAAATCATCAGTATACTGTAGCAAGTAGCCAGTGTTGCCAGAAATGCAGAATTTTCTGCAATATGCAGAATTTTAGCCTACATGGAGAGCTAATAAAGAAAAGAAGAATATTTTACAAAAACCACTACAATATGAAGAATTTTTTAAATTCACATATTTTTTTTCATTTTTAAATTTTTTTTAATTTTCTAAATTATTTAATTCTTTAACTCGATTTTAACACTGTAATATGATTTAAAATTTAGTAGGTATATTATATTTTAAGGATTTGCATGCATGCACATGTTTATTTTGTATTAGAGATTTATTTAAAAATGCGTTCAAGTGAAGATTCTCAAGGGTAAATATTACAATTTTAAATATGTATGCATATTTATTAATTAAATGAGTGCCTTTGCCACAGCAAATAATAATTAAGTATTTTGTATCTTATTTTAATATTTTCCAAAATCCTCGAACAGGGTGGCTCTGTGAAACACAAGTGAAGACACAAAATTTGAATGTCGATGGTGTAATGCAATACTTAAGTATTAATTTATAAGGGTGTTTTCAATAATGATCATTCGAATGATGTGAAAACAAAAAAACGAAACAGACTTCAAGAAAATACTTTGAATTCATCGATTAATTTCCTTTGCGTATTTCGTAACCATTTTAAAAATACAGGTACAAATTCTGCAAAAATGTCTGTCACCAAAAAACATTTAGATTTAATGAAATTAAATAATTTATTTAATTCCTAAATCATGGTGTAGTTTTTTGTTCTGCCTATAAAAATAATTCATTTTCTTTAATTTGTAATACTTTATCTCCTGTGTACCACAAAAGATATTTGACTTTTAAAAATATTTTTTTTATTATTATTAAGTACCTTATGCAGTCAGAAGGTTTTTTATCGAATGACGTTTTACATCTCTGCAGAAATATGAAGAATTTTTAAGGTTAAATTGAAGAAAATTGGGATAAAGAATCTGGCAACACTGCAAGTAGCCCTCTGGATCTCGGAATTGTGACTCATCGCCGGTGAGTCAGCGATCGAGAGAGGTCTGGAGCTCGCTGGAATATTCGAGAAGGCGCTTGCGTGACTAGTATCACTTCGGCGCTGAATATATAAGGAACAGCGCAGCATGGAACAATCAGTCAAGTTTTGGTATTCACGAAATAAATAAATATACGTGCAAATAAATAGACTCTTGAACAGTAGTGATAAGTTATTTTAGTGTGTTAAGTGTAATTAAGTTATAAAATAAATCATTTAGTTCGTTAATAAATCAGTGCGTGTTTTAATTCACACTACGAACAGTAAAATCGTTACAATACTAAACATTTGGGCATCCAAAAGGTCTGCTCTACACTACTCTAACCTACCTAACTTAATCCAAACTGCTTTTGTGCACAATTTGATCATTTATTGTTGGCCATCACGATTGCACAAAAATCATAGGAATATTAAGTCCTATATATATTGTACATTTATTGTCAAAACTTTTCCAAAGGTGAAGGGGCAATTCTTGGCCAACTTTTAACCTGATATGGTTTTCTGAGAATATGCTCAGAATTCAACATTCGAAATTTATTTTAATTATCTAAGGTAAACAGTTATCGGACACTTCATAGTTATTGGACAATTAACATTAATACTGTAAAAACCTTAAAGTCAAATCATTAGATGACGCTGTATACAATTAGAAATATCTCAGTCGGTAATACCTAATATAGAACTACTTTATTTTGAGTCCAATATAGGACAAAAAAGTTCGCACGTTACTTTGGTGGTAAGATTTTTGTTTTTTTTTGTTAAGAGCAGGCCTGTGTTTAAATTACAATAAAAAATATTTCTAATAAGTGTACAGATCAGTGTGTGGTATAAATGTGTTCCTCATGGTTTAAATATTAAAATTAAAACGCATTAAGCGTTTTAATTTTAATTCTGAAAACAAACAGTAAAATGGCCAGTGTCCAATTACTGGTTGGTAAAAAATATAACTTTCTATTATTGGACATATGTCCAATATCATACTATGTATATCCCGGACATTTACCAGTCAATTCTTATGTAAAATTGTCCCCTGAATCCGAAAAGACTGTCAAGAACTATAAAAGTTAACCAGTTTTTGAGATATAGTCAATTCCATATTATATGTAAAATTGATTATATTTCAAAAACTGCTCTACTTTTTTAACTTTTGACGACATTTTCGGATTCAGCGAATAATATTTCATAGGAATTGACTGCTAAATGTCCTGGATACAAATTGCTGTTGACGAGAATTATTATTGGCTGCTTTTTCGCTATGACATTTTTGACTAATTCATTTTTAGAGAGTAAGTAATATAGTTATTTCTTCGTCACAGGACATCTTGCAGAATAACAGTAATTTAAATACAGTGTGTGATATAGAACATAAAAAACTAATGGCAACAAAATTAATAAATTCGGGAAATACTTTTAACATAGGTACCACCCGAAAAAATATTAGATGTATATAAATCATCCTGTTCCGGACTAAACATTATAAATCCTTCACAAACTACAAAGGGATGAGGAATCCGAGAAAGAAATATATGAATTATATGACATTTACAAAAACGTAATAAAAAAATTACCTAAAACAGCAATTTATCTTTAAAAAATATTTAACAATTTATGTTTTTTCATGTAAAGTTGTTATGTTTATATAAAAATTGTATGTCCAATAACTACAGTCCATGTGTCCAATTACTATTTAAAATGTCCAATTACTATACTTTTTAGCATGTTTTTATAAAACTATTATTAAAAATTCAAATATTCTTATTTTTAGGTAAACGTAAATAAAGTTTAAACAAACTATCCTTTTTATATATTTATAAGAAAAAAACTAAAATCTTTAAAACAAAGGCATATATAAATTTTTAATAAATAATATTCCTTCAGTGTCCAATAACTATAAAGGGAAAAAATTGTCGGAAAAATGCCGATCTTTGGATGTTTCTTGATGAAATAAATGAATTTTGCCAAACTTTGGGGTAAAAAATATAAAACTAAAAGCTTACCTCGCCTGATAGCTGGGCGCGTCGGTCCAGTTGAGTAAACTCATACTGCTCGAATTTATGTGACTTACTCATTAATGCTCGAAACTGTGATTTACTCAAAACTGACGTTTTATTTTAATTAATGGCCGAGTTTTATAGACGCGTTAATTTAATAATAATGATGACCCTAATCCTGCGTAATTCGGATAATCCTTGCCAGATTTATATAACAAATAAATAAATCTTTATAATTATGTTATGGTGGGAGAATTAAGAGAAGTTCATTGATTTTTATTATTAAGTGGCAATTAAACTTGTCCCACCCAATAAGAGTAAATATGGATATGGATAATTATTATATCTAATAGATAATGTTGTTATTTGGGAGGTGTTAAAATTAGACTAGAAAACATTATTTATTTTGTGAAATTTAAGGATATTACTACTTTGAGTACTTCTTTATAAATTTAGTAACAGTATAAAGGTCTTTAATTATAATTATTAGTTCATACTGAATTATATAAACTTGTGTAGGTTGATAAATAAAACAAACTAATTAGTATGCTCAGGATTTTATTCTATTTTTTTTCTCTATGTCCTTAAAAAAGAACTATAGGTATTGGAACTATTGGGATTTGGGTTCATTGTCATTGATTTTTCGTTGTCCAAAACATTGCCAGTTGTCATAAAAAAGATCTGTAGGTATACATACAATATAATATTTACAAAATTATGTAACTCTTTTCGCTAAGCTCAAAAAATACAATTTATCTTTTTAGAAACAGGGTATAATTATTCAAGTTGTATTTAGAAAACATTTTACGCTTGAGGTGCAGAAGAATTTTCTGTCGCTGTCGATCTCGCGTCACTCTGTCCATCTGATTCTTTTATTGCCAGCCAAGGTAATTTTTTTTGAAGTTCAACACTGAAAAAATTAAAGTGATTATAATATTGTAGCGAGTACCGCTCTGGATCTCGGAATATTCGGGAAGGCACGTAGGCACTGAATATATAAGGAACAGCGCAGCATGGAGCAATCAGTCAAGCTTTGGTACTCGCGACGAAATAAATAAACATACGTGCAAATAAATAGACTCTTGAACAGTATACTGTACTATAGTGATATATAAATAATTAGTAGTTAAGTGTTTAGTTAGTTTTATAGTTTATGTAGGCTTTTATAAAATACAGAGCAACCTTTCTAAAAATCAATAAAATGATCGTATTGTTCATCTTCTACGGAAGGAAGGCAATCTATAAATCGGGCTTTAAACTTCGTCTCCTTACCGGTACTTCGGATGACTGATGGCGTAGATGTAGGGATCTATGCAGGCGACAAATTTGCAGTTTAGCGCCGGAATCATGGAGACTCCGGGCGTCAAAAGAGACTGATCCCCGAACGCTCCGATCAGAGCCAAAACGGCGTAAGGCGTCCAAGAGCAAACGAACATGAAGCACACTGTGATCGCGGCCTTCGCGATCCGAAATTCGGCCGACTCGTTCTGAGCGTTCTGATTGCTTCTAAGCGATTCAACGTTCATTTTTTTAGCCTAAAACAGAAAGACTCTTCAAAAATGACAAACAACCGTTCAAATCGGATATAGAAGCAGTTTTTAAGCCAAAGTAAAGAGAATGTTTTATGGGCACTCCACGGTGGACTCTTTACCCGAAATTAAGTTAAATCTAGTGTAGTGCCTGCGAAATCAAAAGTCTGCCAAAATAGAATTACACGTGTTTTATGTTTTTTCTTTGGTATTTTAAGTTTAAAAAAAAATGTTTATTTGTAAATCACTTTATTAAGATTTTTATCTGTTACACAATTGCAACGTGAGAAGGTGTTACACGATAGTTAGCTACACAAAATACATTTCTAACTATGACAAAGATAATTATATAAAGCAAATTAAGGTAAAAAAGGAAACATGTATATTTTATACATAACACGTGCGAATTAATTGAAAATTTGTTTATATGTATTGAAGTATGGCAAGATCGAATCTGATGTCAAATATTAAAAAAAATCAAAAATGTAAATTTTAAGACCCAAAATTTTCGCAAATATATCTAAAAAGTCAAATCTGATCTCAAATTAAAAAAAAAAAATAATTAAATATTAGGATGTATTTTTATTTAATAAGATCTTTGTTATCCATATTTTCGTCGTTATTTTCAAAACTAATCTCTGTATTATCGTTCATCGTACTGTTTAGCAAGATTAATTAAATTAAAACTAGCTTAGTCATTTAACTTGAAAGTTTGAAATATCTCAGTTAGTATGCATTTCACGAAAAAATGTTTAAAATAAAAATTAAATTATTCGAGAGGGGAAATCAATCAGTACTAAAATTGGTCCTCATACTCTCCTCCTTATAGGGGGAACAGGGGGTAACTTTAAAATTTCCAATTGAACACCCTATTTTTTATTGCAGATTCGGATCATTCGACTAAAAATAGGTAGATTTTGTCTAAAACATTTTTTATATTTGTAATATAAGGCGCTGTAATAAATTTGGTTCGATTTTTCTTCTGTTTACGATTCTGCAATAATTTTTTTATAAAAATATCACTTTTTTGGTAATAATTATTTTATTCAATTAAATCTGATTTTTTTAAGTACCCACGATTTTATAACTAATATTTTAGTTTCCTTTGGTTTAAGTTTTATAAATAATTTCATTCGGTGATAATTATCAATTGCGCACCATGGTCACTTTTTATCTGCCAGCATTAAATCCTTTAATTTAAAGGATTATTGTAATATTTTTAATAAAAATACCTCATTTAAGGTTAAAAAAACATTATGTTTTCAATTACCCGATAAAAAAGATTTTATATAGTTGTATATCATTATATAAAATGTATATAGAGTTATACGTATATATATGTATATAATTCATATACAGGGTGGTCCAGGATTAATCTGAAAAATTTTAATGATCGATAGAGCCTGAAAAAACAATAAAAACAAACCCAAAAACATTTTTTTAAAATACACACTAACACACTAATAGCCCTTCAAAGGCAAAAAAAAACGTTTTTTTTTTAATAACTTCTGCTCAAATTTTGTGTAGGTAAAATTTCTTACAAAAGGCCCAGCGGCGGAGATTTTGGGGGGGTTTCCCCTTTTTACCCCCATATTTTGACACCACTGCAGGGGTGTCAAAATGGATTTTATTGGAAAATAATCAGATTTCTTATTCAATTTAGAAGCAAAACTTGTGTGTTAAATTTTCATAAGATTAGTGGTTTCGGAGACTTTAAAATTTCAAAAACACCGAGTACACGGAATTTTATCATATTTTATTTTAAATCGGTAACTTGGTAACAATTATGCCACGTTATCAGTTTATAAAATATTTTAAAAATAAAGTAGCGTCCAGGAGTCATCGTGCAGTTGTTACTGAACCCGTCATATTTTTAGGTTGTTTTATTGTAACGTTGATTGAGGATTACAATCAACGTCTGTAATTAATAATTTAATTGTATTATAATACAAAATCAAACCAACTCAAAAACCACCCTATTGAAAGCGATTATTCCATTATTTCATTGGTAAATTTTTATTGGCCCAATACAATCGTTCATAAAAAAAATAATTTTTTATTATTAAAATAGTAACAAAAGTTCCGGGTACACAGTGTTTTTGAAATTTTAAACTGAAATATTTATCTTCGAAACCATTGATCTGATAAAAAATAAACATAAAAGTTTTGCTTTTAGATTGAAAAAGGATAAAAATAAATCTGATGATTTTCTAATAAAATCCAGTGGCGTCGAAAATATGAGGGTAAAAAGGGGAAACCCCTTCCAAAATCTCCGCCACTGGGCCTTTTGTAGGAAATTTTCATTATATTATCGACGGAAGCTTAACCTACACAAAATTTAAGAAGAATCGGTTTGATGGTTTAAAAATTATTTTGAAGGACTATATCTGCGTTAGTATGCATTTTTGAAAAATGTTTTTGGGTTTGTTTTTATTGTTTTTTCAGGCTCTATCGATCATTAAAATTTTTCAGATTAATCCTGGACCACCCTGTATAATTATATAAAGTTTATATATAATGATATACAATTATACATAATTCTATATAAAATATTTGTTTAAAAATATGGAATTTATATAATTATATACAATTATATATAACTCTCTATGAAATTTTATATACTTTTATAAAATTATATACAATTATATATAATAATTTCCAATTATATATGATTATAAATTAGACCCTATTGAAGTGTCTATATAATTATATAGTATCATATACAATTCTATATAATTATATATTGGTCTCTTTTAAGGTATGTAAAATTGTATATAATTCTATACAATTTTATATAAATATATATAAGTTTTTTTAAATTGACCTTAAGGTATATAAAATTATTTATAATTATATACAATTCTATATAATTATATATAATCTAAGAAAATTATCCAGATACCTGGATAATGACGTCATTAAAAAAATATTTTCAATTGGTTAAGGATTTTGATTACAAAAAAAGTAAGGATTATTTAGTTAACCTTAAAAATTTAATTACAAACACAATCTGTACTCATTTAATATTTTTTGTTAATTTGCCGCCATACGTTATGGTGGTAACACTGGAGTTTTTGAGAGAAAGCTAAGATATCTTAGGCATATGGCGTGTTTTGGTGTTCTTTGTCGCCTTTTGTTAGAAGAAATTCTTTTTTTGTGGCGTAGATTCACGTGAATCTAGATATCGTATTCTTCATAAAGTGTGTTTGTTATTTGTTATATTATAGTGTTCTCTTTAAGTTAAAGCTTAAATAAAACTAATTTGCTTGACTGATTGTTATAATTTGGATATTTCAACAACCAATAGAAAGTTCCAGTGCTTATTAATTGTGTATTTTTAAGTTTAGGGTAGTAATGCTATAATAATTTTTTGTTTCATATTAAGTTGTCTTTTAAAATATGTATAAATATACAGGGTGTCCCATTAAAAAAAATGTGATTTTGGAATAACTTCGAAACCCGTTCGATTGTTTTTCTGTAAAAATACCACTAATTTGCTAATTTAACCGACTTTGTAGCTCCAATAATAATGGTGAGCAGGTTTTGATGACATTATATTTTTATAATCCTGCATAAAGTCACTAACTGTCATTTTGTGGGAAAATCTTAAAAAAACATAGTTGTGTGGATTGTTGTTTATATATCCAAATATATTTAATCATGGCCTTGTTTTCTCAATATGCGCATTAAATGCTTTTTATTTTTTTCATCGAAAACCGTTAGTCGTACGAAAAATGGTCAAGAAATCAAATTTGCCCTAAAATGAATGGGGATTTAAAAAATAAATTTTATTTTAAAAAATAGCAGTGGCGTGCATAATATTTTTCCAAAAATATCTAGACCACATCCTGCACGGAAGCCACTGGTAAAAAAAATAAAAAATCTTCTACATCAAAAACTTACTGTTAATGCTTAGAAGACGTGTGCCAAAATTTATAAAAATATCTAGGAAGTTATTAAAGTTATAATAAAAAAACGATTTTTTTCTTAAAACTTAAACTTAAACTTAAACTTAAAACACTCTTTAACTCAAAAATTAAGAGGTTTAGGTCATAGGTTTATTTGAACTTTTTTTTCTTAAAATCAACTAAGGATTCACACCCTTAAGGTTCAGCATCTTATTCTGTAACACCCTGCATATACAAACTGAGATATTTCAATTTAAATGAATCACCCTGTATAGATACATGTAAGTAATACCTAAAGAATTGTTTTTAAATACTTTCTTTAAATTTGTATCAGGTAAATTTAGTAAAAATCATCAATTTTAAGGTACATTTTCTTGCTTGCAAGATATTTATACCAGTCGATAACTTAATTTTATCATCAAATTTTATTAAACAAACAAACTTTTTTCAAAATATAAAACAATATTTTACAAAAAAAAAATCGTTATTTTTTCTCACCAAACGACCGAAATTAATGAAATTAATTTAATGATCTAAATTACAAAGCTAAATTTTGTGTAAAGCTTTGTTATAAAATACACTAGAGTTTAGCATTACACATAAAAAAAACTCTGTAACCCATGTAGTTTATAACTGTGACACGAGATGGCGCTGCAGCAGGCAACTGTTATTTTGCGCGTTACAAACAAGCAGCGTCCCAGACAGCAATATGACGTCTTAATTAAGTCTGCATAAGCTCTATTTTATGATTTGGACGTCAATACAACATCAGAAAGAAGTTTTTAAGAAGTTCTTAAGACTTCGAATGCGCCACCTATTGATCTTATCAAGACTTCTCAAAAAAGAACTCTTGAGGAACCCTTTTCTTTGACTTCGCAATAAAGCATTTTAAAGAGTCCTTTTGTATAAACTTATAAAAAGACTTCTTTAGAATTTTCCGTTTTGGATATAGAAGTACTACTAGGGCACTGATGAAGAAATTGCATACTGGATCGTTGCTTATTTTGACATGTCAAGTTTATTTTATTAATTTGTTAAATCATTTTAATAATTTGCTTGTATTCGCTTATTTTAGGAATTGCGATTACTTCGTCTCACTTTTGTTTAAATTCAAGCGTGCTCTTCACCGGCACCGATAGACGGCCTGTTTCGCTCTTTTGGAGCTCGTCAGTATCGGGTAGCCGTTTACCTAGGTCTAAGACCGTTTGGTATGGAGCACGCTCTAAATTCTACTTCGCCGCTTCTTATATCAAACACAAGCAGTTACAGCGGTGAGAAGAAAGTAATCGCATTAAAATGTCATAAATGTGACGTCTCCATGTTGACTTCTAAAAGAGTTAATAGTATGATTTCAATTGGAAGTAAGAAAAAAGAATACTCTGTAAGCTCAAAATAAATTGTTCAAAAAGAGGTCAAGAAAAGATCTTCATTTGTACGTAAAAAAATTGACTTCTTATTTATGAGTTCATTAACAGCTCAGAATTCTGAGCTCATAAAAAGAAGCTGTTTAAGACGTCATTTTAAAACTTCTACACGAAGTTGTTTAAAAGACTTCATACTGAAATCTTTCTGATTTGGATGCTGACTGGGGTGTGTTTTTGAATATTCATATGTTATCTTTACTTTACTGCTGAGAGTAACCTTTAGTTTGCCTAAATAATAGTCACAATGGATATGAAAATGTGAAATATTTATTTTTTAGAGGTAGATATTGCTAAAAAGTATAAAGACCCATATGTATACATACCTGTTCCCGTAGTGCTTTCTCGTGGCTAAAAACTTTGCCGACGATATGGCTGTAGAAATAAATTATGGCGGACATTGGAATGCAATAAGAACAAAAGAATATCGTTCCGACAAACAAGCGGGTATCAAATGTATTTGTTAGGTAATCGAAGGTGCATGTTGTTAAAAATCCCTCTAAAACAAAAATTAATAAAAAATATTACAGGAGTAACCAAATGTGGAATGGTACACGTGTGTCTAAAACAAACACTTGGAGATGAAAAACTTATATGTTTAGTATCAAACTCATTTAATCTAGTCAGTCCGTAGCTGTTGAGGCACCAGTTTCTACCTACTTTTTGAATCGCAATTTTTTTCGGTGTATAATAAGTTGGGTTTATACCTGGCACAAACCTTCCCCAAATTTCCAGAAGCGGTAAAACAGCCCAAGGTACAGCATAAATCCAAACAAACACAATCATCAAAAAGGCCTTGGTCCTCGTCACTTTGCCATCCAATGGATTTGTGATGGCCGTGTATCTGTAATGGTTTGGAATGTTAAAAAGAAAAACAAACATTTCGTAGACCACCTGTCGTAGGCGATGCAGGCATTTGTCATGCTGGCACCTATACCAGATAGCGAACCAAAAAAGGCGAACATCTGACAGGCGAGGTCCCCCAAAGCATAACCATGGTAAATGGAATTATAAATGTTGATTGGAGTTTTGGCATTCATCACAAAATCACAGAGGGCCAAGTTCACGACGAACATGTTCGAAGCTGTTCGCAGACTCTTGGCTCTAAAAAAAAACCAACAAGCCTCAGCGTGCTTAAGCAAACGATTTCGTGATTTAAATGCACCTTAAGAAAAAGGTTTTATTTTTTTACTTACGAGCAAAATACCCATAAAACAAGTCCGTTGCCAATCGTGCTCGCAAAAAATAGAAAGACATAGACGAAAGCCAAAAGCATGTGCAGGGAATACTCAGGTTCTGGATAAAGAAGCCAATGTTCGGGAATATGAACAAGGTCCTCCGGACTAAGATTCCAGCCTATGTGGCGAATTGGTGCTCCGGCCATATCCATCTCCTCCATTATCCTTAAAAATTATTTTTTTATTTACTTGGGTTCTATACAGAGAGAAATATCTTGGAGCATACAACACATGGATACCACCTTAAAGCATATAATACATGGATCCTTGATGTATCATCTTACCTCGCTTGATATACCGACGCCTCGGTCCAGTTGAGTAAATTCATCATGGACGAGTTTCCTTCAAGCACTCATCAAATCCAAAACTGCGATCAGTAATCGCAGTAATTACTGCCGAAGGAGTAATTACTCAAAACTGACGGTGGCAGTTAATTTTGCTGCGATTTTTATAGCGGCATTAATGCAATAAAATCTGACCCGAATCCTTTTTAATTGCATTTGACAGTAAAAGGATTGTTATTATGTAAATCTCGGCTAAAGCATGTAAGGATTTAAATGTATACATAATCTTTACAAATTTGCGATTAACTCTATTTACATAGAAATTTTAGAACGCCATTATCTCAGTTTTTCCGAAACATGTTCCTGGATCAAGGAAATTATGACCCAGAAAATATTACATCTCACCCTGGCAGGTAGGGAACTATCTGATGTATTTGGGTGGCCTTCTGTCTTAAGTGAAATCATACAATAAGTGTTATGATTACAACTGCGGATAATGGATAATCTTTTGCAAAACAAGATACAAAAGAGTGCAGTCATATCTATACCAAAAAGGAGTAATAATAATAAATAAAAAAAGATCCAGAGCAGAAGTTTAATGTTTAGTGTATGAATAAACCTTAACGCTGACGTCATATGCCGTTCATGACGTGGTTAGTCCGCCAGGTATGCTGTTATCACTTTTTCACTGCATTCACTTGTTGAAAGATTGCTTTTTAATGCACTATGTGAGTGATTTATTGTTTCTTTTAATATTTGCCTGTACAGGTAGTAAATCTTGGCACTTATTTCGCACAGTGTTTTCCTTTTTCTTTAAGACTTTTATTAAGATTAAGAGCGTTCGAGTGCACATCTGTTTGACTGACTTAATACAAATAAAACTAAAAATACCAAAAATGCGCAATAAAATTTTTTATTTGTATTACAATTTACGTTTATAATTTAGAATATATAAAATAGGAATTATACAAAATCAATAAAATACCTATACAGCAATAATCACAACCTTATTTTAATCTCTTTTTTTAACTTTTTATTATAAAATTTGGCAAGTTTAAATTTAAATATTTAATTTAAACTAAACCCAGTGAGCTAACAACTAAAATCTAAACAAAATATAAAAGTTTTGTTTTTAATGTAATTTTTTGTCCGTCTATGTGTTCCTTCATACAAGTTAAATTGTATAAATTTGGCAGATTAAAAACAATGAAACAGTCCGTTCATTGTACCCACTTGTGCTTCTTAAATTTTTCACAATCTTCAATAAAGTTCCTAAAAAAACAAACCAAAAATATTCTTTACATACAAATTATTATTATTACTAACTCAACAAGTTTAATCAAAAATGGTTCCTTGTATATTTCCATATGATCATATCCACTATCCTCAGGAAACAGATGATATCTAACAACCCCTTGAGTGGAAAAATCCCTGTTGTTTTGTGCAATTTCAAATAGCTAAAAAATAATATTGGAAAAACAAAACCAACCAAACTCAAGTATTACCCTTGTAGCATATAGATAGGAGATGATAGAGTCATCTTTGGAATGCAATATCATGATGGGACAGTCGACGTTGGTAACATACTTTTCCGTTTGGAAAGCTATATCGTTATCCACGAACGGGTCCAAAATGGTCCATTCGTACCACGGCACCCAACTGATTAGCTTGGAAACGGTATGGTTACTTACAACTTCAGGTACAGACGTGAAAGGGGCCTCCAAAATGAGCCCGGTAGTCGTTAAATTATCGTTTTTCAAGTTTGAGACTAAATGGGTTCCTATGGCAGTGCCCAACGAATGACCCCACACGTAAATATTTGAGCTTGTTTTATTATGAAGCCACTTGTAAAATTGGAAAATATCGTCCACCATTTTTGTCTCCGTCATTTCTCCTTTGAAGGAATCTCCATAACCTATGAACAACCACAGTTGAAGGCGTTAAGTAACATTTTTAGTAATTGTAAAACCAAATTTATTTTTATTTAAAATCAGTGATTCTTAACCCCTTCATCCACTTGCCCCTTAGTTATTTATCATACAAATGCTTAGAACTATATAAAATTTTGTATTTTAAAATAGTATAAAATGCCCTAGAAATTAACAACAAATTATTTAAAACTGCTTATAATCCTTTTTAAATGATCTAAAAATGACTTAAAATGCGTAAAATGTTTTTAAACTGCTTTCAATTATTTTGAAAATGATCTAAACATTGTATAAAATGGTTTGAAACTGTTTTCATTGCTTTTAAATAATTTAAAATGCCCTTACAAGTTTATAAACTGTATTGCATTTAAAACTGCTTTAAGGTATTTTTTAAATGATCTTAAATGTCTTAAATGCGTAAAATGGTTTAAAACTCATTTCAATATTTTAATAATTTAAAATGCCCTTGCAAGTTTATAAACTGTACTGATTTAAGGTATTTTTTTAAATGATCTTAAATGCCTTAAATGGTTTAAAAATGCTTTTAATTATTTTAAAATAGTATAAAATGCCCTAAAACTGACTACAAATTATTTAAAACTGCTTATAATTATATTTAAATAATCTAAAAATGCCCTTAAACTGTCTTGAATTTAAATCTGTTTAAAATTATATTGCAATGATCTGAAATGCCCAAAAACTGACTACAAATTATTTAAAACTGCTTATAATTATATTTAAATTTAAATCTGTTTAAAATTATTTTACAATGATCTAAAATGCCCAAAAACTGACAACAAATTATTTAAAACTGCTTATAATTATATTTAAATAATCTAAAAATGCCCTAAAACTGTCTTGAATTTAAATCAGTTTAAAATTATTTTACAATGATCTAAAATGCCCAAAATGGTTTTAAACTGCTTTTAATTGTTTTGAAAATAATCTAAAAAAAATAAGATGGTTGAAAACAGCTTTTAATTGCTTTAAAATGATCTAAAAATGCCCTAAAACTCTTAAATTTAAGACTGCGTATACATAATTGTTTTAAAATAAACTAAAATGCCCTAAAACTGTCTAAAATGATTTTAAACTGCTTATAATTGTGTCAAAAAGACCTAAAACTGTCAAAAATGGTTTTATAAATGTTTTAATAAAGGTATTTAAGGTATTTTTTTAAATTATCTTAAATGCCTTAAAAATGCTTTTAATTATTTTAAAATAGTATAAAATGCCCTAAAACTGACTACAAATTATTTAAAACTGCTTATAATTATATTTAAATAATCTAAAAATGCCCTTAAACTGTCTTGAATTTAAATTGGTTTAAAATTATTTTACAATGATCTGAAATGCCCAAAAACTGACTACAAATTATTTAAAACTGCTTATAATTATATTTAAATTTAAATCTGTTTAAAATTATTTTACAATGATCTAAAATGCCCAAAAACTGACAACAAATTATTTAAAACTGCTTATAATTATATTTAAATAATCTAAAAATGCCCTAAAACTGTCTTGAATTTAAATATGTTTAAAATTATTTTACAATGATCTAAAATGCCCAAAATATAAACTGCTTTTAATTGTCTTGAAAATAATCTAAAAAAAATTAAGATGGTTGAAAACAGCTTTTAATTGCTTTAAAATGATCTAAAACTCTTAAATTTAAGACTGCTTATACCTAATTGTTTTAAAATGAACTAAAATGCTCTAAAACTGTCTAAAAATGATTTTAAACTGCTTATAATTGTGTCAAAAAGACCTAAAACTGTCAAAAATGGTTTAAACCATTTTTGACAGTTTTAGCCATTTAATGTATGTATGTATAAGCAGTTTTAAATTTAAGAGTTTTAGGGCTTTGGATCCTTTTAAAACATTTATAAATTTATAAATGTTTTAAAAGGATCCAAAGCCCTAACACTCTTAAATTTAAAACTGCTTATACATACATACATTAAATGGGTTTAAAATTATGTAAAATACCCTAAACCGTCGAAAAATGGTTTTAAACTGCTTAAAATGATCTAAAATGCCTGTTAAAAATAGTATTAATTGTTTTAAAATGAAAGCCCTAAAATGATCTAAAATGCCCTAAACTGTCTCAAAATGGTTTAAAACTGTTTATAATTTGTTATAAAATTATCTAAAGGTGCCATAAAAGTTTTATGATAAAACTGTCTTATATTATATTTAAATTTACATAATGTCTAGAGTCCCGTCAGACGGTTCTCTATTGCGCTCCCGTTAACACTTTGTGACGTCACACACTGTAAATCGGTATTATTTTTCGAGCGATAGGATTTTTACAATAAGCTCGGTAGCTCGATAGAAGGGCGCCTGTTTTGCATGCGAGAGGTACGGGGTTCGATACTTGGCGCCTCTAGAACTTTTTTAATTTTTTTTTAAAGAATTTATATACCGAAATAATACAATGTGGCCTTAAAAGCATTTACATTAATATTTTAATTTATTTACCTTTCCTCATAATCATTTTGCTACAGTTATATAATAAAATGTAATTAAATGAATATTCGTTAAAAAAATTTTACTCAATGGTGCGGGGGGCCAATGGGGCGGGGTCGGTTGGGTTGGGTTGTTGGGTTTGGGTTGGTTTCGAAGCGGGCGGACTCGGGACGTTGGTTAAGGAAAAAAGATCTGCTTTCCGACTTAAGATTGCGTCATTGGATGACGTCACTCTGTTAACGGGAGCGCAATAGGGAACCGTCTGACGGGACTCTAGACACGGCGTTAAATTTATATTTCAGACAAAACTGTCAAAATAAACTACATATTTAACCTATGAAAAAATCATAACCTTAAAAATACAAAATGTATTTACCTCTGTAGTCTACGGCGAAAATATGGAAATCCTCCCTTAAAATATTATATAATGGAGCAAACTCAGTTCTATCAGCTGCATTTCCGTGTAAATAAATTAAAACATTTTGATTGTTATCTTTTAAAATTCTCTCGTAGTCGTATTCGTTATTATTCATGGCATCCCTTAAAATTGACCTGGGCAAAATTTCCCACACTCCCAACGTAATGTTTTCTTTTTCATTAACTTTAACATAGAAATTGTTTACACCTGGTAACTCTGCTATGCTGTAATTCTTTTTCGATATCAGTTCAGTTGGTAAAATTATCGTCGTTATTAATCCAGGACTGAATTTAAAAACAAAGGGGAACACAAATATTACCACAATAAATGTTAAAAGTAAAAGTATCAGCCTATAAGAAAATTGTTTTTTATTCACATAAACCAGATATTATATGACTTACAATAAAAATGTACAGCAAATACAACATTGCTTACACATAGTTTACACTTTATTTATTTATTCACTCTGTACCCATGTAAGTACATAACCATAAGTTATTTAAAATAACTTATTTTCTAATAACAGTAATCTCATGACGTCACACTAAATTTTACAGATTACGCCGGAAGATTATTTATTCTTACATTGGCAATACTTATGTAAACAAGATTTTTATCAGTGTGGCCATAAGTAGAAAATTAAATATGTTTGCTGCAATAAAGTCTTTTATCTATGTAATAAAGTGTAAGTACACCATAGATACACTAAATAGAGCACACTTTTTGCAAATGTTTTAGGGTAGTTGGTAGAGGGGATGCGAACAAACTTTTAATAAATAACGCAAATAAAAACTAAAATAGCTATTTATTAAAACTTAAACAACATTTATAAATCACAGCCTCTAAATCTTTGATGCAAGCCTTATTATCCTATAGTGGATTGTTCAAGCAATACTCTGCAAGTTTTCTGAAAATTGCTGAAAAAAGAAAACATGAAAACACTCCAGGTGCGGTAATGAATTACTTACGCAACCATATATTCATAAAATTGATTCTTATAAATAGAGTAATGATTATATTCAAATTTAGCATCGAATTTGTTGACTACCACAGTTGAATTTGGCCTCAAGTTTGCTAATTCACTAAGCTAAAAGTTAATTAGTTAATTATGTAAGTGTGTGGGTAATATTAACAAAATTACTTTATTTGTAAATTTAATTGGCACAATATCATCATCCTCAGCATGTAAAAACATTATTGGACAAGTTGTATTGAGTATGTACTTTTTGGTGTCAAATGTAAAACCGTTCTTTTCAAGGGGGTTAATAATGGTCGCCTTGAAATATGGCAACCATGCAAAGAGCTAAAACAATGTTTAGTTTTTTTATTGCAGAAAAATGAAAAAGGTACTAACTTTTCCATATTTATGTTCGGCAATTTCCTCCAAAAAGCTAGTAAAAGGACTTTCCAAAATTAATCCAACAGGACTAATATTTTCCTTTGAAAGATGAGCAATCATTCTTGTAGCTAAAGCTGTACCTAGAGAGTGTCCGTAGACAAAAATTTTGGCATTTGTTTGCTCCAAAACCCATTTATAAATTTGAATGCAATCACTAACAACTGATGCCTCGGTTAAATCGGCTCGGGTAGAGTCAGCATAACCTTAAAACCGTTTGACAGATGTCAGATTGGTAAAAAGTGAGGTTAAAACCGCTTGACAGTTGACGATTACGCAATTATTTTGGATTTTTACTTCGCTTTAAACAAAATTTACAAAAATGTTTGTTATGCCAACATTTCTTCATTATTTTTAAAAATTCCAATATTTATTAAAACAAAATAGACACAATAGTATTTAATTGCATTGTGAAAAAGGCTTACCTCTGTAATCAAAGGCTATGACTTGAAAATAATGCCTGAAAACTCTGTATTTAAGTACAGAATCGTCACGAGATTCTCCAGTGCCATGAAAGTATATTAGAATATCATGTGTGCTGTTTTTGAGCATATAATCGTAGTCGATTGCATAATCATCATACAAATCTAATGTAACAGAAGTTGGCAACATTTGCCAAAGACCTATGGATACGTTTGTTGAGCCATTTAAATCTTTGACTATAATATAACGGTTTTTGAACCCTGGTTGAGGAAATGTTTCATAAAATTCTTTATTGCTATTTAAATCAGCTAAAATTGACTCTGTAATGAAATTGATTATAAAAAGTAACATTTACTTACAGTTTGTGAATACAATTTTCTTCTGCAAGCTAAGGCTATTCATAAATACGAGTGGTAATACAACAAACACTGCTATAAGTGCTATGAGCAATAAAATGAACCTAAAATTGAATTACATTATAAAGTTAAGTGAGAATGGGTTTAAAATACAATATTATTATAAACATGTTCAATGCCACAATGAGGAGTGACTCTGGAACTTTAAAAATCATTGGCATGAGCTGTCAGTTATTATCTATGACTTACAGTGTAATCAAAATAATAAATATGGCCTTTTTTAATTTTGTTTTCCATGGTTTGCTTCTTTTGGGAATGTACAAGCCCTCCATTTTTGCCGATTCTGTGCTCGAAAACCGGTTACACACAGCTGTTACATACTTTGTCCTGTATGTAATTATCACATCGTTTTGGCTCGTCGAAATTTGCAATCGACGATTTTAGGAAACTCGCAATCTGACAGATCATCTAAATATTAGGTTAGGTGCCACCTAGAACTGTCATAGAAAATGGCGGAAAGTTTGAATTTTGACCTACATTATTATGTATATGTAGAGATATTTACCTATTTAATTCGTTGATACTGCAAAATGTTGTATTTGAAAAATAATAAACTTTTAGGATTAGGAAAAAACCGTTACTTTGTATTTTTTTAATCTAGAAGCAAAAAGAAATATAAAATAACAGATTTTAATTTTAATTCACAAATTTAAAGACTTGTGCTCTGTATGGAAAATATGCTACACTACGACCTTTCAATTTTCTTCACTTCAGCTAGAAGGTTTTGGAATTATAAATACCTATTCAGTTTGCGTAGGTATATAGTTATAAATGAAATCCAGACCTTAAGATACTTAGATAAGGTACCTATTTACAAATAAATAATTTATTTGTAAACATTTTATATTTTTATAACCCACAACATATACCTACAATAGTATTTATAAACATTTATCTATTTTGGAGAAGAAATATAAATTATAATTAGAAGAAAATTCTATAGCAAATTTATATTTATCTATGACCGAAATGCAGTGTTGCCAATGGTGTTGACATAATTTACACACAGATTCTGTCAAAATTCCACAATTTTGTCAACTATTCCACCCATTTGGGATTTTGGTTTTGTTAGGTTTCTTTGGTGATTACCGCAGAAAGAGTTTCTGAGGTGAAACACCACAAAAACTCTTTCTGCGGTAATTACTGGTGATTACTTAAAGACGTTTTCAAAAACTTACTAGATTACTTACTTTGTCAAAAAGTCTATTGTTATAACCGGTTTTAAGTTACTCGATAACTTACGCTTGCAAGTTACCAAAAACACCAGATTTTTTAATTTGCTGTATATATAGAAATCTGCACAGAAATTCGTCCATATAACTAAATATATCTATTTAAATGCTTGTTATAAGCATTGTTAATTTAAAGATAAAGTTTACACGCAAATTCCACACATTTATGTATTACACACAACAAAATAAATTCCACACAATGCGTGGATTTCCACGTACATTGGCAACACTGCCGAAATGCAATTTTTCTTAGTATATTTTGTCCTTTATTTCGTTATGTTGGTACACTGGTTTTGTTTTGACCAATTAAATTAGCCGAATTTGTGTTGTCAAAAAGGGCATACATTCTAACCTAAACGGCTATTTTATTATTGTTTTTTTGTGTAATATACACGCCATAAAGTGTTAACAAGTCCTTTATAAAGTAGTTATATAAAGGGTAATTGAATTATTTACTACGCCGGTTTAAGGTTATTGTTTACATAGTATGTTTTAAACATTCAATTTGAAAATGAATTTGGAGTTATTAGGTATGTTTTAGGTGGTTTTTAATCATATTTCAACTTATTTAACAATTTTTTAGAATCGTTTGGACAAAATTACCCAGAGGTAAACAATAGTTTCTTAGTAAAAAATTGTTTTTCCCTATATGTATAATTTTTTAGGAATTTGATGGTACTTTGGATTCCCTATCCATCGCCCTAACCTGTGCCTTCAACAAAAGAGGCACACTCTTAGCGGTGGGTTGCAACGATGGCAGAATCGTTATATGGGATTTTTTGACAAGAGGTATCGCCAAAATAATATCTGCACACGTTCACCCCGTTTGTAGCTTAAGTTGGTCACGAAACGGCCACAAATTGGCCTCAGCCTCGACAGATAACACCGTCAGCATATGGGACATACTAACAGGGGAGTGTGAGCAGAAGTACCGATTTCCCTGCCCCGTTCTAAAAGTGCAATTCGAGCCTCGTAACATGGAACGATTGCTGGTGTGTCCCATTAAACATGCTGCTGTTTTGGTGAACACCAATGGGGGGCATGAAGTGATACCGGTTGATGAAGATGTAATAATTATTTTTAAAAATATGAAAAAAATTATTTTATTTTTTTTCTTTTTTATTTAAAAAACTTGAAGATGTCAATTTGTTTTGTTTTGTTCATTTCAAGGGTGATTTAAACATTGCAGCCTCGTTTGACAGGAGAGGCGATTACGTTTACACGGGAAATGCAAAGGGAAAAGTTTTAGTTCTGGATTCGCGAACTTTGGAGGTTAAGGCTAGTTTTAGAATTGTTTTGGGGACATCTAGTGCTACCGCCGTTAAAAGTATTGAGTTTGCGAGAAGGGGAGAGTAATAAATATCGTTTAAATGCATTTTATTTTATTTTATCGTTCGTTTTTTAGTTGTTTTCTTATAAATACCGCCGATAGGGTTATCCGAGTTTACGATAGTAAGGAAGTTTTGGCGTGTGGTAAAGATGGGGAACCTGAACCCATACAGAAATTACAAGATTTAGTTAACAGGTAAGAAATATTATTTATTTAAAATTTATATTTAAGTTTCTTTTATGGGGCATTAAAGATTTTATAGTGGTTATTTAAATAATTTTTAATGGATAAGTGAAGTATCTATCATGGTATTAAATGTGGTAGGTGTATATTTATTAGATAAGGATATTCTAAGATACAAAAAAAATAATAATAAAAAGATTATCAGTCCTATCGTCACAATACAATTTCGGACGGTCGGGATAAAAATATTTTGAAATATCCGACCCAATAAATATAATCAAACCACATTTAATCCACCATAATAAATACTTTACTTATCCATTACATTAATTAATATATTATCTTGAAATGTAATACTAAAACATTAATACATTTACCAGAAAAAATACAAAACAATGTGTTGTAATAAATAGCTGTATAAGTAAAACATACAATTTGTATTTTAAAAACAGTTTATTAGTATAAATGGAAAACATAAATAAAAAAATCCTTAAACTAAATAGAAAATATTTAAAATTAAATATATATTTACAAATAAGTTCCCTTGATTTTTTTGGTAGATTGTCCTGTATAACAAAGAAAAGCAGCTTTTATTTGCCATTATTAATTTCTTTTATATGCAATTGCCCCAATTTTGACCTACCTAATCAATTAAACCTTTCTACTAAATTCTGTAAGTTCTAAGATTGCACACATTAGGTAATATTATTTTTTTATGTGGTATAACGCACTATTAAAACTATAAGAATAATCATACTTATGCGTTTGCTGGGTAATCTTGTATTGAAATGTGCATCGGTAAAACTAAGGAGTCTTAAATCCTAACTTAGGACGATGTGGAAAAAATGTTGTTTCTCCGGAGACGGCGAATACATCTGCGCAGGCTCGGCGCGACAGCACGCCCTCTACATCTGGGAGAAGGCGATAGGGAATCTGGTGAAAATCCTGCACGGCACCAAAGGGGAGCTGCTATTGGACGTGGCCTGGCACCCGGTCAGACCAATCATAGCCAGTATATCGTCGGGTAAGACCACGACACACAAAAACCGGTATGCTAATGTGCATATTGTGTGACGTCATGTGCGAGCCAATAGCTGGCGGGTGACTGGGTTGGAATGTTATTTGCACTGCAAATTCACGTTATATTCGAACATTTATAAATATAGGGACCGCCAATAGTAACTACAAAAATTCTGTCAAGTTATCCATGAAAAAAACATTGAAATAAAATTAAACTTAAGTAATACACTGCGCGTTAAAATTAACGCATAATAAGTAAAAAAAAATCTAACTCTAAAACGACTTTACCAATCTTTATGAAATTTTGTATAGAAATACTTCAACTTATATCTCAGTTTACGTGTTCGAGGGTTTTTCGAGAAAATATTTTTAAAGCCTTTTTATTTAATAATAAAAAACTTTCAAAAATACGGTCTTTCACAGCATATTTTTTATTTACTTAAAAAATATTCCCTATAAGTTTTTTTCGAGCGTTTTTTATTATTAAATAACAGGGCTTTAAGGATATTTTTTTGAAAAACCCTTGAACACGTAAACTGAGATGTAAGTAAAAGTATTTTTATTCCAAATTTTATAAAGATTGGTAAAGACGTTTTAGAGTTAGATTTTTTTACTTGTTATGCGGTAATTTTGACGCGCAGTGTACTACCATGTTATTATTAGTTTAATTTTATTTAAATGTTTTCTCATGGATAACTTGACAAAATAAATTTTTGTAGTGTTATTGTGCATTTTTTTTCTTAAAATGTTTCAATAAAATTTCGCAAAAAAATCGCCAATATGAATTTTTTAAAATTTACTCTTAAAAACTGACATGGTAGGCCTTGTATTTTGTAAAAATATGGCGTTTTTTGTTTCAAAAATAAAGTTTATCAAGATCTACACTTTAAAACAAATCCGGTTGAAATCGCACAATAAATAAAGATTTTACAGGGGTGAGTCGCAAACAAATGGGTCACGTGTATGTCTATGCAAAACTGTTTGTAACTTTTGAATCTGGTTCGCGCGTGACGTCACGTCGACGATATTTTGTTTCATAACCACACAGCAAACGGAAAAATATAGAAGTGTATTGGATGACGCCACGTTTTAATGCAGTTTTCTAACCTCGCCACGGTATAGATTTGTATTCGTCAGTCGAGCGTTTTAATACTCTCCACAGTATAGACTCTATAGAGGTCGTAATTTCACTTTTGAACTAGTATTAATATAAAAATTATTTTATGCTTAAAAAAAAACTATATACGACATGATTGTGATTTTTTTCATTTTATTAATTAATTAAGCTGTGTTGAATATATTTCCTAAAGGAATAATTGCCAATGGGCCATTAATTCAATTGTTCGTAGATGCTACAACCTGCACTGGTGTGTACTTTTTTTATATTGCTGTACTAATTAGTAACATATACCAGTGGAGATAGTGCAGGGTCTACCAACAGACCTCATTACTAAATTATTAAAGTTTAATAGCATATCGATCATTTTTTCAACATAACCTCTGAAATTTTTAATACAAATATAGGTACTTTATATAATACATAAATATACTTAACATCATATCCTCTGTGCTTTACATACCTGAGTTGTTACGGTAAATAAAAATCAGACAAAGGAACCAAAGAAAGGAACTATTTTCAACAAAATCATATGCAGAAATGAGAAAATTCAAACTACTTGCATCCATCAAAAGATCAAAACTTCTTGCAATATTACACCCTCTTTTTATACTCTCAGAAATATTGACTAGAACAGTATTAGAGAGACTCCAGTTTCTATAACTTGGTAGAGTAAAGAGAAGTCGAAACCGTTGCGATATTGCATTGCGCTGTTTTTGTATAATTCTCGGGGACATTAACGAAAATCATTGCCAGTAAAATTCGAAAAGCTTGAGTTTCTATGTCTCTGAAGAGAATAGGAATCCGAAGCTGCTGCACCATTGGACTGAACCCTTTTTTAATAATTTCTAGAGACATAAATGACTGCACCATTCGACAGGGTCGAGTTTCTACCTCTCTGTTGAATATAGAAAATCAAAATAATGTATCTTGTAAGACACCATTAAGTTTGACTTTAAATATAGTCGTGCATAGGTATAGAGCCGAAAAATATAAAAACAAAGCACGATTCAATACAGTTCTGATAAAACTTTAGGATTTAATATTCAAACGCGGAGTCATCCTATACAGTTCTATATTTTTCCGTTTGCTGTGCAGCATACCGTTTTTTGTGTATCGTGGGTAAGACAACAAGAAAATAGAAAAACGGTCGAACATTTTCGTGATTCTTTCTTTGTTAGGTGTTGTGAGTGTTTGGGCGCAAAACCAAGTGGAAAATTGGTCGGCTTTCGCGCCCGATTTCAAGGAGTTGGACGAAAATGTCGAATACGAGGAACGCGAAAGCGAATTCGATCTGGCGGATGAAGATAAGTCTGTTGCTAGTGGTGGGGATGATAAGGAAGATACAGATTTGGAAGTAATTGTTCCAAAACATTTTTTTTTTAATCTAATGAAAGTACTTGTAGGTGGATGTTTGCGCTGTAGAACCAGTGGCTGCTTTCTGCAGTTCGGACGAGGAGAGTGAGAACGAGAATTGTCTGCAATTTTTGCCCATTGCTCCTGAAGTACGAACGTTAACATTTTGTCGTTGTCGTGGTTTTTATGTTTCTTGTTTTAGATTGAAGATCCGGAAGATAATTGGACCGCCACCGATTCGAGTATTCCGCAGCCAAATCAAGGAAACGGTCCGCCGCCTCCCAAAAAGAAAAAATATAAATCGTTTGATATTGCACTTGAACACACCAGTGATGGAGGTAAGTGATTTTTTAACGACGTTGGTGTTTATTTTACAAAATACCTATGTAGATAATCAGTTATTTTATAATAAACTTCCTTTTATTTAAATAAACCCCAAAAACTCGTCAAATTTATAGAGAAAAAAAACAAATTTAATTTATATAAACCATAAAAACAATAAAGTGAAACCTCTCCTTGCAGACAGCTCCCAAAATCGAACAATTGTTCTAAAACCACATTTTTGGGGTATCAATTGAATGTAAAATGCATTTCGTTACTATATAATAATACAGGGTGTTATGTAATTAATGTTATATATTAAAATGGGTTGTTCCTTAGAGTCCATAAAGAAGCACCTGAAACTTTTTTTTTCTAAATTCCAAAGTCTAAAAATAATTTATAATAACCTTTATCCTACCAAAAAGTACGCCACTGATCGACTAGGAACTTTAGGTTAATCTGGTGGATTTATTATGTTATGGTTGGTAACAGTGTTTCCAAAATCTCTCAAAAAAGTTGACAAACATTGTTTAAATTTAGCTTAATTACAAAAATGGAAAAATTAACAATGCAAATTGTCAATTTGGCGTTTTTATTAATTGTTGGTTATTTCATGTTTGTACCATTCAAACAAAATCTGCCAACTTTTATGACAGAATCTAGTGCATTTCTTTTAAATTTTAGGTTATGTTTTCAAATTGTAAATATCTTAAGGAAAGTGCTTTTGGATTTATTTACACAAATTAAATGTTTAAAATTTAACCTGTGAACTGGTCCCAATTTCATCTGAGTAAACAGAGAAAAAAACTGATGAAAAAATTAATTTTGTGGTTATGGATTTCAAATTTCAAAGGTACTAAATTTTCTAATCATTGCTTAAGCTAATAGCTGGATCAGTAAATAAATACAGAAGGGTATTAGAGCTTTAAGGGCATAAAACTTTTGTATTTATTGAGTTTTTATTTATTTTTTGCAAGAAAAATTTTTAGTAACAATTTTTTACATCTGGTAACGCATAGCTACTTTGTTGGTTGGTATCTATGTACTCACAAAATACAGGTCGTCACCTGAGAATTATAGTGTTCTATCTGCATTTTCTTTTTTTTATTCAGGTTACTTTTGTTTTAAGTATTAAAGATGCATATTGTTCTATCTATATATAATTGGGGTAGAAATTGTACAGTTTAAACCTTAAACTTTACAATTTCTACCCCAATTATATATAGATAGATCAATATCATCTTTAAGACTTAAAACAAGACTAACCTGAATAAAAAAAAGAAAATGCAGATAGAACACTATAATTCTCAGGTGACGAGGTGTGCAGAGATAAACAAGTGTGTAACCAGTGGCATATCACAAAAAATATAAAAAACTTCTAATGCATATTTTCTCTTTATCTTTGGAAAAATGTTTTTTTAAATATTTTTCCTTTATTCCTTATGTCAAAAGGTATTCAGTATTTTAATATATAACATTAATTACATAACACCCTGTATATATAAAAAAAGTAAAACAAAACAAGCTTGGCCGCGTGGTCGACCCTTAGCAGGTGGACAGCGCGGTCCTTATTGGAAATTCTCCAGGCTCTTATTTGTCATTAAGATTGAATCGTTTAATTTCGATTTGATTTCGCGGTTTTTTTTAAGTAAAAAAAATATTGCAACAAACACAGAGATTGCAACAAAAAAGAAGCATTTTTTTGTTCAATTGCGATATTTTTTCCAAAAATGTTTTTTTACTGTATTTGCTATTTTAGTAAAAATAATCCAAAGAAAACAAAAAAAAATGAGTATTCTTTCAATGTTAAAAACAAACATTTAAATTTTAGAAGTAACTTCAGTAAAACACAAGAATCATTTTTAAAAAAACAAAAATAATTCCCATTAAAAAAGAAAAAATTTTTTTTAGTATGGTAACAAAATAAAAAAAATACAATTTTAGTAAATGAAAATCAGTTTAAAAAACAAAAACCTAAATTTTGAGAGGAACTTCAATGTTAGTAAAAATATCAAAAATTCTAATTTTAGTAAAAAAAATCAAAAAACAAGTTTCTATTTCAGGAAAAAAATAATTCCAATTATCAAGAGAGAAAAAATTAAATTAAAAATTTTAGTTTAATTAAATTAAAAATTCCAATTGTAGTAAATAAAATTCAATGTTGGTAAAAAAACATTACACAAAATTTCGAAAAAAATCTCAAATTTAGTAAAACGGCCATTCCAAGCCCATGGACAGGACACATCAGAAACATGTCTAAATATATTCTTGTTACTTCCTTAAGATTACTTATTTTTTCTACGAGTATTTATGAGAAGTATTAGCCAAATTTGGCTAATACTTCTCATAAATACTCGTAGAAAAAATAAGTAATCTTAAGGAAGTAACAAGAATATATTTAGACATGTTTCTGATGTGTCCTGTCCATGGGCTTGGAATGGCCGAAAAACAAAATTTTCCATTTTAGCAAAAAATAATTTTAATTAAAAAAAACAAAAACATTTAATACCAAAAAAAGATTCCAATTTTAGTAAATGAAAATCAATCAGTTTAAAAAAACAAAATCCTAAATTTTGAGAGAAACTTCAATGTTTACAATCAATCAAAAATTCCAATTTTAGTTTTTACACATTGAAAAATTAAAAAAAAAACAAGTTTCCATTTTAGTAAACAAACAAAAAAATAAACGAAAATAAAACAAAAAAAAGAAGAAACTTCCATTTCCATTTCAGCAAAAAAAAAAACAAAAAAAGAACTTCAATTTTCAAAAGGAAAATAAAACAAAAAAATACCTTAGTAAATAAAAAATATTTTTTTTTAGTTTAAAAAAACAAAAACCTAATTTTTTAAAGAAAGTTCAATTCCATTATTAGATTATACAAATCAAAAAACAAAAATCACAAATTTAGTAAAAAAAATAAAAAAACAAGTTTCCATGTCGGTACAAAAACAACTCCAATTTTCAATAGGAAACAATAAAAATGTAATACAAAAATAGATTTTAAAAATTTTAGTTTGGTAAATAAATAAATAAAACAAAGATTCCAATCTTGGTAAAAAAAATTAAAAAATTTCAATTTCAATTTTAGTAAAAAATCAAAAAACAAAAATCCCAAATTCAGTTAAAAATAAATTCAATTAATGACAAAAAAACAAAATTCCATATAAATGAAAAAACCTCGGAAAAAACATTAAAAAAACTTTATAATATTATGGTACATTAATTTTACCAAATCACCACTACACGCGAATATTATATTGGCCAATCTGTGATAAAAGGCGTGGCATCCAAATATTTAGCCTCGATTGACCAATAGCGTACCAAGGACCTTTATTAAGAAAGGATTGTATTTTTTTTTGCAGAAGTCCATCCATTGTTAAGTAACAAACCCAAGGATAAGCAGCCGGGGGTGGGCAAAAAAGGAGCGGGACGACCTAGGAAATAAGTTTGTTGTAATTTAATGAGAAAATAAAAGTCCAATATTTTGTCAACAATATATTTGTCTACTATTTTACATTATCTGAAATGTACACTGTAAAAAAAGTAACAAAAAATTAATAATGCACTTTTTGATATTCCGACACGTATTTTTCCAAATATAAGAAAATCTTCGAAAAAACGCACCTTAAAAAATAAATAAAAACGGCGCTAGGTGTGGCTTCAAAAAAAGAAATCTCTACATGATTATTGAAAATAAAAACAAGTATGTACAAGACATCGCTACTACGATATTTAATAATTGAACAGGGCACAAAATTAAGTAAAATAAAAATGTGGGCGTGAATTATTAGAAACTTTTTAATTGTTAAGTCAACAATGAATTTGATGCTAAGTCCTATTGTTGATTCGCACAAATGGAGCCTTAACCGATTAGTATACCGACTCCAAGTCGAAATTGGTTTTTACTGTGGTTCATCAGACCGCTAAATGCTAAAGTGAACGGGAGCGGGCTCAGTTTTTTCTCCAACACCGCGCCCACGGACCAATTCGTATCTACATGACCTGCAAAAAAAACAAAGTTTGTACCTTAACGCCGCACTATGGTTTATCGGCGGAAAAAATACATTTTTAACAACTTTTTATGATGATAATTTATTTAATAAATTTTGATAAAGAATTATTTTTAAATAATTATGTTTTGACTTTAAAGATTTCAGAGTTTTTAACAGTAAAATTGCCTAAAAATTACGCACACATTTAATAAACCATATCTTTTAATTGAACAAAAAAATTATTATATTTTTTTTTAAATAAGTTTAAAGTACATAAAAATTCCTATTTGAATAAAAAAATTAAAAGTTATAACGTGTTACGATTGCCTCCGATTTCCACGATGATATTAGACTGGGCCAAAAAAAAAATTATGGTGAAAGTTTGACTCCATAATATTAATATTAAGAGGTCTATCATCGCAATTTTAGATTTTTTTTTCCTGAGCGAGTTTTTATCTCAGAACTCCCAAACCATTGAGTTTAACAAAATTGACTTAAGAATATTTTTTGAAGAAAAATGAATCTTCTACAAAAAAGGTTTGATTGGAATTTCCCGTCAGATGAACCGTTTTCTTACAATCATGCCTTAAAAATTGGTATAGTTTTACAATTTGATCTTTTCACTTTGGAATTTTGTAATTCATGTAAAAATCAGTATCCGGAAAAAAGCCGATAGATATTCTAATGGGAAATCAAATGCTCTACATAAAAAGTCTCCTAACATTTTTGGCTAAATTCTCTCCATCAAAAGTTATTCAAGGTTAAATTTGAAGTCAAAACGAAATTCTTGTTTTTTCCGCTGCAGATTTTTTTTTGGGTCAATTAAAAACTTGGATTCTTTTATCGATGATAATCTTTATGTTATTAATAAAATTACTGAAAATTAAAGAAAAAAAATAACACAGAGTTTTTTCGCTTTAAGAAGCTATTTTCTTTAGAAAATATTATTTTTACTGTTACCTATTTAAACGATTAATAATAACAATCATGTTGTTTTTTTATTGGAAATTGTTAATTAGTTATATAATACACATTTATAAAGAAAAAAATCAAATTATCACCCATAACAAAATAAATCTACAGAGGAAAAAACAAGAATTTCGTTTTGACTTCAACTTTAACCTTGAATAACTTTTGATTGAGTGAATTTAGCCAAAAATGTTAAGAAGCTTTTTTTGTAAAGCATTTGATTTCCTATAAGAATATTCATCGGTTTTTTTCTGGGTACATGATTTACAAAATTCCAAAGTTAAAAGATCAAAATGTAAAACTATACCTATTTTTAAGGCTCGATTTTAAGGAAACGGTTCATCTCACGGAAAATTTCATTTTAGCCTTTTTGAGGTTGTTCAGTAAACTTTACTCTACACAAAAAATTAGATGCTTACATGCACATATGAAAAAGTTATGAATTTTTATTTATCGCGCTGCAAAAATTTTGATATGTTTTCAAGAAAAACAAATCGAAAATCAAAAAACGGGGATATATTTCATCGTCTTTTAATATCGTCTGACCCCCTAATAACGTTACTTACAATACAAAATTTGTAAAATATGAGCTGGATGAAGAAGCTAAGTAATTATGAATGGAATAAATGTTAAAATTCAAATTATGTTTATTTATTTCTTAAAGTGTGCTTAGTTTAACTAAGTTAGCTAAGATAGTTAAAAAAAAGGTATTTATTCGCATTTAAAAAGTTATTGAATTATTTTCGCAATCGCACCGCGAACATCTAAAAAAGGCATTTAAAAAATAAAGACCTTAATTTTTTTTATTAAAATATACTTTATTTCTTTGCAATTAAAAAGTTTTTTGATTATTACATCTAGGACCAGGTAAAACACCATTTAATTTTTTTTTTATGTTTTTTGATTAAAATAAAGTTAATTATACGTAATAATTATTATTTAACAAAGTAAAAAATAAAAAAAATATAATTTTTTTTGCAATAAAAACGCATTTAAAAATTAAAAACCTTTATGTTTTTTGATTGAAATATAGTAATTATTAGGGTGTGCCAAAAAGGGTTATTTTTTTTTCATGCTCTCACCCCAAAATCTCTCAGAGAATGCTCAAATAAAGCTTCTGTTAAAAGCAGAGATCCATATTTAAATTTTAAGAGGTTCTCCATCGAACTTTAAGTTTTTCCGTCTAAATAACATGGAAAACATGGTTTTTTGGCACTTTTTTGTCCTGCAAGGTGTGAATTTTTTTTTTTATGAAAATACATAAATGAACCTTTTTTATCATTAAATTTACTACAAAAAGTTCTATGAAGTCAAATTTTTATCTTCAATTGACAGAGCTTAAAACTTCAAATTATCGGTTTTCTGCATTCTTTAGCTATACCATAAGAGTTAGAGAAAAATTAATATTAATATAGCCGATTTCTAGAACGTTTAAAATCCTACAAAAAAGTCCTGATCAACTTTTTTGTATCACCAATAGCTACAAAGTTATAGCCCTACAAATATTCATTTTTTTAAATTTTTCAACAAAGTTAAATAGATAAGAAGTTTTATAGCATAAAATATTCAAAGTTACAAGCTTATTTTCGTCGTATTTTTATAATTTTACAACTCTATTATATTACAAAATATATCAATAAAAAATATGAAAGTTTATTAAGATATGAAATTGTTCTGATAATTATTTATTATTTTTAAATCCTTCATAGAACTTTTTGTAGTAAATTTAATGATAAAAAAGGTCCATTTATGTATTTTCATAAAAAAACACCTTGCAGGACAAAAAAGCGTCAAAAAAACATGTTTTCCATGTTATTTAGTTCGATGGAGAACCTCTTAAAATTTGAATATGGATCTCTGCTTTTAACAGAAGCTTTATTTGAGCATTCTCTGAGAGATTTTGGGGTGAGAGCATAAAAAAATAACTCTTTTTTTGGCACACCCTAGTAATTATACGTAATAATCCTAATTTAATACAGTAAGAAAGAAAAAAATTCATATATATTTTTAATAGGTTTTGAATTATTTCTGCAAAACAAAGATTCTGATAATCTAAAAACGCATTTAAAAATAAAAACCTTTAAAATTTTCGATTAAAATATAGTTAATTATACGTAATTTAACGCATTAAAAATATGTTGTTTATTTGTAATAAAAAAGGTATTGAATTTTTTCCGCAAAACGCTACTTTTCTCCCATCTGACTCGACATGCGCACTACTTACCTTTGAACACTACCTCGCTCTTGGGCAGATCGACTTGGTAGCCAATAGAAGCCACGCATTCTTGCATCCTATGGTTAGCCTCCAATTCCACGCCGATTTGCAACTGCTTGCTGGCTTTTTGGTAGTAACACAAATGTACACCTGACACCCCAACGGTACCGGAAACTTGCACATTTTCAGTCGTGTATCTAAAAAACAAAACCAGTGTGAACTAGGCATCTAGATTGCTTTGATTTTGACGCAGCTGTCAAAATCAAAGGTCACCTGATTACACTTACTTTGAGGCGACACTTAGAAGGGCAATTTCGCCTCCGGGGATACCAGACCCCTTCTGGTAGGCAAGTTCGGATCCCAGGGCTAAATTCGGCGTGATAGCTTGAAGGTAATGCAAAACTAGTACCCCCGAACCGTTTATAATGTCGGGATTGGCCACGGTACAACTGGAAGTGAAATCGTCGCCCTTGTAATTCAACGTCAGCTGTCCAACGGTAAACTGCGACCCTTGAACCTTGAAGCAAAATCATCGTGAACAAAACTACATTTTCCCAAATTTTAATTTTCTTACTTGTGCTCCGAATTTTGCCTGTATCCTACTTTGTACTTGGTGGATGACTGTGGCGTTTAAATTTCCCGCCGGGTCGATGTCTCCCAATAAAATTGGGTACGCCTCACTTGGCGATAATTGTTTGCAACCCACGTAGGTGGCGCCAAATCTGTACCCACTGGGCGTTATCGAGCTCATATTTATCGTATGCGAGATTTGGAAGTGATTGCTGAGACCGCGAGTCAACATAACTCTGGCTCCTTCGAAACATGTTGGAAAAACGCCTAAAATAGGAATGCAAGTCTAAATACTGCGTCCATTAAAAGCACACAAAGATCATAATAAAATGCGAAAAATGGTAAAATTGTTAGTTGTTCCATTGATATTAATAGTAAAAATGGTAATTTTCAGGTCAAATGCATGAAGTAGGGTTATGAGTCTATAAAAATAAACAGATAGGTATTCAAAATATTAAAAATAAAATAAAAATGGTAAAATTCTTAGTTGTACAAATTAAATACAATGGTAAAACAGCGATTTCGAAGTAGAATGCATAGTGAAGTAGGGTTATGTCAATGGAGACCTACCTTTGCATTTTGTGTGGATATCTTCTAGCGGACCTGGATTTTCGAGTTTTTCCCTGGTTCTCGCCCCTGTATCGTCGCATTTCATGAACGGAGGCGGTGTTGGTGCATTACTTGGGGCCGACGAGGCGTGTACGTTACCCATTTTATTATTACTTAAATTTACGTAGTATTTCTCCTTTCAGCCTTATGTAACGTAATGTTTTCCAATTAACAGTCTATTGTGCACACGTGCCACTATGAAAAACCGGACAGATAGTTGACATTAATTGCGATAACACAAGAAAACCTCACACATTTTTGATAAAAAAGTTCTTTTTAGGGTGACAGATCTGACAGGTAAAACAGTTGATGCTTTTATCGGCTCCAGCCATGTGCCCAAGATTTGTTTGAAATTTCCCGCCAAACGTTACATAACATGTTTTTGAATAAATTGGATTTATTTTTAATTAAAAATTACCAACTTATTTTTTTGATAAATTTACAATAATATTAACCTTTTGGTGTAAAATAATTTGTTTTATTGAAACTCAATTATGGTTCTTTTGCTTTTTTGGTTGGTAGTTTATGTTCTGTGGTTGGTACTTTAGATACCTGTCAGCTGTCAAAATTTGCCCGAAATCCGCATGTTTGAAGTGTGTTTATCTTTTTGTTGGAATAGATTATTAGATTAATGATTAATAATAATCATAGATTGTTGGAGAATTTTTCGCATTATTAAGGGAGAGGTGTTTCGATTTTTGTGGCCAAATGTCCCAGGTAAAAACCTGTTATTATAAAATGTTATTCATTTTTTAAATTTGTTTGGTAACCTCAAAAATTTCCAAACACCACAAAACAGTACCAATGATTCCAGACGCTTTAAAAATTAATTATTACGTGACGAAATCTTTTATAATAACTTTACTTTTGAAAATCTGGTAATTTGCGCTTAATTTCCTTCTGAAACATGTATTTTTCATTGAGTTTCAGTCATTGGATATTGCATGGGGAAATTCCGAGAATGAAAGCTGTATCATCGAAAAGAAAGGACAGATTAGAGAATAAGAAGAGGAAAATGGCCGCATTGGTTAACATTACCCAGCTGAATGAATATGATCGGGCCAATAACAAAACCAAAATGGCACGTCTAGAGGAAACCTCCACAATTATCGAGGACTCTAACCAAACTAAACCGGAACCCAGCACAAAAAAAGTCAAAATATCACACAATACAGAAAAGTTAGTATCAGTTTTTATTTATTTTATTAAATATGGTTACCCAATATTTTAATTTAAACAAAAAGTAATGACCATTATGGTCCAAGGTTTCAACAGTTTTATAAGTTTTTATTTTGAAATTTATAAATAATTTGACAAGGTTTTGACACTTCTTTGATAATGAGGTGTTAAAATACTTAAAATTTGCATTATTATAATAATATTATAATATTAATATCACTTTTATGATTATTCAACAATGAGGTCATTCCACGTTACTCGGGGATTTTTGTCCCGCCCTTCACAATTTAAAATTGTGAGTAAAAACTACACGTTATAAAATTTATTTTAAAATATTGTTTATTATGCTTTTAATAAGTTATAAGCACAATAAAAATAATATTATAAAATATTAATTTAATAACTTGTGGCTTTTACTCACAATTTTTAATTGTGACGGGTGGGACAAAAATTACCGAGTAACGTGGAATGCCCCAATGCCAAAATATTTAGAAGTGTAATGTATTACAATGAAATTACTATCTACTTCAATCCAAGAAAGTGGGTTATTTCTATATCCTGCATGGGAATAAGTTTTAACATGTTCTCACATTCTAAAAGGCATTAAAATTTAGGACTTTCTATTCTATTAAGTCCAACAAATAAAACACAAACTTGTTAATAAAAACTTTACGAAAAACGTTGGAAAACCATCGTGCGTTGCTTATACTTACAAAAAACAATAATTTCGGAAAAAAATCAAAAGAAATCGTAGTACGAGTTTTCGTTTCATAACCAATCAGATCACAGCATTTTACACCGCACACTTGACTAGACATTGCCAGTCCTTTTGTGACAACCATTTTTTTATTTACAAATATAACTAAAGTCGTTTTTTCGCGTAAATACTATCTAATACTACGGTTAAATAAGTCATGACGTCACAGTTAATTCATATAACCATGGTTAGGTTTCTAACATTTGACATTTGTTTACTTGTTCATAACCTATAATTTTTTAAATGTGTTTTTACCTATTTATATTTAATTTCTATGTTTTTACCGGTGTAAATAAATTTCTTTGCCTCTTCTTATACCTAGTATATTCTTTTTCTATACTTGTTTTTTCAATACAAATAAGGAAGAATATAAAACAAACCTGCATATAATTCCTCCACTTCTTGTGGAGATTCCACAATATGGAGCACCCAGTCATTTATTTTCACTGACAACACCCCGTTTATCATTTAAATACAAAGTTTAAATTCGGTTTAAGAGCAATTGTACCTACTTAAAATATTTTAAATTTCAAATGTAAACAACTTTTTGACAGATCAAAACAGAAAAATATATATTAAAAAGAGAAAGACTATTAACCACGTTGAATAACTAGCTCAGCGCACAAAACTAGAAAAAACCTTCTAGTTTTGTGGCTCAGCGATATAGTTTTATGGTCTGGTATTTGTGACGTCATAGTTTGGATTTTTGAACGCACTCTAAACGCAAAAATGCCTTAACTATTAACCAAAGTTAAGTTTAATAACCATAGTATTTCATGGTATTTGCGCGAAAAAACGACTTAATATTACATAGAATGATATATGAAAACATGTTTACTCATCTATCTAGGGGATTATAGATTTTATTGGTTGTATTGACAATTGTAAACAATAAATAGAGCTATATTTACATGCGTTTGATACACTCTTACATAAATATAATTTTAAACATTGTTTGCATACATTTTGGAATTCAATTTTAATGGCAAATAATCCGAGAGAACTATAGAAAAAGAATGTTGGAAAACTTAACCTAAAAACCAAAACACTGTTCTGTCAACAAAACCATTAAGGTTAAGTCACACCACAATATGTTCTTGGCTATCAAATTGTTTAATTTTAATTTATTTTGATGATTTTTTTCTTCTAAAAATAAAATGCTGCTTACACCCTTGAATATATATTTTGACACGAGCGGTTGTTATGAGTGCCATTTTGTCAATTTTCATTTGTTAGAATTGAAATTTTAACACAATGAAGTTGATACATGAAGCCACAAATATTTTAAATTTCAATAAAATCGGCAAAATTGTTTACGTAAAAACACTTTGAATTTTAAAAATTGTCGAGTTTTTGCTAAAAAATCAATTTTATTTTGTTAAAAATAGGATTTTTCAAGGGAGCTACTTTTTGAATGTGTTTGATAAAAACGTTTTTATCAATATTTTGAAAATAAGAGTCAATAAAGTAATATGATGGTCATTTCTTAAATTATCGCACCCAAATTACCCTAAAAAATTTGCTGGCTTTTGACTAGTGTAATCCAACTTGGTTGTCTATGGTTGTCTTGGATTATCCAAGACAACCATAGAAAAAGAATGCAGGAAAACTTAACCTAAAAACCAAAGCACTGTTCTGTCAACAAAACCATTAAGGTAAAGTCACACTAGAATATGTTCTTGGCGATCAAATTTGTTTATTTTTAATTTGTTTTAATGTTTTTTTTCTAAAAATAAAATGCTGCTTACGCCCTTGAATACTTTGAAAATTAACTACTCAATAAATAATACAAAACATAAGTAAAAATCTATAATTGCCAAATAAGTTCATAATTGTTTAACACTTCTTCGGGGGTGGAATGTTTTTGCACCATAAAGTATCCCTGTATTTGCGCAGGACTGACGTTTTTCCCTAAACTTAGCACTTTGTCCGCGAACAACTGGGCTTGCGAGTAAGCCTGCTCGCCCTGATAAAACCTCAAAAACATGAGTTCTATCTGATGCTTCGAGCACCAGCCGATGTACTCCTTCAAGTCCACCCTTCCGGGTCTGATTAGCGCCTTGTCCAATCGCTCGAGGTAATTCGTAGTCATAAAAACGATCCTGCCCTCGGTGCTGGCCACGCCGTCCAGGCAGTTCAGCAGGCCGCTGAAGGTCACGCGGTTCAAACCTTCGTAGGCGGCCTTCTGCTGCGTGGTGTCGTCCCGCGACACGAAAGCCGCGTCGATGTCCTCCAGCAGTATGAAACTCTGCTGGGGCGCCACGCTGAGCAGGTGGTTGAGTCTGTCGTCCGAAAGCCCTCTTTCGGACAAGTTTAGAACGCATATGGAAAACCCCAGCTCGCCGGCAAGGGCGGTTATGAACGAGGACTTCCCGCATCCCGGGGGGCCGTGCAAGAGATACCCCCGCCTGTACGGGATTCCCCGGTCCGTGTACCACCCGGAGTTCGTTATGAACTCCTTGCAGTCGCCGAGTATCTTCGCGCTGATCCCGCTGTCCAAAATTACGGAGGTTATGGGGCGTTTTTTGCGCGGGTGGCCGAACTGCCGCCACTCGCTGCCCATCGCCGTGTACATTATCGTTTTGCCTTCGTGCTGCTTCAACGCCATCTGCCGCGCCTCTTCCAGTATGTCGAAGTATATGCTTTTGTCCCAGCCGAATGCTGTCAGTTGCACCGTTTCCCAGGGTATTCCCATGTGCAAGTCCAGGGTGTGTTGTTCTCTAGTTCTCTCCACCCTTATCCACGTCTTACCTAGTTGGAAAACAATTTTTTAATCTTGAAGAAAAAACGATTTGGGATGAAAAAATTCATTTTTTTAACTTAAATTTAAAGTATCTGTTTCTTAAATTTGTAATTTTTGTAAATTAAAAATATTATGGGAGAAATATTTAAATGCATTAAAAATATCATATTTTTAATTCATTTTAATTTCGACTGAAAGCTTGGACACCCCTTCAATAAGTTTTTTATTGTTATTGGTTTCTTATCAAATTTTGTAGTCTCAGTCAAAATTTTCAATAATGGAAAATGTAAAATATGTATGTATTCTAAATTTCACTTTATCATTAATATACACATTGCTCAAAATTTCATTTTGAAAAAATACTCAATTTTTTAAGATTGATGATGTTATTTATTAACAGAATATGCTTTATTGTAGCAAATTTTATCTAGTTTTTTTTTCAAATTTAAAAAAAAACAATTTTTTACATACAAACTCGGAATTAAAAATATCTCATTCAATGAAAAATATCTGATTATTTAATCAAATAAAAATTAAATCAAATTAAAAATATCTCCTATGATATTTTAATGCATTTAAAAATTTTCCTATGATATTTTTAATTTAGCGAATTAAAAATATGTGAGAAATATAAGAAGTAAATATTTTAAATTAACTAAATAAAAAATATCAGTTTGGCATAAAAATTAAGTCTAATTTTTAATTAAGCAAATAAAAAATGTGTGTTTAACAAAAAATACAAATATAAAAAACAGTTCAAGTACGTTGAAAATACGTTTAACTCAAAAGTATTATTTTCATTTTATGTTTCTAGGAGGTCAACAAATCATTTTAAGCCCAACATTAAAGTAGGTCATAGGTCATTCCTTCAAAGAAATTTTATTTAAAAAAACTACCCTATAGGGTTCTAAAAATTTTAGTTGAATCATAATAATTCAAAAAAAATATTTTTTTATAAAAAAAATTAATTTATCGGGGTTGTACTTCTCAAAAGTAGATCCAAGTAAAAATATCAATGTTAATAATTTTTGTTTGAAATATGTGTTTTTTTAACTTGCAAACAATGAATTTATAATAAAAATAAATTTTATTAAAACTAATCAAAACTTAATTAATCTTTGGTAAGACTAAACAATAGTTTGCATATTTGCATTGTTTAACTTTTGGTTTAGTTTGTATTAGTTTTAGGTTAAAATTACTCTTAGTTAATCTTAGTCTTTATTATATAGGTTTAAGTTGGGCTTAGATTAGTCTGTCTTAAGTTAAGTTTAAGTTTAATATTATGTTTTTAATAAAGCCAGATTAGCTCATAAGATGTTTTACTTAAGCTAAGACAACTTTTAGTAAAATTTAAATATACTTTTAAAGTTAATCATTAAAAACAAGTTTAAAATTAATAACAAAAAATATCAACTTTTATATTTTTACTTAAAATGAATTTTGTGAAATACAACCCTAATAAATTGTAATAAAATAAATAATAATTTATTGGGGAATGTTATAATTTGGGTTGTTTATAAATAAATAATTTTCAAAAAAATAAAATTTAAAGTTTTTAGAGGCAAAACAAAAAAAAATATTCAAACATGTAAAAAAAAATCAAATCAAATTCATGAGGGGCTCAAAATGATCTGTTGACGTCCTAGAAATATAAAATGAAAAAAATTTCTAATGTTTGCACTTTTGGGTTAAACGTATTTTCAACATACCATGATATATTTTAAATTCAATAAATTAAAAATATCAGTTTGACATAAAAATTAAATTTAATTTTTAAATATCTACAACATATGAGTGTATTTTTTAATACCGATATTAAAAGTTACAAAAAAATAATTTTTCCATTCCAAAGCGTTTTTTTAACTCGTTTCTTCTCGATTTTAGATATTTAAAATTCACTAAATTAAAAATATCAGTTTGGCATAAAAATTAAATCTATTTTTAAAATTAGGTAAAAAGTAACAAAACTACATACTGTCAAAGTTAGTCTTTATTTAAGAGGACTAAAATTGATAAAACTATCCCACAACACAAAAATATATTGAATGAATATTTTAGAAATATTTGTCATTATCATTAAACTGCTTCTATAATGTTTTTACAACATTTAGATGTCCCACTTTTTATATAGTTTTAGATACATTACCTTATATTTTATTAATGTTTCCTCATATTTATTTTAATGTTGTTGTAAAGGTTGGTAAAATGTTGCTTTTATATTTATAAAAGCTGTGTGGCACCCATTCTTTGTGTGTAGTGAATTTTCTTGTTTTGGAGTGAAAAAGTAGATATCAGATAGGATACCGAAACAGTCAAGATAGAGATTAAAACAAAATAAATTAATTTTTGTATTTTTTTTAAACTCCACAATATGTGTTTGCTGGAAAAAACAAACGTATTTCCTGATTTGTCGAGTCTTACCGTACTTAAAGAAATGCGTTCCGATGCTCGGAATAAAGTCGTATTTGGTCTTGATGTGCCCCGAGTCTTTCTGCTCGAAGCTCGTCTCGACGCTGAGGTGTTGCGTTTGCTTGGCGCCCTTGTACGTCATCCATTGCAGCAGCCACTGGTAGGACTTATCCCTGCACGGCACCTCCAACGTGATCATGTAGTGCCTGCGGAACAAAATCAGCCCCGTCTGGTAGCCTTTGCGGAGGAACGCGGCGCCGGCGCCCAATCCGAAGAGGCCGAATCCGGCGCCGAAGTACGGGTTATCCGACAACGTCGACACGTAGTCTATTATCGTCATTTTTTTGCTTTTTTCTCGTGCGAAACGATCACATCGCGATTCTAACCTCGAAATTTGACGGCGCTGCGCGGTTGCCGCAGCGGTTGAAAGTTGTAAATGCGAGGTTGCCGTGGTTAACGGCGTTTCCCCAAACATACCTCAAATTTACTTATAATTATTTGTGCTATTTTACCAAATATATTGCTTGATTTGTATAATTACAATCAGTAAATAAAATATTATTTTGGTGTGGTATCTAATGCTAAAAATTAGATAGTTATCTCAGTTTTACTGAAATTATCAATACTTTATATATGTATTTTATAGTTTATTTCGAAAAATTAGTATTCGGATATTTACATTTTCTCAAAGTAGTATTTAACATTTGTTTTAATTATTGTTAAAATTCTGTAAAAAATTACAAAACTACAGACTGTCAAAGTTGATCTTAATTTTAAAAAACTAAAATTGACACGGCCTTATATTTTGTGGAAAATCTCGAGAATTTGTACTGGGGCATATTAAGATATTTACATTTTTCCAAAGTGGATAACATTATCTAACACTTAGGGAAATTATTTTGAAAATTGGCTAAAAAATAACAAGTGTAAATAATTTTTAACATTGGGCAATAAATTATAAAGTTACAGACAGTGCTGGGAAAGTTACTTCTGAAAAGTATCTAAAGTCCATTCAAATCCAAGCTGGACTAAATGTAAACACAATCCTCCGAATCGACCAATAAGAACTCACAATCCGAGTCACGATATCAGAATCGACCAATAAGAACAAGTTATTACGCGTCTGGGCGTTTTTTTAGTCCAGCTTGGATTTGAATAGATTTTAGTTACTTTTCTAAGATACTTTAAACAAAATAACTTAGTGACCTTGGGTAACTAGATACTTTGAGTTGAAAGTATCTTTAGCTACAAGATACTTTATAAAGTATCTAAGATACTATTTTAAAACATTCGCCGCGACAATTATCTAAGTATCTAGTTACTTGAATGCATCTCAGTTACTTTACCGAGTAACTTAGATACAAGTTACAAAATACTTTTCCAAAGTATCCAAGTTAAATATACTTTTTGTCCAATATAAAAGGTATCTAAGATAAAGTATCTTAGATACTTTAAGTATCTAAGTTACTTTTAAGTATCTTTTTCTTAAGATACTCCCAGCTCTGGCAGAGTTGAGAAAGTTACTTCCGAAAAGTATCTAGTTACTTTTCTAAGATACTTTAAACAAACTAACTTAGTTAACTCAGGTAACTAGATACTTTGAGTTGAAAGTATCTTTAGTTACAAGATACTTTATGAAGTATCTAAGTTACTATCCGAAAGTATCTAAGTTACTATCGGAAAGTATCTAAGATACTTTTTAGTAACTAAGATACTTTTAAGTAACTAAGATACTCTTGAGTAACTAAGTTGCTTTTAAGTATGATTATTTCCCTTATTATAATATGAACCAATCAAAAGCCTAGATTTTTGGAATAAATTTCGTTTAAATAGGCGATTAAATCACTAGAACTATTTAACAGCGATTAAATTTTAGCATCCATATTGGATTTTTGTTTACGATTTTATGGTGTTATTTACAAGTTTTAACAAACATTTTTTAAAAAACAATAAAAAATAAGTTATCTAGTTTACGAAATATCAATTATTACTTATTACATACATTAAATTAATGAAATTTTCTTTAAAAAAATATTTTTTAATTTTGAAACATACGACAGATTTTATGAATTGTCAAATAGTTTCCTTTAATTCGAGAAATATTCTAGACGTATATCACTCAACCTATAAATTTAATCTGTCAAACTATGCTCAGTAAGTTTTTTATTTGATTTTTCTTTTTGGAAAATAGTTTCATGCAAAATAATTAAAAATAAAACCCCTCGACCGCTACGCGGTCCCGTGATTTTATTAAATTATTTTGCATTCAACATTTTCCAAGAAAAACAAAACAAAAAACTACTGAGCCTAGTTTAACCGAATTAATTCATAGTTCTCGTGATATAATATATGAATAAAAACTATAAAATTATGAAAATTCAACAAGTTGTAGGTTAGGTAATTACTTTGAATTATTCTGGAATTCCCCCAGTTTTCTTAAAAAAAGTATCTAAGTTACACTGAAAAGTATCTAAGTTACTTTAATGTATCTTAGTTACTTTTTTAGGTACAAGTTACTTTCCTTTACTTTTCCAAAGTAACGAAGTTAAAGATACTTTCTGTCAAATATAAAAAGTATCTAAGTTACTTTTAAGTATATTTTTTTCAAGATGCTGCTCTGGTTACAGACTGTTATAGTAACAACTGTCGGTCTTAATTTTGAGGGAACTTGTTTTAGATACAGACTGTTATAGTAACAACTGTCTGTCTTAATTTCGAGGAAACTTGTTTTAGATCCCCTTGCGATCCAGGGCCGCCCCTGATAGGCGACTTGGGGCCTTCGGGCAAGCCGAAGCTGAACGGCGCCGAATTCTCCGAGCTGAAGAAGATGCTGCGCAACAAGACGAACCGCATCCGCCAGCAGCCGTGCTTCCGGCTGCGCGACATGGGCGAGAACGCCTCCGTCGCGCTCGACCTCGAGCTGCGCATGCCGCTCTTCCTCTCCGACCTGCAGCACCTGATCATGTACTCGCAGATCGGCCCGCACTCGCCCTACTCGCCCGCGCGCTGGTGCGCCCTCGACAAGTACAACAAGCTGGCCAACTTCAACCTGCTCATCGTCGAGAACGTCTCCCTCTACCATTTTTCGGCGCACGAGAGCATGTTCCCCAACCTCAACAACTTCACGCACCAGCTGGAGGTCGTCACGCCCAAAGCCTACATGAGCGATATCGTGCGGGACTTATCCATGGTCCCCTTGACAGGTAAGTCGGATTTACCGAGTTTTAATGGGGTAGTTAAATTTTTTCTGACCTATACTTTTTATGGTTTTATTCAAGGCGTTTTGTAATTTTAAACATTTCTGTGAAATCGGAATTTCAATTGAGTTTACCGTTTTCGAGATATTTACGTCACTAGGCTATTGACAACGTTGCCAGCTTTTTCTATGGTTGCCAGTGTGTTTAGTTTAAGATTCATACGATAGATGGCGCCACGTTATAATATTTTAGTTTTTAAACCACTTGATCTATAATTTTAGTTGAGAAGAAGAAGAAGAATTGATTTTTTGACGTTTCTTTTTTTCGGGTTATGTTTTTTTAAATTTAGATTATTGAAAATCAATGTTATTGTTATGTTATTTGTAATTGATATTAGATAAGTGATTTATTAATAACGGACTCCAAAGCAGAGGAATCTTGTGGAATGGTTGGTTACATTGAACATTGGAGCTTTTAAACAAATAAAGTAAGTACCTATAATTATAATCATATTTTGTCGTAAATGCATATCATTAGTATAATGCCTAGTTCTTTATATTCTTTTAGATATATCTTGAACTCTAAAATATCAAACCGTAATATGATACCTCGTAATAAGGAAGATAGGTACTTAATGAATTTGGTGACCATCTTTCACTCAACTGACAGTGACAGTATTTGTACATAACCTCTTCGGGTATTTTCTAACATAACCAAATGAAATCATTAACAAGACAACTTGACAACAGGGTAATTTTCAACCAATAGAAATCTTAGAATGTTGGTCACATGGCGAGGTTTGTGACGTCATAAAAATGTATATTTTTTGTAAATATCTCGAAAACGGTAAACTTAATTGAAATTCTGATTTCACAGAAATGTTTAATATTACAAAACGCCTTGAATAAAACCATAAAAAGTATAGGTCAGAAAAAATTTAACTACCCCATTTCGTTACGCCCGGATGAATGACCGAAACATGTTGGGTATGCACGTTTAAAGATCGCACTTGGTATCCAGGTACTCAGATGAAAAAGTTTGTCGACAAATTCGGGACTCTCGAATCGGCGGTAACGCAAAGCACGGAGGTGTTCGACACGCTCAAAAACTCGTTCCCGATCGAACGGACGGAAGAGGACGCCGACCAGCACAACGGCAACGTCGCCGTCGCCGACAAATTTTCCAGGACCAAGCTTCTGCTGTCCGGATGGCAAATGGTAAGAGGCCCTTGACGATTTTTGAATCCTAAAGGTTCAGACTTCAGTTGGTTGAATAATTTTTTGATCTTATTGGGATTGGGGACAATACAATTTCAGGGCTCCCACACCTCATAAAATTCCTAAAATTTTTCTTAAATTTTGAAAACTCCTAAAATTCTCCTAAAATTACCATCAATCTCCTAAAACTCCTAAAAATTAAATATAAATAGACCAACCTGACTGCGTTTAATTAAGGTAGTTGTGCTAAGAAATTTAAAAAGTTATTTAAAAAATAAATGTAGTTTAATAAATTCTTTTTAGAATAATATATCACAATCTACATTTTTCTTAAAAAACAACAAATATACCTAAAAACGAAATCCATGTAGTAGGTCCTAGACTTTTACAAAATTGTCATTTTTAGCCATATTTCGTTTGTTTTCGACAAAAATATACATAATATGATATTATCAAACAAAGGAATTTTTAAAGTTCTTTAAAATGATGGCTTAAATAGTAAGCAATCTAAGGAATGTTGTGCTGTATTAAGCAAACTTTATATTTTTTATATTATGAGATTTTTGAGTAACAAGATCCACATTACAATTATTGTTAGTTATTAACTAAACGGTTAAAATTATTTTTCTCAAAATATAAATATAACATCATTTGACTTAAGCCTAGTTTTTTAGCCATATCTATCGACGCGTTTTTTTTTTAATAAAATTAAAAGTGTGGTGAAAAAACTCGTCGAGCGATTTGGCTAAAAAACTATTGTACAAAAGCTATTTGTACAAAAGAAGTGATATTTATTTATATTTTTGTTAAAAAGAATTATTTATTTTTTTCTTATTTTTTAAGTACAGGGTAGGGTTGTTTTTTTTAATTACATTAATTCATTTGCATACTTTATTTCTCCTAAAATTCTCCAAAAAACCTCCTAAATTCCTAAATAAAATTTCTAATTTAGATGTGGGAGCCCTGCAATTTTGTACTTGCTCCAAGAAAGCTTTTCCAGTGGTTTTTTCTTCTTTCGCTTTTATTCGGAATGACTCTTATTCTTCTTAAAGCCTGTTCTTTCGATGCTCAGGGATAAACTGTTTTCTTAGGTCGAGGAAAACTTTCCTCTGCCCATCAAGGGCCTGATGGAACGCAAATACCGAGGTTACGTCCTTACGAAAGACCTTTACGGCGACGTGACCCCTTCAAGTCCTATGTACGCTCTCGATTGCGAGATGTGCAGGACCTCCACCGGCGACCTCGAACTCACCAGGGTGTCGGTCGTGGACGAGAACCTTAAAACCTTCTACGACACCCTCGTCAAGCCCGACAACAAGATCGTCGACTACCTCACACAGTAAGTAACACGAGGTGCAAGTTTTTTCGCCTTCTACTGTCTACTCCTTTCCACCGTTTTCCCTTACTCCAATTTGTTTGCCAGGTACTCCGGCATCAACGCCAAAATGATGAAGAACGTGACGAAAAAACTGGCGGACGTTCAGCAAGATTTGAGAAGACTTTTGCCCAAAGACGCAATAATCGTTGGGCAATCGTTGAGCAACGATTTTCACGCCTTAAAAATGATGCATCCATACGTAATCGATACAAGGTAAGATTTGCAGGAAATTCGTTTCAGTAAGATTGTTTGTGTATTCTTTGTTGGGTGCTTAGGTTTTCTATCGAGTGCACTTCAAAAATTTCTTTTGAAGGAAAACTTTGTCGTCAATCGCTAATTCAGTTCGCTGCGTAGGTCCTTGTCAGTACTGACTTCATAGAAGATTCAGCCAGTCGTTGTTTCATTAGGCTGGAAAAATAGGAAACAGCTATTCACAAATTATTCGCCTCACTCTGTGAAAACGTTAAAACGTAAAACGTTCGAAGTATTACACGTCGGGTTGTTCATAATATGCAGCTGACTTCAAAGAAGATTCAACCATATTTAGCCAGTCGTTGTTTTACTAACCTGAAAATACAGTAAACTGATAAACACAAATTATTTTATCCCACTGTGCGTAATCCATTAATTGTCATCAGTATTGCATTTTGCATTTTTTTAAATAAAATTGAATAAAATTTTTATTCTATGCCATAAAATTAATATTTATCACAAAAAAAATGATTTTTTGCAAATAAAACTAAAATTTCCATAAAGATAATTAAATTTTGTATAAATTTTCCATAAAAATAATTAAATTTTTTAAATTGACTTGTTATAATAAATAGAATTCCAATAAAATTGCTTTTCAGAACGAAAAAAACACTTTTTACAATAAATTTGAAGAAAAAAGTTATGGGAAAGTTTTTTTTTATTCTTATTTTATATCATAAAATTAATATACAGTGTGACCCATTTGTTTGCGACACCCCTGTAAAATCTTTATTTATTGTGCGATTTTAACCGGATTTGTTTTAAACTGTAGATCTTGATAAACTGTATTTTGAAAAAACGCTATAATTGTACAAAACACAACGCCCACTATGTCAGTTTTTAAGAGTAAATTTTTAAGAAGTCATATCAGCGATTTTTTTAAATAAAATCTAAGCACCACCCCTCAAAACGACCCTATAAAAAATTTTAAGAGAAAAAAAAATGCACAATTATAACTACAAAAATTTATTTTGTCAAGTTATCCATGAAAAAACGTATAGTAATAGTACCATGTTTAATTTTATTTCAATATTTTTTTCAAAATAAATTTTTGTAGTTATTTTTGTGCATTTTTTTTTAATGTTTCAATAAAATTTAATATAGGGTAGTATTGAGGGGATGTGAATCCAGTGCCGTGCTTAGATTTTGTATAAAAAATCGCTAATATGAATCCTTAAAAATTTACTCTTAAAAACTGACATAGTAGGCCTTGAATTTTGTACTAATATGGTATTTTTTTCTCCAAGATCAACATTTTAAAACAAATCCGGTTAAAAATGCACAATAAATAAAGATTTTACAGGGGTGAGTCGCAAACAAATGGGTCACACTACTTGATATAATACCTAGAATTCGAATAAAATTGCTTTTCAGAACGAGAAAAACACTTTTTACAATAAAATTAAACAAAAAAGATTTTTTTTTAATTCTTATTTTTTCCTAAAATTAATATTTTTCACAAAAAAATAATTGTTTTCAATAAAACTTAAATTTTCAAAAGAATAATTAAATTTTCTAAATTGACAATACAGGTGTATTGACTTTCTGTCCTTAATTTATTGCCTCTATTCATTCAATGTATTTTTAGTGCTATTTCAGTAAATGAACGCTATACGAAATAGGAACGCCTTGTTTTGTTACTCTTGTCTTGGTACCAAGTCTACTAATGTTTTTTGTATTTTTTTCCTGTATACGCGGGAAAAACCGCCCTTAAGTTTTGTAGTGGTTTTTGTTGCAAATTTGCTTATCGGTTTTTGCAGATTATGGCCCTTTCCACTCTTGGTTAGTCTCGTTTGTTCTTCACTTAGGGTGCTTGCAATTGGCAGGTGGTTAGTCCGCCAGGTATGCTGTCACTTATCACTTCAGTGTCCGTAATTTACTGTAGATACTATGCGCTATAGTTTATTTGAGCTGTATTTTTTGTGTGTTTTGAATCACACAATCTTACTGAAACTTCGTAGATGTCTCTAGATTTTTTTCAACAATCTTTTCAGTGTAATATTTAACTTGACGGGCGACCGTACAAGAAAAACGAAGCTGCAAACGCTCACCAGAGAGTTTCTGCGCGAAAGAATCCAGGAGAGCAAGAAAGGCCACTGCTCGACGGAAGACAGCCTGGCGTGCATGAAGCTGACGCAGCTGAAGCTGAAAAAGAGCGTATTCTACGGGGACGCGGTCATGGGAGGGGGGAACGACGTGCGCGCCTACCCGGACATGGCGACCAGCCAGTACGCGACCAGCATGCTGCGGCAGTGCGCCAAGATGGACAGCACGGTCCACGTGGCGGGCGTGGACGAGCTGGCCGCCAAGTACAGGTTCTACGTGGACAAGAACGCGGAGGGGCGGGGCGACGGGCAGATTACGTTCGCGTCCGCGCACACCAACGACGGCGTGGTCGAGGATCTTTGCAGGAACGCGGGGAAGCACAACGTGAACATCGGGCATGTGCGGGTTTCGGACGGCGATTTGTGCGATATAAGCAGGAGCGAGACGTTCAGGGTGATCGATAACTGGACGAAGAAGCTGAACGATTCCTGCAAGATGCCGAGTTTGAACGTCGTCCTGCTGGGTGGGCATCAGGATAGCGGGAACGGCGTCTGTTTTATGTTTCTCAAGAAGGAATTCATTAAATAAAACGTAGGATGGTGCCTTATGTTATTAATTATGACATAACAATTTTAATTTGAAATATATTCATTCATTTATGTATATACCATTATTTAAATTATTTTTAAATAAAACTATTCTGCATGCTTATTGGCTATTATTCATTTTGTACTTGTTGAACTCTATTCTTGGATAAAATGTTGAAAATATTAATCATGGCGTCTCATTTTCCTTTACATGATGCACAATTAAAAAAACATTTCTCTAAAAAATTTAAAGAAAAATATTAAAAAAAATAATTTTTCATTTAAATCAAAAAATACTTGCAATTTAAAGAAAAAAAAACAAAAATTTCACAATTAAAAAAAAACAAAAAATTGTATAAAGCTTACACTATACACAAAAAAACATAAATTAAAAATCCTTTTTAATCAAAAAATTATTCACAAAAAAAACAAATTTTCGCTGCGCGTGTCTTAAAAAAAATCAAAAAAAAATTATTTTGTTTTTCAAAAAAATCAAATTTTCTTTTTGATCAAAAAGTGAGTAAAAAACATTTTTAAATACAAATTTTACGTGAAGGGAAAGAGCGTGGCCGAGAATCCAAAGTCCAAAAACAAAATTTTAAAAATACTTGATCCAAAAGAAATCTTTCGAATTATTCAATTTTTTGATCTTGAATGATATCTAGCCTAAACTAATATTTCTCGTTTTTTATGGCAACGCAGAACATACATAAGAGAATTCAAAGCACTGTACTTTGGCAATATTAACTTTGGTTAATTTTTATATTTAGTAGGCTTAGAAAACCGAGATATCGGTCGTCGCGAAATTTAAATCTTTGAATATTTGACATGAACAAAATTAGTTTCCGATTAAAAAAAAATTAAGCGTATTTTAAAAATTATATAAATTATATAAATTATAGAAAATATAAAATATAAAAAATCGTCAATTTTAATTTTATTTTTTTCAGTTTTTTAAATACTGTAAAAACTAAAGTTCTATAAATAGTTACCTTAAAGTCAAAACATTAGATGACGCAGGGCTGTGTTTAAATTACCCCACTGGGAAAGAAACCTTACAAAATATTGCTGCAATGTTCGCCGACTTTACAAATAAAATATTTCCTGTGCTACTTGAATTAACATAAATGAAAAGTTACATTTGAAATATTGCATATAATAATTTCCAACAACCTTAAATTTGAAACATTATTTAAAGATTCACATGTAAAGTTTTTATAATGTTATATTTGTAACATATAGCATAAAATATTGCATACAAGTTTTTAAACATTACAATTATAATATTGCAGACATAACTTTCTTTCAATGTTTCAATTGAAATATTAACACAACTTTCAAATGAAAAATGTTTGCAACTTTACTTTAAATATACAATAGAAACATTTATTTTGGAATGTTTGGGAATATTTTTGAAACATTGCAATTATAATATTACATTGATAAGTTTTGGGCAATGTTTTATCCGAAATATTACATTAAGATGATTTTTGCAATGTTACTTTTTATAAACAATATAAACATTTAATTTGCAAGATTTTTGGAACATTGCAATTATAATATTACATTGATAAGTTTTGGACAATGTTTTATACGAAATATTGCATTAAGATAATTTTTGCCATGTTGTTTGCAGACTGACTTGCCGATGCATCTCGCCGTTGTCCTGGTCATTTATACCCTTGTGGAAATTTTTTCTCTGAGAAAGTCTTACTTTCTCTGAAAAAGTCTGAATAATACTTATTAAGTCGGAAAAAGTCAGAATAAGACTTATTAAGTCGGAAAAAGTCTGAATAAGTCTTATTAAGTCAGACTAATAGCAAGATTTGGGAGTCTTCTGGAAGAGTTAATAAGACTTTTTAAGACTTAATAAGACTTTTAGTAGAGAAATGGTAGGTTCCTATGGCGATAAAAATAAATATCCGAAATAATTCATAGAGATTGTAAGTATTTGGTTATCGTAAAATAAAACACATAGACAAGTATTTATTAACATTTTTGCTGTTGTTATAAGCCAAGTTTATTGCATAATTACCTATATACTAACATAGGTAAGAATATTACCGTAAGATGTAATAATTATAACAATTATAATTTTATACATACGATGCGCTTAACATGCTTTCATTGTTTCCAACATAGAAAAAGGAGTTAATATCAAGTCTATAGACATGATATTTTCGATAGACTTATAAGACAAATATGGTTGATATTCGTGTTTCATTCATCTTTGTATCATGGTTGATCTTCGTGTTTACGTACAGTGTTGCCATAAAAGTTCCTGACCATAAATTACAAAATACTAAAATAATAATAAAAATGTAACAAGATAGAATAAAATAATTGTGCATATTTAGTAAATATACAATATTATTTACTGAAAATTTCTTTTGTTATTATTTTGATAGAAATTTGCAAATCACCCGCAAATATTATGAAAATACCCGATTTTCGAGTAAAATACTTGCAAACGGCAACACTGTGTCCCACTGACAGGTCAGCTGTGCTCTAATTGGTCAGCTAGCTAAGCTGGTCTCTCGATATTACGTCTTACGTCTATTGTTTGTGACAATGTTTAGATAGGTAAATATTTGCGTGTATCAAAAGAAACTATTAAAATAAAACGTACAGTGGCAAACCCTTTTTCTATTGTGGAAGCATGCATGTCAAGCGCATCGTATGTATAAAATTATAATTGTTATACCTAATTATTACATCTTACCTATGTTATTATATAGGTAATTATGCAATAAACTTGGCTTATAACAACAGCAAAAATGTTAATAAATACTTTTCTATGTGTTTTATTTTACGATAACCAAATACAACCTCTATGAATTATTTCGGATATTTATTTTTATCTCCGTAGGTACCTACCATTTCTCTACTAAAAGTCTTATTAAGTCTTAAAAAGTCTTATTAACTCTTCCAGAAGACTCCCAAATCTTGCTATTAGTCTGACTTAATAAGACTTATTCAGACTTTTTCCGACTTAATAAGTCTTATTATGACTTTTTCCGACTTAATAAGTATTATTCAGACTTTTTCAGAGAAAGTAAGACTTTCTCAGAGAAAAAATTTCCACAAGGGTATCTTTATAAGTGAAGAAAGCCGAGCTTGATGCGTGTCTCCCGTCACCGACTGCCTGACACTGATGAGCCTAGACCAAACCTAGGTCTAGGCTGATGAGACACAACAGGTCGAAACAGTCTGTCTCTGTCAGTGTTGGTGGGTATGGTGCATTAGTAAATGTACCATACGTATGGTACCATTCGGAAAATGCGCTTCGAGCTCCTCGGCATTTTAGTCTTTGTAATATTGGTTGCCTTCTGGGGTAAAGTAGAAAACCTATTTTTATATATATATATATATCCGGATTATAGGCCTCTAGCTTACGGATAAATATTTATAATTAATTATTATTATAATATTTCATATTAATTTAATTGCAATCTTCCTGTAATGTGGCAGGAACCTTACATTAACAAAAATAACATTTAGTAACATTGCAATTAATACATTTAAGCAACATTTAATTTGTAAATGTAATGTTCCTGAAATTTCATAAGGCTTTGTTGCAATGTTCCTGCAACATTGCCACAAAGATTTTTGTAACATTACACCTAACAAATGTAATGTTGCAGAAACCTTACATTAACAACATTAAGCAACATTTTATTTGTAAATGTAATGTTCCTGAGCCGGACATAACAACAACAAATGTAACGTTCAGTAACATTGTAGAAATATTATTTTTCCCAGTGGGACAATAAAAATATTTCTAAAAAGTGTACAGATCCGTATGTGGTATAAATGTGTTCCTTATGGTTTAAACATTTTCACTTTAATGCTTTTTAATTTTAATTCTGATAACAAACAGTGTCCAATTACAGGTTGGTAAAAAATGTAAGTTTCTATTATTGGACATATGTCCAATATCATACTTTATATCCCGGACATTTACCAGCCAATTCTTGTGTAAAATTGTCCCCTGAATCCGAAAAGACCTTCAAAAACTATAAAAGTTAAGCAGTTTTTGAGATATAGTCAATTCCACATTATATGTAAAATTGATTATATTTCAAAATCTGTTCTACTTTTATAACTTGACGACATTTTCGGATTCAGGGAATAATATTTTATAAGAATTGACTGCTAAATGTCCTGAATACAAATTGAGTTTGAAGACAATTATTAGTGGCTGCTTTTTCGCTATGACATTTTTGACTAATTCATTTTTAGAGTAAGTAATGTAGTGATTTCTAAAACTAAAGGCAACAAAATTAATAAATTCGGAAAATACTTTTAACATACCTACCACCCGAAAAAATATTAGATATACATAAATCATCCTGTTCCGGCCTAAACATTATAAATGCTTCACAAACTAGAGATACCACACTTAATGATATTTGCAACAAACTATTTCAGAAGTCAGACCAAGGAATTAGTAGAAAGAAATATATGAATGATATGATATTTAGAAAAACGAAATAAAAAAGATTACCTAAAACAGCACTTTATCTTTAAAAAATATTAAAAAATTTATGTTATTTTATGTAAAGTTGTTACGATTATATAAAAATTGTAGGTCCAATAACTATGGTCCATGTGTCCAATTACTATACTTTTTTGCATGTTTTTATAAAACTAATATTAAAAATTCAAATATTCTTAATTTTAAGTAAAGGTAAATAAAGTTTAAACAAACAAACTATCCTTTTTATATATTTATAAGAAAAAATTAAAATCTTTAAAACAAGGGCGTAGGTATATAAAGTAAATAATATTAAGTGTCGAATTGTAAACAAATTTAAAACAATATTTATACTATATATATAACAGTCTACATAGAAATATTTTTTATTTTTCCTTCCGAAATAATAAAAATCATACAATTCTCTCGAAGAGAAAGAATGGAAAAACATGAAATTATAAAAATATAAATGAGTGGGAGAGCGTAGTAAAAAACTATTTGGTGGGAGAAACCGGCTGCCGACGTCTCACTTCGACGCCCGCCGTCCTTTTGTGTGTGTGGTCAAATTGAAATTAAATTTTTTGATTAATCGTCAAATCTCGAACAAATTGGGTAAGTGCAAGAAAATAATAATTGCCTTAATGTTATCATGTCCAAGTTATAAGGAAATGCTTTATAAATAAACTTCTGGCTCGGTTCAGATATTTCCTTCCCACATTGTTATTTTTTCTTTTGGAATTCCGAGCATAGTGCCGCATTGGTGACGCGTCGCAAATCGAAAAAATTATTTTCCGAATTTTTTTTACCTAAATCTATTCTTCGACTGGAATTGGTGGAACCCGGGCCACGTTTATCGCTAAGAATAGTTTTTAGAGCGTCTATCTTTACACTTCATCGTCGTGTTTTTTTAATTTTGTTCTTTTAAACGCAAGTATTTCAGCGAATCAAAGGTCATCTTGCGGATTGTTTATACAGTTATGCTTTTATTTTAGAATTTACTTTTTATATTTTTTTTTTGAGGAATTTTTTAATTTTCAGATGTCAGCCTTTTTGGGCAGACTTTTTTGGCGCAGAGGCTTGCAGCAATGAATTTTGCCCATAAAAATGTATTTTGTTAATAAAAATTGAATAACTGAATTTCTTCAGATTATTTAACGTATTTATTGTTTATTTTTTGAGGCTTTACGAAATGTATTTCAAGCAGAGGTTAAGCAACGCAAAATAAATATAGCAAGTTCAGATTTAATGGCATAATAAAATACGATTTTAGATACATAAAAGTATTTGAATAGTTAAAAATTAACGATTACTTTTTGGGGTTATAAAAATATTGAGTATTTTATGGATTTTGGACAAAGTAGTATATTATGTATCAAGTTTGATAAACGACATTTTAGTCACGAATTTAATTTAGCCTATACTTTTTCTAGGACAAATATTTAATATTATTTAAAACATAATTTAAATTAAATATTTGTATAAGGCGACATCTATACGAAAATAAAGAAACCATCCCAATAAAAAATTTTGACTTAATTTTCATTATTAACATTTTAATTTAACTTAACAACTATTGATACTTTAAAATATTAAAATAACTTCAAAATATAATTATATTAAGAATAGTATATTAAAGTACAAGTTGCAGAAGGCCACATATTCTCGCACGAATTCGAAATTTGGCCTCGAGCGACGAAGGAGCGAGTGGACAAACGAATGAGTGCGAGAATAGCCTTCTGCAACGTGTGATTTATACTATTTTCTCGATTTTAACTTTTATTTAGGTTTTTTTAAATGTTTTGTGGTCGTTGTTAGTTGGGGGATTTTTCTCGCAAAATGTCAGTTGGCAACACAAAATGACAGTTGCATGGACAGGTAGATTTATGTTTATTTACTATTTATTAATAATCTGTCTGTATTTGTCAACTGGATAATAAGGTTTTGTGTAAGTATTGTATTATTTTTTAGTGTTTTCTGATATTTTTGAACAATTGTGTTTACTTTTAGCAGTGAAAAATGTCACAGGAGGTTTTACAAGCAACACTGAACATTACAATAAAAGTTTATAACAATTGTGCTAGTGATTAATTTATAGAAGTTTTGTGTTTTGTGTACTGTGGGTATATAATATTTCCAATAATATATAGTTTGATTGACCTGTTTGGCTCATTAATTAAATAAATTTATTTGTCAATATTTGTTATCCTGCACAAGTACAACTGAACTGCACTTTTTCACATAAACAATAATATAACAAAACAATAATAAAGGCTTCATTTTCAATAAAAGTGTAGTTCAGGTTGCACTAGTGCAGGATAACAAACAAAGCTATTATAAATATTCCTAAAAGTAATGAATTTGAGGTTATTAAACAGTTTGACATTTTGGGGGTACCAATACTTAAAAACTAAATGTTACCAAAAATCGTTTAAGAATGAGCTTCATTCTTCAACGATTTTGCGTGCGAGAATATGACATTCTTACATAAAAATCGAGAAAACATTTTATCCTTTGAGTTTTGTATTACTATAATTACAAAATATTATCACAAAGTATGTTATGTTAAATGTACAAAAAATGACAGATGTATTTATTGGAATTTTTTATTCTGAATCTACCGGCGTTAACATTTTCTGTGTAAATCAAAATTTATCCCTTGAAAATAGACTAACAATCGATATAGAAGCAGTTTTTCACAGTAAAAGAGAAGAGAATGTTTTATGGGCACTGCACGCAAAATTTTTAACGCTTTATTTTTATTATTTAGTTTATTTTTATTATTTAGTACAAACGTTCATATATCCTTTTGAAATATTGGCGTCAAGAAACTATTTAATACTTTTGTATTGAGATAATAAAATAATTTTCCACATTTAGTTTTATTTTAGAAGAAAGTCACTTTATTTTAACGATTGTATGACATTTGACAACTGTCAACTAACTTAAAACTAACTTCAGCCCGTGACTAAAGCGCCATAAAGCCCCAACTTGTCAATGTGTATTTAAAAATCACTTAGTGTCATGGAAACATGGAAACAAAACGCCCATTTTAAAGGTGGAAGTGAAAAAACTTATTTATAAAATGGTAAATATTAGGAAATATTCGTATGTATGCTTTATGTAGGAAAAACAGTAAATGCAATATTTCAGCAGGTTATTTACCCACGCGTTATAAAATCTGGCTCATGTTCTGCCAAACCTGCCAATAAAAGAAATTGATAAATTGATAATTATGCCGTATTATTTAAAAATAGCTTTTATTATTTTTCAATTTTGAAATACAAAAATACTAAAAGTCACTTAATTTTAGAGAAAAATAACAAACAAATTTTGAACTTTTTTATTTTAAGAAAATTTAACAATGGGTAGCTAAACCCTCAGCACATTTTCTAGACATCGACTCTATTAGCTGGTCTATTATATTTTGATTAATGTTTTTCCATTCTTGTACCATTATAGCAAGCTCTTTAAGGGTATTTGGTCTTTTCATAATGCTCCAAAGATGTTCAATTGGGTTTAAATCGGGACTATTGGCTGGCTACTTACTCCATACTACTTAAATATTGTTCTTTAACAGCCTTGTCTTGCTGTAACACACAATTTTGGATCGGTCTAAAATTTGTTAGATATTAAAAACAGAGATGTCGCCACCAGTGTTTATTATGTCATCCGCGCTCAGAAAATTTTTTAATAAATGTAACAAAAAAAGTATTTTGTCTTAATAAAGTAAAGTTTCCTATTCGTCCAACAATGGCTTTTGTTACGGCAAAAAGATCATTTTTATAAAAATTATTTATCTACAAACGCTGCTTTCAGCATTTGCATTAATTATTAAGTAAATTTAAGTTATGTTTATAAAAATAAAACTCTTCCAGATGCAGAAACGCATTGATAAATATAGTTATTATTATTTGTCCAAAAAACAGTTCTATACCGTTTACAAAAACGTTTTGTAGTATTAATGAAACCCTAATGGTATTATTCATAGAAATTTTGTAAATTTTACAAATCCCACCAAGATTTTTTTATAATATCAATAAAATTTATGTAAATTTAACAACAAATTAATTGTTAATTCAATAAACTATTTTCATTGTAACAATGGTCAAATTTTCAACCTACAGTTGGGTGTTGGTTAGTTTTTTTAAATAAATGCAAGGCATTAAAATAAATTATTTATTATAACAAAAAAATTAACTTATATTATATGATGTACAAAATAAAAAAAAATATGAACTCACTTTTTAAACAAGTCTGCTTCGTTTATAGAATAGACCTTAAATATTTCTTTTATAAAACGTCGAAATATAATTTTTAGTGATATTTTTGATATTTTTATCATGCTATATTTTACCACACCTCACTCGCACAAGTGAAATCAATAAGATTATAACACAGACTGTGGATTATAAAGTTATGTTCACCAAGGAGAGCGCTGGCCCTTTCCCCCTCTTTTTAAGGGAAATAACAAAAATTTTGTTATCATTGCAAAACAATAGTATATATTAAAAAAGTCTTTTTATAGCAATAAAATATGTTTGTTATTGTTCTTTACGTAAGCTATTAACAAAGATTTTCTAACTGAAATAAAATAAATTTGAATTACAACTATAGTAATTTAAAAAAGACTAATATGCCATAGTAAAATGAACAAATTTTACTATAACAACTGCGCATTACTTTATGTAAGCGCAATTCCCACACAACTATAGATTTAAGAAAAACATTTTAAGTTCCACAAAGATTTAATATAACCATATTTCTTATTGCCATGACAATATGATAACAACTATTACTTTGTTGGATGAACACTTTTTTTATAAAAGCTCAACATTGCTGCTTCATTATAGTAAATGAAAATTTTATTAACAGTAAAAAAAGTTTATTCTGTAATAAAAAATAATCTCAATACTTTTACAAATCGTAGGTTTTTGTCCCAATAAGACACTGAAAATTTAATGAAAAAGGTACCTTAGGTGGTACATTTTTTATAGCCATTACAATTTTAAATTTAAGTTAATTAATATTATTTTATTAATCGCTTACAAAATTAGTTTTATTATCAGTGCATGTACATTTTTCTGAGTGCGATGATAGAATATTTCATTCTGTAACACTTTACGGAATAAATGTCATTCCATATATAAAAGTGATATTAGAACCATATAAATATATTTGTAAGTTCCAGATATATATTTTAAAGTTTTAAAAAACGAATTTATGTTTTTTAATTTTGGAAATGTTTTTGACATTTAATTAATTTAGAATAAATATTATGGAACATCGTATACAATTATTAAACTTAACCTTAGTTGCTGTTTAAATGTACATAGTTATACACGTTTAATTTAAAAGGATTTTCCGGTTGTTATGTACCTAATACATCTTGACCTATTGTACTAAATAGTGTGGCCAGAAATAGGACTATTGTGTAAAGCTTATTACCTACCGCCACATCTTAATTAGTATTTCTAATTTTAACCATCGTATGTCCACTTACTTATGAACTTATACCTATCAAATTTTTGATTGCCTATTTTGTATCGATACTAATAGATTTTGATTTGTGGTAGCCAAGATTTCGAAGACAATTTATTTGGATTACATAATTA